GAAACAATGAATGGATTTGTTACACCCGATCATTTTTCAGATGGTGGCATACCAATCTTTAAACCAACTTTTGAACAATTTAAAGATTTTTATCAATTTATTAAATCAATAAATAGTTATGGTATGCAAAGTGGTATTGTTAAAATTATACCACCACAGGAATGGTTAAATTTACAAAATTTACCAATTAAAAAAATTGATTTAGAAAAAATTAAAATTTTTAATCCAACGCAACAACAAATTTCTGGTGAAAAAGGTATTTATGTGGTTCAAAATATTGAAAAAAATAAAAAATTTAATTTATTACAATGGAAAAATTTATCATTAAATTATCCTTTGCCATCATCATCATCAAACATCGTTATTGATAATGATAAAAAACTTTTAAATTTTAACGATTTATCATCATTAATTAATTCAAATACTGCTTTACTACAATATAATGATAAAGAAAGATTAATTTTTTTAGAAAATTATTATTGGAAAACACTTAATTTTACTTCACCTTTATATGGTTCAGATTCTCCTGGCAGTTTTTTCTCAAAAGATTTAAAAATTTGGAATGTTTCAGATTTACCAAATTTTTTAGATTATTTAGATGAAAAAATTCCTGGTGTTAATGAATCTTATTTATATGCAGGTTTATGGAAATCAAGTTTTACTTGGCATTTAGAAGATAAAGATTTATATTCAATTAATTATATTCATTTTGGTGCACCAAAACAATGGTATTCAATACCACAATCTCATGAAAAACAATTTTTATCATTTGTTAAAGAACAATTTCCACAAGAATTTAAATCATGTCCAGAATTTTTAAGACACAAACAAATTATTATATCACCAAAGACTTTAAGAGATAATGGTATACCTGTTAATAAAATTACACATTATCAAAATGAATTTATTATCACTTTTCCTTATGGTTATCATTCAGGTTTTAATTATGGTTTTAATTTAGCTGAATCGGTTAATTTTGCAACTGATGATTGGTTAGATATTGGTGAACGTGCACAATCTTGTAATTGTATTAATGATTCAGTGAGAATTGATGTTAAAAAATTAAGAGAAAATTGGGAAAATAATAAAAATAGAAAGTTTAATGAATTATTAAATCATAGTTCACAAGAATTACAAAATATGGCAACTTCTTTATCATCAACTTCATCAACAACAAACAAAATTAAATTACAAAATGATTTAACATCATCATCGAATAATAATAATAATAACAACAACAACAACATCAAATCAAATATTAATGGTTTAATAAAAGAATCTTCAATGGCTCCTTTATTTCCAAATATGTCATTAAGATCAACAAGTCCAAGTTTAAATCAATCAATGAATCAAATTAATCCATCATTAAGTAGAGTATCGTCACCATTTTTATCAAGAATGATGGATTTATCAAATATTATTGAACCAACTTTAGATGATCAAACTTTGAAAAGAAGATTAGTTTCACCACAACCATTAACGATGGGTAATACTCAAATGAATTCGAATCAACAACAAAGACAATTGCAACAGCAGCAGCAGCAGCAGCAACAATTACAACAACATCAACAACAACAAATTGGTAATCAAAAGAATCAACAACCTTCAGGAAGTGTTCCATTAGCACCATTAGCTGTAAGATCATTTACCACCCCATCATCTGCTTTATTTGATTATAATGATGATAATTTATTAGCATTAAGTTTGACATCAATGGCAAATAGTGGAAATTCTTCACCAAGGTTAAGAAAACCAATGTTAAACTCACCAATTGATCATTTTAATAATAACATCAACAACAATAATAATGGTAATTCAAATGGATTAATGACATCTTCAAATAATTATACGAATTCTTTGAGACCATTATTTTCTCCTTCAGCTAATAATAGTACACATCAGTTAGCTTATGAAACTGTACCATTATCTAATAATAATAGATTATTAAATAATTCAACTTTTACTCCAAATAATATGAATACAAGTAGTCCATTATTACAATCATACCCATCAAATTTTAATATTTCATCTCCAACATCGGTACCATTCATTAAACGTCCAAAATCTTCGAATATTGTAACATTAAATATATCTAGAGAATCATCAAGAAGTCCAATTGCATTAACATCTATTGAGAATACAAATTCTAATCAAATATTACCAAACGGTAATAATGTAAATGGTAGTAATAATATTAATAATCAGAACAACATTAAATATTCATCATTAAATCAAATCGAAAATCCAAGTGGCAGGATCCCAATGGATAATGGAATGCCATTAACAAAGAAACAAAAATTAGGCAAAAGAGTATTATCATCACCATCATCAGGTTTAGCTACTGCTATACCGATATCAAATGCATTATTAGCAAATGACCCATCAACAATAACTACAACAGTACAGAATAATAACCATAATAATCTTAATAATAATAATATTGATAATATGATTGGTATAGGTAATAATGATGAATTTGGAAATAATAGTAATGAAGATAAAAAAATCCCATTACAAGGAACAACGGTTATGCATAACCAACCAAGTAAATTTACATCAGAAGAAGTCGTTGTATCAAAATTTGGGAAAGTTTATGTTTGTCAAGAATGTAAACGTCAATTTTCTTCAGGACATCATTTAACAAGACATAAGAAATCCGTACATTCTGGAGAAAAACCTTATTCCTGTCCAAAGTGTGGTAAGAGGTTTAAAAGACGTGATCATGTTTTACAACATCTTAATAAAAAAATACCTTGTGTCCCAACAGCTCCAGAGCCATAGTTTTTATTTTTTACTGTAAACTAAACGTGCACATGTATTTTCTCTTTCTCTTTTATTTTATTTACAACTGCAATTTAATTCATTATCACTGGATGATAGATGAATTCAGAAGAAAAGCAGTTTCAACCAACCATTTTCTTTCGTTTAATCCAAATATCATCATTTGCACTGTTTTTTATTTTACAGCGATATAATAATAATAATATTATTATTATTATTTATTCTTTAATGATATATATGCATGAACTACTACATAATATATAACAACTAATATGACAACGGTTAATACTTTAAAGTAATATATTTAGATAAAACGTATTCTCATTTATATCACTGTTCTATATACACGTAGGTCTATTGGAAATCATCGATCGGTGTTTCTCGAGATTCTCCATTATTATAATAATAGTCGCTTTTTTCTTTGTTTTTCCAATTTTCAGTGTAGATATCGGACAAATGTGGGAAAAGGGACTAGTCAACAAAATAGAATAACTATAGTTTTAAGGTACAATTACTCAAGACTCCGTGAAAGGAAGATAGAGACAGTTGTTACGGATTGAACTATTGTCAATAGGAATCTGGTATATTTACTATATTGAACATTCTATTAGAGTAATTGCAAATAGATTGTTACATTATTAGTATTTTCAAGCCGAAATAAAAAAAGAAGAAGAAATGAACTCTTTCAGATTGTTACTCTTAGGGGCACCTGGTTCAGGAAAAGGTACAATTACAAAAAAATTGAAAAATGTTGTACCAAATTTACAATCTATTGCATCAGGAGATTTATTACGTCGAGAGATTCAAGAAAAGACTAGTCTAGGACAAATTGCCTCAAAATATATCTCTCAGGGGAAGCTAATACCTGATGATCTAATAATTTCATTAGTAGCTAACCATATAGGTACTTTATCACACAGTACTGCCACGCCAACAACATCTTGGTTGTTGGATGGGTTCCCCAGAACTTTACGACAAGCTATTGCATTAGATAATATCTTAAAGCCAAGACATCAAAACTTAACAAAGGTGATTGAGTTGAAAGTTCCAGAATCTGCAATCCTTGGCAGAATAGAAACTAGGTATGTTCATATTCCTAGTGGGAGAATCTATAATTTATCATATAATCCACCAAAGGTTCCAGGGTTTGATGATGTCACTGGGGAACCATTGGTAAAACGTTCTGATGACAACGAAGAAACAATTGTTAAAAGATTGAAGGATTATAACAATATGGTGAAACCTTTGAGACAATTTTACAAAGATGAGGGCATACTCACCACGGTTCATGGTGATACATCTGACTTTATCTTTCCTCAAGTATTGCAAACTCTCGAGGATCACGTATGAATTTTCACGTGACTCCCTGTACTAATCACGTGATCCGAATTTTGAAATTTGAAGGAAAAAAATGAAAATTCCTATTGAGATCAAAGGATCTTTCTTACATAACCTTTAAATAATAAGTAGAATTACATATTCTTAAACTTGTATATATCCTGAGTTAACATTTCATAGTTAAATTGTATCCTTTAATTCTCCATTAAAACAATAATCTAAAAGGGTACTCGGCTATTTAATAGTGATATCAATTCAAGAACGTCTAACTGACAGAAATAAGGACAATATTACTTCTCGAGACTAGAACAATATATAATTACTAAGCATGAAATTTTATATTGACGACCTACCTATTCTGTTTCCATATCCAAAGATATACCCGGAGCAATACCACTACATGTGCGATATTAAACGTACTTTGGATGCTGGTGGAAATAGTATATTAGAGATGCCTTCAGGAACAGGTAAGACTGTCTCTTTACTATCCTTAGCTGTGGCATACCAGATGCATTATCCTGAACATAGAAAAATTATTTATTGTTCACGTACCATGTCTGAAATTGAAAAGACTTTAGTAGAATTAGAAAACTTGATGGATTATAGAGCCCGTGAATTAGGATACCGTGAAGAGTTTAGAGGTCTTGGATTAACATCCAGAAAAAATCTATGTTTACACCCTGTGGTCTCTAAGGAAAGAAAAGGTAGTGTGGTCGATGAAAAGTGTAGAAGACTAACAAATGGTGTCAACAAACGTAAGTTAGAGGCTGATCCAAATGCCGATGTTGAATTATGCGATTATCACGAAAATTTATATAAGATGGAAGTTAGCGAATATCTGCCAAATGGTGTATTTTCATTTGAAAAACTGATTAATTACTGTGAGGAAAAGACGATATGTCCATATTTCACCGTACGTCGTATGATTTCATTGTGTAATATTATCATCTATTCCTACCATTATTTATTAGACCCAAAGATTGCGGAAAGAGTTTCCAATGAGGTATCAAAGGATAGTATAGTTATTTTTGATGAGGCACATAATATAGATAATGTTTGTATCGAATCTTTGTCCTTAGATTTGACAAATGATGTTCTTAGACGTGCAACGAAAGGTGCGAACGCTCTGGAAGATCGTATCGAAGATGTTAGAAAAGTAGATTCTCAAAAATTACAAGATGAGTATGATAAATTAGTTCAAGGATTGCATAGTAGTGATATCATAAGGCCTGAGGAAGAAACATTTGTCGAACCACCAGTTCTTTCTGAGGATTTGTTGACAGAAGCAGTTCCAGGTAACATTAGAAGGGCCGAGCACTTTGTTTCTTTCTTAAAGAGATTGATTGAATATTTGAAGACAAGAATGAAGGTCCTTCATGTGATTTCAGAGACTCCCAAATCGTTTTTACAACATTTGAAACAATTGACTTTTATTGACAGAAAACCTTTACGATTCTGTGCAGAAAGATTATCTTTGTTGGTAAGAACTTTGGAAGTCACAGAAGTAGAAGATTTCACAGCATTAAAGGATATTGCAACGTTTGCTACTTTAATATCCACTTATGAGGATGGATTCTTGTTAATAATTGAACCATATGAAATAGAGAATGCAGCAGTTCCTAATCCTATCATGAGGTTTTCTTGCCTTGATGCCTCTATTGCTATCAAACCAGTGTTCGAGAGATTTTCTTCCGTTATCATCACATCAGGTACTATATCTCCTTTAGATATGTATCCAAGGATGTTAAATTTCGAAACAGTGTTACAAAAATCATATGCAATGACGTTAGCAAAAAAATCATTCTTACCAATGATTATTACCAAAGGTTCTGATCAAGTCGCAATATCGTCACGTTTTGAAATTAGAAATGATCCAAGTATTGTCCGTAATTATGGTTCAATGCTTGTTGAATTTGCAAAAGTTACTCCGGATGGTATGGTTGTTTTCTTCCCATCATATTTGTATATGGAAAGTATTGTCTCCATGTGGCAAACTATGGGTATTCTTGACGAAGTATGGAAACACAAGTTGATATTAGTGGAGACACCTGATGCTCAAGAAACTTCGCTAGCTTTAGAAACATATAGAAAAGCCTGTTCAAATGGCAGAGGTGCTATATTACTTTCTGTGGCGAGAGGGAAAGTTTCAGAGGGTATCGATTTTGATCATCAGTATGGGAGAACCGTTCTGATGATTGGTATTCCATTCCAATATACCGAATCCCGTATATTGAAAGCTCGTTTAGAATTTCTAAGAGAAAATTATCAAATTAGAGAGAACGATTTCTTGTCGTTTGATGCAATGAGACATGCTGCCCAATGTCTAGGGAGAGTTCTGAGAGGTAAAGACGATTACGGTGTTATGGTATTAGCAGATCGTAGATTCTCTAGGAAAAGGAATCAATTACCGAAGTGGATATCGCAGGGTTTATCGGATGCAGATCTAAACCTGTCCACTGATATGGCAATTTCTAATGCTAAACAATTCTTGAGGACGATGGCCCAACCAACTGATATAAAGGATCAAGAAGGTATTTCAGTTTGGAGTTTGAATGACCTAACAAAATACCAGGAGAAAAAGAAAAAGAGACAGGAAGGCATCATAGAAGTCGATGTTACTGAGAACGTAGACGGTGATGGTGACATTGATATGTACTGAGCCGTTGTCCAGCATTTGTTTTATTCAACATTTGTGTACATTTATTTCTTTTTTGCATATCTAAATTATTCTGGATAAATAATGCCCAATTATATATTTATATATCTTCAATATTATTTAACTGTAACCTCAAATGTCACTTCTTTATCAGTATCAACATAAGAATCACAAATACACCATAGAGTTATAGAATGATTACCGGAGTTTGGTAACATGAATTCTATTTGATATTCGTTAAGTTCTTCTTTTAATGATACCTTCTTCATAGCGTAAAGTTCTCTGGTTGACGTCTCACCAACTACAATCCACCAACCTTCTTTTTTCTCGACTGGGAATTTCTCAGAAACCACAGATAGTGATTCGGGTTCGTCATCCCTAGTAATTGTTACAAAGAGTTTGTTTAGCTCGTTTACAGCTATATTTTGAGTGTTTTCCATCGAATATTTCATTTCAATATTAGGATAATTATTGATGAAATTTGCAACCGTCATCACTTTATCTATATCCATTGTTAGAAGATCGTCACGTTCATCATCTTCTAAAGCCATTATATCATAGACTGTCTCGACGTTTTTTTCTTTACACTTTGCTAGAATATTTTCATCAAAGTATGGAATTTGTCTTAACGGATTATCTACATCCCATACCGCTTGAGTTAGCATCTGAGATATATCCATTACAGTTGTGGCATTTAAGAAACCATTACCTGCTAGTACGTCTGCAAAGGCACTGACTAATGTAGTTACGCTGTGTAGTATGAGATTTAAATCTAGCTTCAGATTGAACGGTAATTCAATTCTTGAGAAATAAGCTTGAAGAAGTATAAACACTTTGAAGCTTGTAGAGTCAGAATCCATAGAACCCTTAAATTTGATGGGAAGGAGTCCCTGTAACTTCAATAGCTTTGCATAATCTTCCACTCTGAGAGGAATATTCTCGAATTCGTTAGCTGTTGACAATATCTCCAGAAGCTGGCCCAGGGTTGCATTTTTTGTGGAATTTGTGATAAAAGAGTGCATTGTAATAAAATTTACGTTATTGTAGGCACTAATCAAACACCCGTTCAAAGGTGATATTGTCTCTTCGTCGTCCTCTTCGTCGTTTTCAGTTCTCTCTTGGTGTGATTCGTTCACTTCTATCAATGAGAGGTCAGATAGGTCAGTTAGAGTAGACTCTACGAGTTCGGTCAGATAGGCAGATATGCCATATTCGGTGGAGTTTTTTACACCGTAAAAAGTAGGATTTGCGTGGATTCTTCTGTAAAAATATGTATAGGTCAACCAATCCACACAATCCTGTTTTGTTTCGATAATAGAATTACTAATTCCGTTAATTAATATATCATGGAAGTTAAAGTAGAGGAAACTCTCTGTTGGTAAAGGCTCTTGTAAAAATTTTTTATAGTAATACTTTCTTGAGGGAGTAGTATAAATAATAACCTTAGCATTACCTGTCCCCTGGGCTGTCGAATTACCCACCATCTCTAATACTTCGTTTGCAGTATAATTATTTGAATGATGGTCTCTTAGATTGTATGATTCTGTACCACAAATAATAATTAATTTTGATTTCAAGGTATCTTTACAACAATCCCTAGTTACTAGTAAAAATGAAAGAGCACCTGAATTTAGGAGTTTTTCGGTAACGCTACGATCTATCTTATTCATTTCAGGGTATATAAACCCTATTCCATTTAAAAGCGCAATCAAAAGTTGTTTATCTTTAACGTTTTTCACATATCCCTTCATTTGTTCTTCGTCTACTTTCTGGATATCAATATTCCTTCTATTTGCTGTAGAGGTCAAATGAGAAGCAACATTGATGCAGGTTCTCCGATTTGGTAGATATATGATAGGGCTATTATTTTGTTCATGAGATACTTCGAAAATTTTGTTGACTAAATTTCTTGGCGTATTATCATTGGAAAGCTCTTCTTCAACTTCTATTTGTATTGTTATGGGCTCATTCCTTTCCATGGTTGAAAAATTGAATATATTAGTTTTATCTATTCCCATCCATTCTGAAAAATCTCTACTATTTGCTATCGGAGAGGATAAAGCAACAATTCTTTGTTCTTTCTCTAATTGAAACGCAATGAACATCATTCGCGATATCAGTATTTCATAACTTGAGCCACTAATACCGCTACTCATTTCATGGATGTCATCGAATATCATAAGGTCAATTCTTTGAACGTTTTTCCTCTGTCTCCATTTGCGCGATAATAAATCAAACTGATTAGGGGTTGCCAATGTAAGGTGACTTTGACCAAGTATACGATTGTTTTCTAAAATGTTGTCTGTTAATTCACTGATTGTCTTTCCATCTGCAATGCCCTCGAATTTCTTTGACCAATACTTCGTTAATTTATGAATCTTTGTTTTTGATGGTGTCAGATATATTATTCGGCCACCATTCTGCCTCCAATGATTCAATATTGCTAATTCAGCCATTACAGTCTTACCAGATCCTTTCGAACATCCAATAAATATATTTTCATTGCTGTTATACAATGTTTCGAAAACATTTGATTGAATCAAATTAAATCTATCAAAATCGAAAATTGAACCAAACGTCTCATTTAATGATGATGTCTCGATCAATTCCATATCTTCCAGTGTGGTCGTTGCAGGAAACTTTTTTGGCAAGGTAACATCATCAAGACGAATTGCTATCTCCTCTTGGCACTGTAGCCACTTCTCTGATATAATTGAGACGAAAATATTAGGTGGCATTCGTTTTTGTTGATTCGATGATAATTGAACACAAAAATCAAGCATTATTTCTTTGTTAACGGCGTTAGATCTGATTATCAATGATTCAGAATACAAAATTTCGGTCCCTGATAAATCTTCGACCAAAATGAGAAATGGCTCTGCCGAGTCATGGATATTGTCATCCCATATCCATTCGGGGTTCACCGCCACTTGGAAATTCAATAAACTAGGCGTTATCGGTTGTACAACACATTCCATCTTAACTTTCGGGAATCTCTGAAGCAGATCGTACGTCAATTTCCCATACTTTTCGAGTCTAATTGAATGTCCGACTTCTGAAGGTGATTTTAGTGATAAATACTCTTTCCATTGTAAGTTTGAAGACTCTGCTTTCTTAATAACTTCGGTTGGACAACGACTGAATTGCCTTAGAGGAGAATTTGTAACCCATATTTTTCTACTAACACATTTACTTAGAGCCAGTAATGTTTTTGTGGGAGTGGACCACTTTTTTTTTAAACATAACTCATACATGGCCCTAATAAGTCTTCCTGCACTTTGTTGGATGAAAACCATATCTGCATGAAGCGCAAACCCTTCTAATTTGAGATTTGAGATATATGCTTGAAGTAATACATTCACTTTTGTTGAAGCTTCCTCGATTTCGCTCTTGATGGGAATTGGCACCCTGGAAAATAACTCATGTATCTCTCTAACCTCTTCAGGTCTAATAGTAAAGTACTTGAATTCATCAGATAATGAAAAAATTCCAAGGATGTCCATAAGTGAAGCGTTTTCAGATAATTCCTGGTTATATCTGTGCATAGATTCATATTTGATATAAAAATACGACGCAATTCTACCTAGTTCTGTAGGTATTACTGCTCCAGTATCTTGATTGTATACTAGAAGGTTTTGTTGAGCCAATACACAGAATACTGTGTGCATCAGTTGCTTTCTAAATTGCATCAATGTTTCGTCATTTTCTGCCTGTGGAACTTTGTAAAGTTCGGGTGACATAAGTACTCTCACATAAAAGTAGGTATAGCTCAACCAATCCACAGCTTCTGTCAAAGATTTTACGTTACCAGAAACTACCTCAGCGTTTAAATTATCTACTACTTTTGAGATTAATTGTGACTCAATCGGTAATTGTTGGTTTAGTACTGCTAAGTAGTATTGTATATCAGATTGGTTTGTGATAATAATACCATCACCATGCGTGTCATATCTTGGTCTACCTGCTCTACCCAACATTTGCAAAATATCTTGAGGCGATAACCTGACCCAGTTACCTTGTTCTGGTGAATATATATCGGTACCTTTAATAATGACAGTGTGGGCCGGTAAGTTAACACCCCATGCCAGAGTAGCTGTTGAAACCAGCACTTTCAACAGACCATCTGCAAACATATCTTCTGATGTAGATCTATCTTCTCTTGATAGCCCTGCATGATGGATACCTATACCATACGTAACCAATTTTTTTAAATTAGGGTCCAGTATATTTGATGATTCAGAATTTAGAATTTCTTTTGAGCCAGCTTCACTACTTATAAGCTTCTCAGTACTTTCCGTTTCGATGAACTTCTTTATCAGGTAGTCACCAGTCCTTCCTGTTTCCTTTCTTGAATGAACAAATACTATTACTTGGTTCCCCTCCTTGAGCGATTCTAAAACTTTCTCATAACATGCAAAATTCATAGCATTAATTTTCTTTAAGGAGCTTTCCACTTTAATCCCACAAAACTGTTGTGACAACGGACATGGTCTATATGATGCATCAAAATAGAAAATTCCCTCTTTGGGTACTCTCAGGAAAGCTGCAACATCCGTATAGTTTGGTAACGTCGCTGAAAGACCGATAATTCTTGGTTTATCCACATAATCATTAGATCTCAATGTCCTTGCAACGATTGATTCAAGGACCGGGCCTCTCTCATCGTGTAATAAATGAATTTCGTCTATTATTAGTAGCTTTACAAAATCTGTGTACCAATTATCGCTTGCTTTTCTTGTTACAATATCCCATTTCTCAGGTGTAGCCACTAAGATCTGAGTATTTTCAATTTCTTGTCTAGTTAACCTCGAGTCACCTGTCAACTCTGAAACCTTTATACCGTATGGAGACAATCTTCTTCGAAACTCTCTTACTTGTTCCTGTACTAACGCCTTTAGAGGTGCAATATACACTATCTTAAACTTGTTGAGTTTAAAAGTATCAGTCGACTCATTATAGTAATTGGTTAACGTTCGTAAAACTGTCAACATTGCCACATTTGTTTTACCTGCACCTGTTGGCGCACACAGTAGTATGTTGTGGTCACTTTTAAACGCAATTGGAAATACTTTCGATTGCACCGCATTTAATGTTTCTGTTTCACCTGACGGAAATGCCTTTCTAGCCCAATTTGGTAATGATGTTATCGGAACCAAATCATAATCTATTTCAGCTTTTGGAGGTGGCGGTATATGGATTTCATCGTACTCGGGTTTCATTCTCTTAAATGAACCTTTGGGCAATTTTACTTTAGTATTTGTCATAAGTTCAGATCCTTGGTCAAATTTAATCGTATCTAGGTCTAGCAGTGCTAATTCCTTTGTTGATATTGATTTTTGTTTTTTAGAAACTGCCAACAAATTCATATTATCTTCTTCTTCAAGTTTTTCATATTCTTCTTCTTCCTCTTCTTCTGTATCTCCACGAGCTCGTTTACCATTTTCTTTTAGGGATATTTCATATTCATTTACAAGATCATTCAAACCTTTTTCTCTCATTTCTTTGAGTACCTTCGAAGTATTTTGTTTATCACACGTACTTAACCTCAACCCCCAATATATGCTTGATCTGTTAGTAATAATATAATCTATCACTGTAGCGCTAGCATTGTCAAACTGTTTTGTTACACGTTTCTTGAGTTTTTCTTCGTCATATTGATGATTTGAAATTATATCAAGCAATTGTGCGCTAACTGAATTCGACGAATTTCCTAATATTGTCTTTAAGTACTCATTGTTAATGTTAGCAATTCGTGGAAATGACATACCATTTCCAGAAATCGTAAGAACGTCTGTGGAATCTATTTGAGGTACTGAGACATGTGCTTTGTTTTTGCTAATAGTTATCTCATCGATTCCATGCTCCTCCATGTTAACCTCTTGCTCAAGTACATTTAATTCTTCTTCATTATCCTCGTCATCGCTGTTTGCTAATATTGTTACAACTTCATTTGTGTTATGAGAAGGTTTCTCCAAGTGGAAATCTGTGATGGACTTTACATCTTTAAATAACTCGGAAAATTGAGATTTATTTATTTCGATTCCCAATTCAGATATTATATTCAATCTCTTCTTATCAACTAGCCCATCAGAATTATCTTCATCTTTCTTAAGAGTCGTTATTATTACATCGGTAGTTCCCGATATTACATCATGTGGCATATCATCTCCTAGAATATCCATGACTTTTTCTAAAATCTTTCTGTATATGGTAGCATTCTCCTCTGTGGAAGGATGATACATCAAGTTGGTCTGGTTGCTATTTCCTAAAAGCGTAGAATTATTCGCTGTATAAAGGCCCAGTTTATATTTGTTTTCTTCTTTCTTTTTTATTATTGAAGCTTCACTGACTTCTCTTTCAGCAACTTCCCTCTCACTGGTGTTAAGATCCTGTCTCACACTACTTCCCATATCTTTGTATGATATCTTCCCCTTCATTGACTTTGGGTGTGACAATTCGGCATCCCTCAGAGGATCTGATTGTATGGACTGCAAATTTTTGTCTGCCTTGAGGACCTTGTTAGACATCTCATTATATCTGTATATTTCCTTAATTTTCGAAGACTTATCTTCATCTTGTTCTTTATTGGAATTCATCATAAAACCGATTTACAAATCAGTATTTGTCTCGAGATAAATCTTTATATGATATTGTAAGGGAGTATGATAAATGTCCTCTTATGATTATAGCTGTTATAAGCTATCTTTCCAGGTATCTTTTCTTTACTATATATATATAATTTTTTTTATTTACATTAGTTCTGTATAAATTTTTCACCCTAGGAAGCAATGATCTTCGCTTTTGTTTTTACACATCTAACTTAATTTTTTTCAGATTTTAAAGAAAGAAATGCATTGATAAAACCAGAAGAACACTTTTCTTAAGAAGACAGAAATTTAAAGAATATTACTGTTAGATCTTTAGTTCACATCATTCTGGGTGTTCGATTTTAATGAAACGTTACAGATATGGCAGGAGATCTCATAATGATTCTAAAACAAACACCACCACAGAAAATAAAACAAAAAGGCAGAATCTGAGATCACTTTCTCAAAAATTTACATCTGAATCTAAAAGGTCTGAATCAAACAATGTTTTGAAGAATCAAATGTTAGAACTTCCGTGGTTCCAAAAATATGAACCCCAGAGTTTGTCTGAAGTTGCTATACATAAAAGAAAGCTGAATGACGTAAAGGAACATCTTGATGATATGCTTTCGAATTCTGTGGATACTAGAATTCTTTTGTTAACAGGACCTAGTGGATGCTCCAAAAGTACTATTATCAAAGAATTATCACATCTGTTGATACCAAAATATAGAGATGATAGCCGTAAACTCCTCACATTAAAGTCAGATAACATGGAAAATGTAGATTATGTGGAATATATAAGTGATCAATCTATAAATGGTCTCAATCAGATGGGTAGTTTCCGCGAGTTTTTGAATAATTGTAAATATAGGGTTTCAGGGAACCTTTCATTGATTCTAGTGGAAGATTTTCCAAATGTTTTCCATGATGAAACTAGAACTATTTTCCAGAAATCCTTAATGGAATGGCTATATTGTGATGATGATCGATTACCACCTTTGGTTTTATCATTAAGCGAATGTGAAATTGATAATGATAATCCAAACAAAAATTCGTTTAGTGTTGATAATATGTATACAGCAGAGACCATAATTGGTAGAAAACTTTTGAATGATCCAAGAGTTAAACGTATAAAATTTAATCCAATTAGTATGACATTAACTAAAAAGGCACTAAATAATATTGTAAATAGTGAGAAAGTATTACTTCAACAAAATGGTAAGTGGAAACAACGGACTTCATTTATTAATAATATATCTCAAAATTGCGGTGATATTAGATCATCAATTTGTGCATTAGAATTCTGGGCCACGTCAAAGGGAGATTTAGAATTAGCCACAAGAAAGCAGCCTACATCGTACTTCCATGCTGTGGGTAAAATTATATATGGATCTAAAGACATTATAGATGATAATGAGATGATTAATAATCTCCTTTCTTCTACCTCGGGAATAGTGAGTAACTCTAATTTTAAACTTGGTTTATTAGAAAATTACGAATCATTTAATCAAGGTCAATTTGATATTGAATCTGCTTATAAGATAACAGATGCCCTTAGTCAAAGTGATAATAACATTAAAGTAACAGAGTCATTGGAATATGCAACCAGAAAAGTACGTTCAATCTTCCATGATTTAAAATTGAAACATTCTAATGGTAGTTCCCAACAACAACATCATCATGGGCGGGCGAATTTCCCAATTGAGTCGAAAATTAATAGGATGAAGAATTCGTTCGATGTACAAAGTGATGAATATTTTTATATTCAACTCTATAAATATTCTACTGTACCTTTAAACAGAGATATTATCCTGTCGTATGGTTATTATGGTCCATTAATCAGAAAACAATTATTATACAAAAAGAAATCTTTGGAACATTATGTTAATACATTACCCATGGAATCACAACTCCAAATACGTCAAGGTAAAAAAGATATATTTGATGTTGATGATGGCATAGATATAGTAGAACGTCTTGGTGGACCGTTGAATCAGTCAGAAGCAGATCGTAGTATGATTAGTACAAACGATTCTGAAAAGGAAGAAAATAAATCATTAGAAAAGTTACAACAGGAGAAAAGACGTAAAATTAGGAGGTTAATGAATGCAGATGCACAACAATCAAGTATACATTTTCCAAAGATGCAATTAGATGATGAAGATAAGGCTATGCTTGAAGATATTATAGTCAATAGTGATAATGATGATATTGATAATGATATTGACAATGATTTTGATGATTCCATATATGAAATGTTATCTCAACGCGCACCTATTAAGAGATCGCCTAGCAAACATACCAGTGATATTATCAGTGAATCTTTATCAGATTCTGACCTAGAAATGTTATAAAATAGTTATTGTTATTAGTATGTATACATTTATATATGAAGTATAAAAATGGAAATTGTATTAAATTCAACTTAAAAAAAAACTGAAAACGTGTATTGATATGTATATATATATATAATGATTGTTGTTGTTGTTTTTGAATGCGAGGATATTTTGTATTAATGAAATTATATAGATTATTGATCGTTAGAGTAAAGAATTATTGAAAAATTCTGGTTCATCTTTTATAGTTTCTTTTATAATATCTAATCCACCAACAAATTCACCATTCATATATAATTGTGGGAAAGTTGGCCAATCTGAGAATTTTTTCATTCCTTTTCTAACCATATCATTTTGTAAAACATCGAAAAATCCAAATCTAATTTTATTATCTCTTAATAATGAGACTAATTGTCTTGAATATCTACAACGTGGATCTGATGGAGTACCTTTAATAAAGATCATTACAGGAACAGCTTGGACTAATTTTGATAAACTATCATTAAGGTCAGAATTATATTCTGGATCATTTTCTTCATCTAAAGTATCTGAACCTATTGTACTATCTGTTTCAATTGATGATATACTATCATTTCTATATTTTATTTGACGAGAATCTGTTTGTTGGGTATTTGAAAGATTATAAGTAGAATCATTAATTGTTAATATAGTTTCAGAACATTCATCTAATGACATAACAAAATCTTCTAATTCTGTACCTGTCATTGTACGTAATATATAACCATTTCTAACAATAACTAAATAAGGAGTAATTGGAACTTTAAATAATGAAATTAATTCATTATTAATTGATGAATCAATAAATAAAAAATTTATTGTTTCTTTTGTATATTTTAAACTACCTTGACGAATATTTTCATTAATTGTTTTACTTTGTTCATTATTATTACTATAAAAATATAAAACTAATAATTTATTTTTATCTTCTGAAGAGACAACTTTTTCTAGATGTGTTCTATTTGATATTTGTACAATTGACATGATTTATATGTGTGTGTGTGTGTGTGTGTGTGTGTGTGTATGTATAGTATTAGTAATTATTAAATTTGGTTGCTACCTTAAGAATAATTAATACGAAAGATTAGAAAATATATATATATATATAACATGCATATTTTATAAATTATCGGACTCTTCAACAATCTATCTCCATATACATATATATATATATATATAATATAAGTTCAATCAGTACGCTATTTACAGATCGTATTTTTTTGATTATTAAAATAACTCTTTTTCAAATATTAAATGAATCACACCCCAGTTATCTCCTTTTCTCAAGTCTTCAGATCTTCCTTTATTATCTCATACAGTATCTGAATGGGTGTGCACAAGAAAATTAATAATCCAATTGAATTTGAATTAACTTGTATACTAGAAATAAAATTCAATGTTTTTCTTTGCTTAATAATCGCATCGCAAATCAAATAAAATTTCGGTTTCTTTTGTTTCTGGGTGTCCCATAATCATTAAATAATACTACGTACTTCCTTTTTATTACTACCTGCATTAGTGTACCCATTTAATTTGATTAAAGCCACACACGCACAAATCATCCAGACAGCAAAAAAAAAGAGAACGAGGGTGCCTTGACTATCTAATTTTTGGTTAAGTAAATCTCTACGTTCCCACCTCGAGTATTGGCATTAAGCGAATTGCCCTAATTTGCAGGAGGGAATACACACGGCATACAAAGGGATCGGGGGGGGGGGAAGAGAGGTGTAATTTCGAGGGTGTCTGGCTTTCTCCCTCCCTCCCGCGGCATGTCTAGAGCACATTGTTAAAAAGATAGAGATAAAAATAATAAAACGATCGCACCCGCATTTTTAAGAAAAAGAAATGTTTGTTGGGAACGACTTTGTTTTCTTCCATCCAATAAGATTAGAGAACGTTAGTAAGTGGTTTGACTCACTATGCACGACGAGTACCCACCTTATAGAATGAACTCCACGTGACTCGGACTTTATAATTGAGATCCTTTAACTCCGGGTGCATTGCTTGAATTGTAGTAATTAATTCATCACATGGATCTGGTGAGCCTTGATTTTTTGGATCCTTTTGCCATGCATGATATGCACTACAGGTCTTTAAATAGGCAAGATAGCCGCTCAGGGGCATTTCTTTAGTGATCAGTAATGGGAAATCGTTTGTTGCCGCCGAAGGTTGATCGCGTGCCATTACATGGGATTCTTCAATTCGTTCATAAAGTTCGGGGTTTAAATGTCTGTCTTGTAATAACCCACGTAGAATACTACGTCCCGGTTGTTCCCAGTATGGACCTAATTTATTTTCACCATATTGTAAATCTAGCATAAGAGAATCCGTGTCGGGATATTGTTCTAACACCGAATCAATGTAACCCCAAATAGCAATAGTACCGCCGGATGATAAATTCTTTGATGCTTCTAATTGGAAAGCGTCGAAATCGAACCAATGAGCACATTCCGCTGCTGTAATCATATCACATGACTTGTTTTCAAGGAATGAAAAATCTGTACAGGCAGCAACATGGAATGTAATTTTCCCAACTAATGAATTGTTTTGATTGTTAGAATTACCTGTTACTCTGGCGGCTAACTCGTTAGCTCTATTGATCATCGGCGGAGAAAGATCTGTTCCAATGAATCTCGAAAAATTAAATAACCATTTAACTAACTGAAACGTAGCTGTACCAGGACCACAACCAACATCAACTAATTGTGAATTAGAACCTGAATGATAATTAGATAAAAATTTATAAAAAGTCTCTGGATAATCTGGTCTAGCTGAAGAATAACCATTAGCACCGAAATCTGCTTCTGAAAATTGTGACATTATTTGGTTTGTTTTACGTTTATTTTCAGTTGTTACTTATGACTTGACGGGGTTCTTCTAGTACTAACTGTTTGGTCCCCCTTATATATGTCTCAAATTTCATATGTTTATTAGTCAATTTTATATATGCGTGACCAATTCGCTTCTCGGACTAGATCGGTACTGGAATTTCGGAGTAAATCGGGCCTGTATCGGATTCGAAATTTTTAAGTTGAATTTGAATTTATAATCGCTAATATTAACATTTCAAGAGTAATACTAAGCTTTTGATGAATTATTCAAATAGATTCTAAATAAGAAGCAGAAAAAAATTGATATTAGTTTGTTGCCTTTCTTATAAAGAGTCTTTTTGTCCATTTCGAGGTAGACCCTAAAGGGAACGGGTTTATCTCTCTTCGAGGACATAATAGAAAATCAGTACATTTTTTTTGTGCTGTCTTTTTTTTTTTTCAGCAAAGGCGATGACATGATGTGATAATATCAGTAGTGGTGCTACCGTAACTACGTCGATCACTATTATTTGCTAATGTAAGATCGAAAAGTAGCCTGTATTTAACTGTAACTTTTATCAACGTATTCATATATTATAACAACATAAAAAGAAGATACAGGAGTTACAACAACAACAAAATGTCATCTCAGTTTAAATGTACTACATGTGATATTTCAGGCTCTGGTGAGTCTTTAATGAAACATTTAACATCTGTTAGACATAAGACAATTATGGATAACAAGACTCATGAATTAGTCTCATGTGAGGAATGTTCAAATAATAATATTCATCAGTTGCAAATTATTAGATTTGGTGGTGATGACATGGTATTATTATGTGATCCATGTTTTAAAGAATTATATTCAGGTATTACTAGACCTTCAACAGCTTATTCTTTATCAAATGGTACTATATTGATGTATTGGAATAGATATATAACGGTAAGAGATTGTACATGTGAACAATGTGGTAAAGATAATAATTTAAACGTCGATCCAAATTCTAAAGTTTATTGTAATGATTGTCTTAAAACAAAACCAAATTCAAAAAATTATGTCTCTGAAGATTCTGGGAAATTTTTATACGTTTTATTAAGTATTAAAGAACCAAAATTAAATTCAAATAATGGTAAAAAGAATAAAAGAATAACTAGACGTAAAGGTAGATTTGCTAAGAAAGGAAAATCGATAAAAAGTCGTAATAGTAATAATGATACCAATAATAATAGTAGTACTACTAGTGGTAGTGGTTATTCAAAGGGTGGACGTCCTGCAACTAAGAGTTCATCAACATCTAAGACTACTACAACTGGATCAAGTAAATTTTCTAGTAAGAAAAACAATAATAAAAATCCAGAAGGTGTATTAAAGAAGATAAACGCTGTTGCATATCGTAATAGAAAAGATAATACAAAGATTGAAAGTAGTACTAAGCTAAATTTAAGATCTTTCAGTGGTTTTAAAGCTGTCACAAGTGATACAAATCTGGCGGCTACCATTGAACAAAATGCTGAAAGAAATATATCTAGGAGTCAAAGTAGTAGTAATCTAAGTGGTAATAAAAGTAATCGTCCACTTGGGATGAATATGGCCTTATTAAATAAACCGGGTGAATTAATGAGAGCTTTATCAAGTACAGATTTAGTTAATAAAGGGAATAAGCAAAATCAAAAGAAAGATAAAAATAACAAATCAAAAGATGAAAAGAATAAAAAGAACAAGATCAAAGAAAAGGAACCAGTAAAGAAAAATGAAAAGAGGAAAAACGAAAAGAAAGAAAAAAAGGAGTCTGCCCCAATTATCGATGCCTCAGTTTCATGGGGTGATTCTAATGGTTGGGGTACTGCCAGTTGGGATGCTACACCACAACCTTCATCTAATAAAGAAAATATCCCGACTCCCAAATCCAAAAAGGAAAAAACACCACCATCCAAAAAGGAAAAAACACCACCATCCAAGAAACATGAGACAGAGACTCCAACCAAATCAAATAATAAGAATAAGAAAACCGAGAAGAAATCTAAAAATGATGTAGAACCTGCTGAAGAAGGTGTTCAAATACCTAAATTTAATAGATTTACTCCAAAATTGACATTCCCTGATTTAACTACATATTTGGATACTTTCTCTCAAGCTATGTTTTTGGAACAAAAATTAGAAAATGCATTCTTAGAGGATTTCCAAATATCTTGGTCTAAAAATACTAAAGAGCGTGTCTTTCTTGTTGAATTTAAGACCTCTGGTAATGAAGAATTAAAGAGATTAATCTTACCACATTTAGTAGGTAAAACTAAAAATCCATTCAATGAAAGACAACCATTAATGTTAACAACAATTGATGAATCCCTAGTATGGTATACATTTATTAAAGAAGTTAAAGAAGAAAGAAATCGTATTAAATTATTATTAGAATTATTCCCATGGAATAAAATGTCATTACCTTCAAAGTTAGGTTCTAAACATTTAAAGCTTTTACCTGTTTCAGCACAAGCCAATAGGATTATGTTTGCAATGACACGTATCACAAATCCAAAATTTATTGATTTATTATTAGGTAATAAAAAATTGAAGCCAATTTATTTTAATAATAGATTAAAATTTTCTAGAAGTTCATTAAACAAATCTCAACGTGATGCTATTGAATATGTTTTAAACAATTCTGTTACTTTGATTCAAGGTCCACCAGGTACAGGTAAGACATCAACAATTGAAGAATTAATTCATCAAATTATAGCAAATTTTCATTCATTTCCAATTCTTTGTGTTGCTGCATCAAATATTGCTATTGATAACATTGCAGAGAAATTTGTTAACAATACTAAAGGTATTAAGGTATTAAGAATTGTATCAGATAGAAAAGAATCTGAATACAATATGTCACATCCATTGGGTAAAATTTGTTTACATAATATTGTTTATGATATGTTGCCACCCGATTTGAAAAGAGAAGAAGATTTATTAAGATCTCGTGGTAAGAGTGCAATATCAGCTAAGAGTGAAAAAAGATTATTTTTAGCTAAGGGTTCATTAGTTAATAAAATTACAGCACAAGCTCAAATTATTTGTACAACGAATATTACAGCAGGTGGTAGACAATTAAAGAGTACAAAAGAAATTCCAACTGTAATTATGGATGAAAGTACACAGTCTTCGGAAGCTTCAACTTTAGTTCCACTATCATTACCTGGTATTAAAAGTTTCTTATTTGTTGGTGATGAAAAACAATTATCAAGTTTTAGTAATATACCACAATTAGAGATGTCATTATTTGAAAGAATTTTATTAAATGGTACATGTGGTGAACCACAAATGTTAAATACACAATATAGAATGCATCCAATGATTAGTGAATTTTCCATTAAAAGAGTTTATAATGATAAATTATTGAATGGTGTTACAGAAAAACAAAAGAGTTGGCCAGGTATTAAATATCCATTATTTTTTTATCAATGTGATTTTGGTTATGAAGAAAGAGCATATAGTAATGGTAGCAATACAGGTGGATTTAGTTATAATAATCGATATGAATGTGAAGCAATTCTTGAAATTGTTTATAAATTAATTAAAGAGAAAAATATTAAATTAGATAATATTGGTATAATTACAGCATATTCTGCACAACGTGATTTATTATCTGAAATTTTATTAAATGATCCATTGATTAATCCAAGTAAACAAGAAATGATACGTGAAACTGATGAAGATGAATATTTAAATAAAAATGATTATCCTGGTCAAAATTTGCAATCTCATGTTGTTAATATTGTTAATAAATTACAAATTGCAACAGTCGATTCATTTCAAGGGCATGAAAAAGAATTTATTATCTTTTCATGTGTACGTAATAATGCAGATAATAAAATTGGATTTTTATCAGATAAGAGGCGTTTAAATGTTGCATTAACAAGGGCTAAAAATGGTTTAATTATTGTTGGTAATAAGACTGTATTAAAAAATGGTCAAACAATTTGGTCAGATTTTATTAAATTTCTTGAGACTAAGAAAGTCATATTTGATAATTTAGAAGATTATTAAATTACATATATATCTATTTATAATTTGAAATAAATAAATAAAAATATACATATATTGCCAGCCACTGGGCGGCAATGTCTATAAACGGGGATAAAATTATAATTGTGAAAATAGCACCAACTCAATTTTCAATGTCGTGTTATACGTAGCCACAAAAAAAAGTGTCGTAAAATCCAAAATGAGGAATCCATTCTTTCAGTTGCTATCATATAGTGTGTGGGTGTTCCCGGACACGCAGCCAGATCGCACACTCACACTCACACAAAAACTGCAACGCACCGGGGCTTCCACTAGTATGATATCGTAGTATACGGCGCCCCGGGTAACAACGCTTCTTCCCCTTTCTCTCTCCCTGTCCTTCCCCCCCCCCCCCCTTAAAAAACAAGACGCGTTTCCCGCCCAATAAGAAAAAAAAAAGCACAGCGATTCTTCTAAGTGCGAGCGGACACACACAGGAGAGGAGACAGAGACCGACAACACTGCAAAGTTACTGGAAAAGACAGATTGCTCAATTCTGTGAGAGTTCAAAATAACTAAAACGCCTCGCTTTGCTCTCGTCCCGCCCCCCGCGCGCTATAATGTACGTTGCGTTGCGTTTTATCACTGTTGTTGTAATTTGATTTTATTGATAATTAATTCCGTTGATTTTATACAGAGAAGGTGGGCTAATTTACCACAACTGAAATCAAAATTCTCTCTTTTTGGGTTCTTGATCAACCTTTATTTGATTTTAATAATAATAATAGTTGTTGTTGTTTCTTTTAAACGTTTTTTTTTGCTATATTTTTGTTAAACTTATATAAGATATTATTATCTTTATAATTATATTTACTATTTACATTGAAAAGATCTTAATTTTAGGTAGCACACACAAGCAAGAAATTAAATAAACAACACACTAATCAAATAAGTATGTCCTCAAGTCGTGAAGATTCAGTTTATTTAGCTAAGTTAGCTGAACAAGCAGAACGTTATGAAGAAATGGTTGAAAATATGAAGGAAGTTGCTTCTGCAGGCCAAGAATTATCTGTTGAAGAACGTAATTTATTATCTGTTGCTTATAAGAATGTAATTGGTGCAAGACGTGCATCTTGGAGAATTGTTTCTTCAATTGAACAAAAAGAAGAATCAAAAGAAAAATCTGAACATCAAGTTAATTTAATTAGAACTTATCGTTCAAAGATCGAAGATGAATTAACTACTATTTCTGACGATATATTGGCTGTTCTTGATAAGCATTTAATTCCTTCTGCTACTACTGGTGAATCAAAAGTCTTTTATTATAAGATGAAGGGTGATTACCATCGTTATTTAGCAGAATTTTCAACTGCTGATAAAAGAGAAGAAGCTACTAATGCTTCTTTAGAAGCTTATAAAACTGCTTCAGAAATTGCTACAACTGAATTACCACCAACTCATCCAATTCGTTTAGGTTTAGCTTTGAATTTTTCTGTCTTTTATTATGAAATTCAAAATTCTCCTGATAAAGCTTGTCATCTAGCTAAACAAGCATTTGATGATGCTATTGCTGAATTAGATACTTTATCTGAAGAATCTTATAAAGACAGTACGCTGATTATGCAATTATTAAGAGATAATTTAACTTTATGGACTTCTGATATGTCAGAAAATGCACATGAAGAACAACAAAATGTTGCTCCTGATGCTACCGCTGCTGATAGTAATGACGCTGACGCTCCAAAATAATTTAAGTTTTAACTTCCCTCTTTTTTTTTTGTTGTCAAAGTCAGTCTTATTATTACATATAATCTTCTTATTAAAGTCTACTGTTACTACTACATCGAAACTCTCCTGTCTTTATCTATCTACAATTATATATTATACATATATATAAAACTCCCCCCCACAATTTAGAAAAAAATAAAAAAAAAATAAACTTCGTATAAATAAATAAAAACAATGCAACAATTCAATCTATAAGATATCAATTGAACAATTCTATTAGAAGTAAGACATCAATTGAACAATTCTATTAGAAGTAAGACATCAATTGAACTTGTTAAAGTGACAGATGTTTTCTATATTTTTCATTGGTATGTTATGCCATTCATATCGGACTGCAAGAAAAAGCTGTTCTCCCGTAAAAAAAATTAGAAAACGAATTGAAAGCGATTCTCTGCTTCTTTTTGTTTTTTTCTTGCTTTATTTAAGGATATTATTTATTTCAGTGATGGGAAGTTTTATTTGTTTTTTGAGTGCACTAAACTAACCCCTTCTTCTTTAGAATATTATTTTAGAATTTAAACAGGTTAACAGAAACACGATATTGATTGATTAATACAGTTCTAATATATATATATTGTCAATTGCACATATTACTATACATACATATATATATATAGCGCTCCTGTTTTTTTTTTTCATTTCTTCATTCTGTGTTCAAATCAATCAATTAAATTCACAAACATACAGCTAACATAAGCTTTTTTTTTCAATTTATTACAATGTTATTGTCTGCTACTCGTAATTCACACAAGGTGGCAATTCCCTCAACTGTAAGGTTAATGTCTACTATTAATATGAGAAGATCAATGGCTACTGCAACATCTAATGGAACCTCGTCATCAACAAAAGCTACCCCTTCAGAAGATAATATATCAGGAGATGATGTAGTTACTATTAATTTACCAAAGGAATCGTTTGAAGGTTATATGGTTGAGCCACCTTCTTTATCTTATAAGACTACTAAAGGTGAATTATTACAAATGTATAAAGATATGGTTATTATTAGAAGAATGGAAATGGCTTGTGATGCTCTTTATAAAGCTAAAAAAATTAGAGGGTTTTGTCATTTATCCGTTGGTCAAGAAGCAATTGCTGTTGGTATTGAAAATGCAATTACTAAAATGGATTCTGTAATTACATCTTATAGATGTCATGGTTTTACTTATATGAGAGGTGCTCCGGTTAAATCTGTCTTAGCTGAATTAATGGGTAGAAGAGCAGGTGTGTCTCATGGTAAAGGTGGTTCTATGCATTTATATACATCAGGATTTTATGGTGGTAATGGTATTGTTGGTGGTCAAGTTCCATTAGGTACTGGTTTAGCTTTTGCTCATCAATATAAGAACGAAGATGCTTGTTCTTTTACTCTTTATGGTGATGGTGCCTCTAATCAAGGTCAAGTTTTTGAATCCTTTAATATGGCCAAATTATGGAATTTACCTGTTGTTTTCTGCTGTGAAAATAATAGGTATGGTATGGGTACAGCTGCTTCAAGATCTTCTGCAACAACAGAATATTATAAACGTGGTCAATATATTCCAGGTATTAAAGTTAATGGTATGGATGTCTTATCAATTTATCAAGCATCTAAATTTGCAAAAGATTGGTGTGTCTCTGGTAAAGGTCCATTGTTATTAGAATATGAAACTTACAGATATGGTGGTCATTCAATGTCTGATCCAGGTACTACTTACAGAACAAGAGAAGAAATTCAAAATATGAGATCAAAGAATGATCCAATTGCAGGTTTAAAGATGCATTTAATCGATTTAGGTATTGCTACTGAAGCAGAAGTTAAAGCTTACGATAAGTCTGCAAGAAAACATGTCGATGAACAGGTTGAACTTGCTGACGCCTGTGCACCTCCAGAGGCTAAATTATCAATCTTATTCGAAGATGTTTATGTAAAGGGTTCTGAAACTCCAACTTTAAGAGGTAGAATCTCAGAAGACACTTGGGATTTCCAAAAGGGTGGATTTGCTAACAGAGATTAAAAATATTTTTGTTAAATTTTACTTAAAGAAGATAATAATAAAAAAAATATTATTAAAATAATTGTGTTTCATTTTTCTAGACTATATTCTCCTCCCTTTCCTTTTTTTCATCGTCGTCGTCCTTTAATATTACATGTCTTAATAGTTTCTACATGTACTTGGATGTCTTTATTGCAATTATTTATCTATTCTACTCTGTAACGATTTTTATAATTAAAAAAAAACAAATAAAATAATTAAGAATCATACTTGTAACAATGTTAATACTTAAACAATTATTCCTTCAAATGCCTGCAAGTGCCATTGTCTTTGATGAATAGTTTCTCTTAATGAATATTCCTTTGATTGGAGTATATATCTATTCGTCTATTGTTGTTTCTAACTATGCTCTTGAAAGCAATAAAATAGCCGCCGAGTGGCGAAAAACGTATATAAAGGGAGCATAAAGGAAGAGGAACTAAAGATTATTTTTAATTAAGTTTAAGAATTAACACACATATTTTTTGGAAAATGTATTTTTTAATAAATCGTAATTATATTCTAAAACCCCAATCGTATATACAGGTATATTTTGTTTTTGCTATTTTCTTCATTAATTGATATTACGAAAGATGACTACAACTGTAGAATTGACAGAATCTTCAGTTAATGAAAATGGAAATATCGTGAGTGTAGATGAATTACAAAATTTTGGTATAAATGTCTCAGATATTCAAAAATTGAAAAGTTCTGGTGTATACACAGTTAATACGGTTCTTTCCACTACTAGAAGGCATCTTTGTAAGATTAAAGGTTTAAGTGAAGTGAAAGTTGAAAAGATTAAAGAAGCCGCAGGAAAAGTGATTAAAGTCGGATTTGTTTCTGCTATTGTTCAACTGAATATTAGAAAAAATGTTTTTGCTTTATCCACAGGCTCGAAGCAATTAGATTCGATTCTTGGTGGTGGTATTATGACTATGAGTATTACTGAAGTGTTTGGTGAATTCAGATGTGGGAAGACACAATTATCTCATACTTTATGTGTAACTACTCAATTACCTAAAGAGATGGGTGGTGGAGAAGGGAAAGTAGCATACATTGATACAGAAGGAACTTTTAGACCTGAAAGAATTAAACAAATTGCCGAAAGGTATGAATTAGATCCAGATGCTTGTTTAGAAAATGTTACATACGCTAGAGCCCTTAATAGTGAACATCAAATGGAATTAGTCGAAGCCCTTGGAGAAGAATTGAGTTCTGGGGATTATCGTTTAATAATAGTTGATTCTATTATGGCAAATTTCAGGGTCGACTACTGTGGGCGTGGTGAGCTAAATGAAAGACAGCAAAAATTAAACCAACATTTATTTAAACTGAATAGATTAGCAGAAGAATTTAATGTTGCAATTTTTTTAACTAATCAGGTTCAATCAGATCCTGGTGCTTCTGCATTATTCGCTTCTGCAGATGGCCGTAAACCGGTTGGTGGTCATGTTTTAGCACATGCATCTGCCACAAGAATATTGTTGCGTAAAGGTCGTGGTGAGGAAAGGGTAGCTAAATTACAGGATTCACCAGATATGCCTGAAAAGGAATGTGTTTATATTATTGGTGAAAATGGTATAACAGATTCCAACGATTAAACTCTGTTATTTTTTATTTTATCTTATATGTATTGAATTCTTAGTTTATCTATATTTAATTAAATTAATGAAAACTGCAAAAATTATTTATTACTAAACATCAAAAAAGTCTATCTTGGAACTGCTTGCTGCCTCAAGATCTGAATCTGAATCTGAATCTTCAAATTCTTCGAAATAAAAGTCACGATCTTCTTCTTGATGTAGCGGTTCAATAAAATGTTTCATAGGAAAGTTATAAAAACTTTCACGTTCCCTTAATATTTCAAAAAATCCAGTACGATCAATACCAAAGAGATAATATAAAATATAGTCTTTCTTCCTAATAGCTTTTTTCAAATCCTTATACTCAAATTCTTTAGAGAAGCGCATTGGTTTCTTCCTATAGTTGGGATCATTATTAATTGATAAAGGGATAATATCATCCTCGTCAAATCTACATTCGTAGTCATACACCTTGAAGAACGGCGGGAAGTCAATTCCACTTTTATCAGTTGATTTGGAGACTAGGCTAAGGTCAAGCTTTATTTCTTCCTGCAAGGGAATATCAGTCAAGGTTTCTTCTACATGTGGAAAATGAACGATCCTAGCATGGTTTGGATAAGGAACATGAACAGTCGAATTAGCCAACAGTGGACGTGGGGGGAGCATAGTAACATGTCTGTAAAACGATCGATTCTTATTTCTCGAATAATCAACATTCTCTTCACCCACCGGTGGTAAACGAGCATGATTTATACATTTGTCAATTGATGGTGGAGGGAAATGAGATATTCTAAAATCATTTTTAACATCAGTATTTTGACGTACGTTATCATGTAAGGCAACGCTCAAAGGAAACATCGTTACAAGGTTGATTTTTCTCCTTTTTAAAGTAGGAAGGATATAATCAGACAATAATCAGTTTATATAAAGAAATCTATTATAGCATCTCGTTACTTTGTATTGAATCATTTTTGTTCTTTGACGTTTTGGACGAGTTTGTCCTGTGACGTTCCAAAATCTCAATTTAATCTTTCAATAAGTCTTCTAAAGCGTCAATTCATTTATCTAAGACGTTACTAGATGACATTAGATTATCGATATACTCATGTAGATATTCATTTTCCTGTTGTAATTGTTCACAAACTTTTCTCTGTTCGAGTGTTTTATCCCAAAGCAAATCTAACGTGTCCCGCAAAAGTTTGGTTTCGTTTAAATTTTTCTGCTCTTCAGATAGTGTGAATGATGTTTCACCTTCATCAGGTCTTGTTTCGTCTTTTACTATATTTTCAGGCTCATTGGTGCTCGGCACCCTAGCAGCATCTTCTTCTAACATCACAAATTGGCAGATGTAAATTGGACAAAGCTATTTTAATTGACTTCAAGTTATTATGATGTGATAACAATCGGCTGGAGTGTCCAAAAGAAAAGAGTCAAAAAACGAAAAACTTAGGTTTATCTATAACATCATAAACACAATTCAGTAATAACACAATCAAAATACTCAAAAAAAAAAAATAACAGCCACTTAAAAGACGATTTTGAGATGGCGAAAATATCAAAAAGAAATGGTCCCTAGCGGGATCGAACCGCTGATCTTGGCGTTATTAGCACCACGCCTTAACCAACTGGGCCAAGGGACCTTAAATTTCTGACTTTGCATAGAAAGTTTTATATATAACTATTGATTAACGTTTTAAGTTCAAAATTTTATTTTTACATTTTTGTTACTTAGTTAACCAATAACATTTTCTAGTTTTTATTCTTGCCTATAACTACAAAATAAATCATATTTTATATAAACATATGTTTTTAAAATAGGATAATCCTGGATTTTGAAGGACATTTTATATGTTAAAGGATTCAGATGATAACCATTACCAATGGTTTATTTAAAGCAAAAGTTTAGATCTTGGTTATGTGAATTTTCAGATAATCATTAATAAAAAGTTTTATAGTTAATGTTAATAAGCTACTCTTAATATACTGCACAAATAGCACTTTCTGGGACTTCTTTGAAAGCAGTTTTCAATATGACCAAACTCCCAGTATTTAGGTCACATTTAATGTCGCGAATTCATAGTGGTCAACATAATTATACTAAGGAATATTAAACCTTTATAGGTCGATTCTAAAGCTCATAGTTTAGAAAATAATGCTTTAATTTTTTTGGTAACACCATTTTGTAGATAGCAATTCGGTTCTTGAATAATTCGGATGATACGGGGTCACCTACTATCTAGAATACGAGAGGAATGTTAGAAATATATTTAGAGTTTTTCAAAAAGTCGCATTTACTTCTTTAAATGGTTAACGAAGTTTTTCAGATTTATGATTTCGATGTTTTTTAATATTTTGTTCAATTTTAACATGTTTCAATATTTCACAAAGGTAATGGTGAGAGTTAAGTGTAAACAAAAAAAAGAAAGTGATAATGCATTCTACTAAGCTGAATATTCTAAGAGTATATAGTATAAGGTATTCGCATGAGCATAATAATTAATGATCTGGAACGCTGATATTAACATTAGTTAAATAACACATACAATATTGTGTTCAATTATTATTATTGAATAGGCTTATACGACGATACTTAAATAAGAAGTTCATGAATGTGAAGGTTAACAACTACGGCACTAAATTCGTAATATATAAACACAGAGGTTTGAAATACATAATCTGTATATTAAATAATTCTTTCCGAAATATATTAAGAAGAATTATCTGTATAATATCTGTATAATAAAAATGAATGAAAGTAAAAATATAATCAATGCTCAACAAGGTAGAAACGAAAAATTCTATCAAAAATAGCTACATTTCGTTAAATGATTAGCCTGAACATACCATGATTTTCAATTTTTCTTTACTAACACGTACTTTATCGCAATTCTTATTATTTCATTATTGTATATTCTGCGAGTTTAGCGAAATATATTCTTTTTTAGAATATGAGATATCTCAAATTAAAATTAAAGAACTACAGAAGATGGAGGGAACACTTATTTTATAATGAGTCTATTGTTTATCCTATCATTTTACTTTTGGTTATTTATATGCATATATAGAAAGTGAATAATAATATGATGAACTAATCAACCTTGATGGAAGAGTAGATCTTTCTGATGAAGAACATGGAACTCATGAACCCAATAGCACCTGTAACGATACAACATAAGACAGAAATTACCGTAGAGTAACCGACATACAGAACAACTGTAGTAAAACCCCCAAGCTTAAACTTAGTGAATAAGATAGAATGAATGAAAACGTAAATGGCGCAACCAACACCACCGACGATAAAACTTCTCCAATGCCATAACCAATTTTCCAAACATAAAGAATGGTAAGTGATTAAGATGGTAACTAGAGCAGTTGTAAGGGTTAATAATAAGAATGAAAAGAATAAGAACCCAAACATGTAAAAAATCTTGTTAAACCATAAACTGGAGTAAATGAAATATAGTTCAATGGCAATGGAACCGAATGGGAAGATACCTGCAATTAATGTGGCTGGAATAGTTTTCAAATACCATGGTTGAAATGGAATTTGTCTTGCAATTTGGTTTGTTTTTGTTGGATGCTCATCCCAATTACATTTCTTGTGTGCAATTAAAGAACCTGCAACTGCGGATGGCAAGGAGAAAATGATCCATAAGAATACCATGAAAAATAATGTGCTAGCAGGAATGACATCTGATGAATGTACATAGAGTAAGACCAAATTCATGGATAAGATTACGCTGAAGATAAAACCAGGCACCAAAATTGGAGTCAACATCATATTTGCCTTCCAGTATGGACCTTGGAAAAATTTGTAAACACCCATAGATGTATAGGAACCAACGAAACCAAATAATGCGTATAACATAAACATGACAGTTGCCAATGAACCCCTTGAACTTGGAGACAGGAAACCTAATGCTGCAAAGAAAATAGTTGTGATAATCATGACGAATAGTTGCGTACCAGAACCTACTAAGATAGATAACAACATGGATTTGTGGGGAATACGAAAGATATCACCATGACCTAATTTCCAACCTGCATCTTCATGGAATTCATCATCTAAGTTCAATTCGTTGTAACGAGCGAAATCACTCTTCAAAGCTTTCAATAGGGAATGAATGACGACAGAAGATAATAAAATAACGATAACAGAGAAGTTAATTAAGGAAAACCATTGAATAGTTGGATCATAAGTATGAAGATATTTATCCCATCTTGTAGCCCATACTGTATCTGAAGCAATGAATTTAACAGAATAGGTGAAATATACTTGATTATCTTTATCTTCATCTAGGATCAAAGCTTTACCGGAAGATAAACAGGAATCAGGCGAAGAACGATCTATAGAAGCTGGACTAACAGTCACACCAACAACACGGTAATTACCTTCACCACGGTCATGATACTCAATATTAATGTCGAAATGGTTAACGAAGTAAGCCACTTCGATATTTTGTAGAGTTTGAACATTCTTTGGCTCACGAGTCTCTAATTCGATACCTTCATTAGATGAAGGTTTCTTTGGGACAGTATTAACTTGACCAGATCCTACAGTTTGAAGAACTTGAACAAAACCTAATTCGAATCCGGAACCATAAAAATCGGATTTAGTCTTGGAATCGTGAATTACTTTAGCTGCTGGTAAACCATCAATTAACCAATTTTGGAAGAAACCATTCTTAATCAACTTGTTAATGAATTTTGCATCATCACCTGGAATAACGCTCCCACAAAGAGATGTACATTCTTGATCTTGTAACATTTTTATCTCGAAAGGAGAATTGTAAATTCTATCACCAAAGATGGTAGAACCTAATGATTCAGGTTGTCTAACAATCTTTTCAGGTTTACAGAAATGGAACTTTTCGTAGTAGTAATCATATGAGTATAAATATCTTTCTTTATCACCTTTAAAAGTTTTACCATCTTCATCCAGATGTTGAAAATACATGGATGGCGATAAATGATTAACCAAAAGTGGAATATCGTCTCCCTCTTGGAACGTCATTGGTGCAACACCTGGTAAGTAGAAACATTTAACTATTTCTACATAGAAGGCCACACTTAATATACAGCTTATAGCGATATTCCTAGATAACATCTTGCTGGTTGCTTGCCTCTAGAAATATGTAAGTTTTCACTTTATTGTCCTTCTTAAAAGTGCTTATATAAATATGTATATAGACCTTTTATAAATACAGCTCTAAATTCGGACAAGTAACAAATAAGCTGAAACAAACTACTAGATGTTCTATCGATTGACTTTGAACGTTTGTTTAAGATGGTATACTATCTCAGCTCCTCTTCGTGTTTGAGATTAGTTAATTGTCGCCAAAGCATTGTTCATCTGCCACTAATTGTAGAGGCGAAGATTTCTCTCCTCTAATTGTAAACAACTTTTTTTTTCGTTTTGCAAATTTGCGCTGCCAGACGAAGAAACTGCGCGCGATGGATTTAGAGAGAACTGGCAAGGCACACCCATGCACCGTTAACGAGCATACACATACATGAACAGTTGAAACTGTTAACTTTAAACTTTCCAGAATCAGATTAGGTTACTTGAATGAATCAAGGTAATATGCTGTATTTAGTTCACTGTTTGTAATTGCGTCTGCTTATATAACCCGGAGCGTGTAGTAGTTGCACCGTTCGGGATACTATCCTTATTCAGAATGTATATTTTCCTATTTCTGTTTTGTTGCATTAAATCATAAATCCTATTAGATGAATTTCATTAGTTTTTCTGGTGGTACTGTATTTATCATATCGTCCTCATCAATATGAGGTGTAAGAGGTTCGTATTTGATCTCCTCATCTCTGAAAAGGGCAGCCAGAAGAACACCGAATAAACCCAACACTGCGACAGTACCAAGTGCCAGTGCTAACCCTATCAATACTACAAACCCACGACGTATCTTTTTTGAACCTCCCTGTGTCTTCTCTGGTGATGACGTAGATGTTGCACTAGCTGTTAATGTGCCTGATGTCCTTGGTGTTGTAATTGTAGGAGTTGTGTTAATTAACACTGCTGGAGAATTGAATAAATCTGTATTATCTTTATTAATAAAAGGTTTAATTCCACTCGATGAATCGTCCGAAAGCTCTGTGCTGATGGCTAAGTAGGGAACCCATTGGTTGAAGTCATATATAAATGATTGCAATGTCCCGTAAGGTGTACTATAAAATTGTCCATTTAATATTAACATCTTAGTAGAAGAGCCATCATCATCTCTCTTTGATAGAGAATTATCAGAGATATAACCTGATGATAAAGAAACATCAGTAATAGCACTGGATGAATTCACATTAGGAATTTGTATGTCACTCCATGAATCGTTCTGGTATATGAACAAAGTTGTACTATTCCATGCGATAATTCTATCACCATCTGTAACGAATGAGTTTAATTTTGATTTGTCTTGTCTCAATGGGGTTAATTCATTTTTCTTCAAATCATATTGAGATAATGTGATATCCGAAGTAGTTGTAGTGTTATATATACCAGATATAATTAACGAACTATCATTGTAAAATTGTAAGGATGTTACCGAACCCTTTACAGAACCATTTGCAAATGAACCGAAGTTCCCAGTATCATAATTGTACAGACATATACCATTACAATCCTTGTTTGAAATGTCGAAATTACCACCAATAAGAAGTGTCGAGTTGGTCTCAAAATTTAACATTGAAGTTATATTAGAACTCGATCCTTGTAATATTTCTTGATGAACAATAGTCAATGTAGTAGTATTCAAAATTGTAAGTTGTGAATTAGTGGAACCACTAGAAGATGTACCAATAGCTAACATTGAGTTATTTCCAGAGTAAAGTATAGAAGAAATAACACCAGGCCACGAAGTTAAATTATTTACCTGCTTGTTGTTACTGAAATACAATTCATTATAGTTATCACTCGATTCATATGCGTAAACTGTAGAAGAAGAATTCAAAAACAAACCTAGATATGGATGAATCCCATCTGGGAAATCAATAACTGATGCAGTTTCGTTTGAATCAATGGAAACAGATCCTTCTATATTTGCAAATTGATTTTGATGAACTGAACCATAAAATATGGTATCATCTTGGAAATTCATTGCTGAGGACCAAAATTCCAATGAGAGACTAGGATCATTTTTTACTTGCTTTCCACTAGAAATATTGTAGATGATATTGTTGTCAAGTGCTAGTAATTCAGAATTAGAAAGCGTCATATTGGCAAAAGTGGCTACCACTTCATCATTGTTAACTTCAAATATATTAAATGTACCATTATAAACGAGATTATTGGATTGTTCATCAGAGACATTTAAATTCTTACCTGTAATAAAAATACCATTACTAAAATAGTGGAACCCACTTACGTGACCTGTTATCTCTAAATCCTTGTTTGATTCCAGAGTTAAATTATCATTTAATGTTACCACCGAAATACCTTGATCTTCACTACCTAAAAGTAGCGTATTATTGTTATAAAGAGCAGCTAAAATTGAGGATTTCTTATCAAATGAAGAATTAGTATAATGTATTAAAGACGTTTCCGTAATAGGACATTCTGAGGAATTAAATGCCGATGTAAAATTGGATAGTTGATATTGTAATAACCCATTTAGACTAATTACTGATTTCGTAGAAGTTGAAGTCAACTGAACCAAATCTGATGTATCTAATTTCACGATCGATATGCTGACTCTATCAGCAACGAATGTCACTGGTGTAGTGCTAGCATATAGTCCATCTTGATAGGTCAAGGTGATACGACATGTTGAGATGTTCAGAATTCCGTTATACAGGTCGTCATATTTCAATTGATCATTGTTCTGATAAATAGACTTAGTTGATATAATTGAGTTATCGGTTGTATCCCAAACAGTTACGTTAACAATACCTCTAGAATCACAAGTGGCATCACCTGAACATCCAGGTGTATACATATTGATGGAATACTCACCGTTGTACTCCAGATCAACAGAGAATTCAACAGAAGGAACTGGATCAACGTTTGGTGTATAATAGGTACTGATGTAATCAACTGAGTTAGATACTGCCTTCCAATCATTTTTGGAAAGGGATACAGAAGTAGTAGTAGACTCATCATCACAATTTGGTTCATTCAATGTATTATTAGCAAAACTATTGAATGAAGCTTGAAATAACTGTAAACCTGCAAGACCAACGTTTGAGCCGTAAGATTTTAACGCCGTGAAAGTTAATGATTCGACATCAACAGGATTGACAAAACCGAAATCTTGATAACTATCTGTCCATTTCAAGATGGTAGAATTATTGTTGATTAGAGTAACCTTATCATCTATAGTTAAGGATTCGTTTGCAGCTTGTGAACCTAGAATTCTTGTTGAAAGCATTGGACAAAAAGCGTCACAATACTTCAAACTCCCTGATAGGGGATCCAAGTAAGTCAAGTTCAGAATACTATTAGATGGATTGGTAGTAATTCTAAATAAAGATACTTCGTTGTCTGTACTTGGCGAATTATATAATCTTACCTTTGCTGGTGTAACATCATAGGGTAAGTTCAAAACAAATGAACCATCTGTTCCAGATTGAGACCACGACTCAGTTTCGCTACTGGGACAAATGAAATTATTTCTATTAAATTCGCTTGAAGAATCCACATCCCATGCAGCAGCTTTCAAAGATACTAAAGGTTCTAGTTCAATGTTGGTTAGATTAACCAAGTTGGTTTTATTATTATTATTATCGGTTGAAGTAAGATACGTATTATTGCCTAAAGTAGAGAAATTACCTGTGAATAAAATATCATCATCATTCAATTTTAAAATGGAATTGACTTTAGAATCTTGACCAAACCCATCAAAAGGTAAAGATGATGTGGTATTATCATATGAATCCCATGTATAGGCACTATTAGATCCTTGGAATGTAAAATTACCACCAAAATATACTATTTGATTATCCACAAAAATGGTCGAAACTGCATTCAAACTTTCATTAAAGATAGGATATACGGTTAAAGTTGTTAAATTGTACACTAATTGTTGTGAAAGATCATAATTTGAAAGTTTTCCTACCCCATTTATTATAAATGAATCATCACCTAATGGTATTATTTGATTTATTACGCTATCTGTACTAAAATCCTCGTTAGGTATTAATTTTATCAAAATATTATTCGAATAATATATCAATGAATCTGTCATATCAGAGTCATTGACACTACCTGTAAAATTCTGCTGTCCACTATACTTGTAAAACGATAGTGTACTTATGTTTCCTAGTAATTGCAAGTCATCGTCTAGAGATGGTGTAAGAAAAGTTTCAATACCAAACTCTTTCTCTATATGAGCCAATTGACTTGCACACACCAATAGCGGGAGCCATAGCAAAATACACAAGTATTTTTTGGTAATAAGCTTCATTAAAATAAGGTATTTGTCATAGAACTCGAAAACAAAATAATTATGGTGAAAAAAAAATATAACTAAAAATAAACAACTGTTAAAATTCGTCAGTAAAATATTGTTCCGAATCGTTTTTATTATCAATTATAGATATAGATATATATATTGTTAAAAACTGTTCTTAAGAAAGATTACCTGGGAATACATAACCAAACTCAATATGCCATTTATCATTTTCTATACCCTTTGATAAATCTTACCAGTTCATCTGTATATTGAATTAAGTTTCCCTCGCAAGGTTCATCAAATCTTGGAATCGCTTTTCTTCCCAATTGAGTGCTCATTTCAACTTTTCGCACTCCGCGCTCGACCTGTATCTTGTTTGCCGCGCCAAAACAGGAAATTCGTCAACACGTAAAATACAATTTGCGCGAAAACTTGATAAATATTAGTTTTGCGCGACAATTTGTGTGTAAAAATTTCTTGAAAATCAAAAATGCGTGAAAAATTGCGAAACAAAATTAAATTTAATGTAAGGGTAATTACTTTTAAAGGGCAAAAGAAAGGTTCTACTTATACCCTTCCCTCAAATGCAAACCAGTAATATCTTGTTCATCTTTTCAATACTATTCTAGCGCAGTTAGAAATGGTTTACGCTCATTATATCCAAGTCTGATATCCAAATCTATTCTTTGTGCACCACTCAGCTCCATGTTCCAGATACTCTTCTCTTGTTACTCTATTCTTCCGATAAGTTTCTGTCTGAGCGAAAGCTTGCATGGCTTCCCATCCGAATAAGGAAGTATCACCCTTCGGTAGCGCAATTCGACATGTCCAGTCTGTAGGTAGTTGTCTTTGTAATTCACTACATAGTCTTGAACCAAAATGTGGTAAATTGAAGTTCCCACCTGTGCAGACAATATTGCCAACAATTAATGGTCTAATCACTTCAGGTAACATTGATAAACTCTCTAAAATTGTCTCTACAATACCAGGTTTTAATAATTGTGCAATTTCTGGATGGAAGAATGTCTCGGGGATCGAGAATAACTCATCCCTTAAGGTAATACTTTGACTATTATCTGCTAGCGGATGATCTGAACTAACGACATATCCCATAACACTTGTTTGAAAATCAGGCAAAGCATATACTACTGATCTTTTATCTTTTTTCTTGAAACTATCAAAATATGATGTTGGACTTACAAATAAACATTTCTCTTTGATTTCATTAACTAATATACTTTCATCCATCATATTATAATGACGAAAGGATAAAGTTTCTTTTAATAGCCCATTTAAAAATCTTCCACCTATATCTAACTTCTTAACAGCCTTATATACCGGAACACCCTTTATAACAGGTACAATATAAGTACAATCAAATCCTGAATCAATCACAAGTTGATAGTCTCTATAATCCTTTTTAGAGCCATTCCCCACATCGTCATCATCATTAGAAAATCCAGACCTTGACGGCTCTTCCGTATCTTTACCCGATATTATCTTGTATTTATCATTGGAAATAAAAGGTATAAATCCTGCTATGCATGTTTTGTACATACTTTTAAAATCATATTCTTCAAATACAACTTGATCAGTATGTTTGCTTAACTCAGGAATAGTAATGCAAGCTTCACTCAACACTAAATCCTTCTGGGCTGAATCAATAACGTCAAACCCATCAAATTCATCCGGGTTAAAGAGACAATAATCCCAGATGTGACTTTCTAACTCCCATGAAACTAATTGGCCCAGTTCATGCGGTCTTCGTATCACCGCTGAAGATATATCTTTAATGTCCTTTACCTGATTTGAAAGGTACGACACATTATATTTATCCTTAACTAAACAATTAGATGCAATGAATGGTTTAATAATCGGCTCATTGTTTTCATTAGCTGCTGAACCAAACTTGATACTGTAGGACCCATTGTCAATTATCAATGGGGCTCCCTCCATAATTCGTAACTAAATTCGTATAAAAGACACACACAGAACACCAAGTCTATCGATTTAATTATACAGTTCTATAGAAATAGAAACTCAACTCTTTGCACGCAATATACTGCTTTTATATCTTCACTTTAAACCTGTTTTAAGTGAACTGTTTGGTTTCCGATGCAATTTAATACATTTAATAATATTCGTGAAAAAAAAAAAATAGTGAAACGCTTTTTGTTTAAAACGTAAACAAATAGATCTGCACCTCTTCAATTTACGACATAAACAAATAACCTTCGTAGTTTAAAAGGTTCAATTAAAACAAGTAATAGATAATAACACAACTCAGAAATAATATAAAATATATTCAATATACTAATAGATACTGTATCAACATGTCTGACAGTCCGTTGAGCAAGAAACAGAGACGTGATTTAGGAGATAAAACACCTGAGCCAGCTACACTTCCCAATGTAACTCCTACACACTCCCAAACATCTGAAAGTTTTTTAAATGATGAAAATGATGAAGATAATGACGTTATGCCATCAAATATATCTTATTCGAAATCGCGAACACCGAGAAAGCTAGTAATTGGATCTACAGATAATAGATTTGCCTTTTCACAACCTTTAAATTCAAATCCTGCTTCATCACTTCAAGTTCCAACGCTACAACCTCCGTTGACACAACAGAGCCGATCGGGTCGCAAGATTAAAACCTATTCACAATCACCACCACGATCCCCCGGCCGATCTCAAGGTAGATCACCTACAAGAAAACTAGAATTGATTCAATTATCTCCAATCAAAAATAGTAGAGTCGAATTACAGAAATTATATAGTGCCCACAATTTGAAATTGAAAAAAGAAGGAAGATTATACATTAATAAATTGGTTTTGAATGATTTTAAATCTTATGCGGGGAGACAAGTAGTTGGTCCATTTAGTACGAGTTTTTCAGCTATTGTTGGTCCCAATGGTTCAGGAAAATCAAATGTTATTGATTCAATGTTATTTGTTTTTGGGTTTCGTGCAAATAAGATGAGACAGGACAGATTGGCTGACTTGATTCATAAATCAGAAAAATATCCAAATCTTCCCTCATGTTCGATAGAGGTCCATTTCCAATACGTTAACGACCTTCCTGATGGTTCAACCAAAATTGATACAGAGAAGGGTGATCTAGTCATTACTAGAAGAGCTTTCAAAAACAATTCTTCGAAGTATTACATAAATAACAAAGAAAGTAATTATAAAACTGTAACAGAATTACTGAAACAAGAAGGTATTGATTTAGATCACAAAAGATTTTTAATTTTGCAAGGTGAGGTCGAAAATATTTCACAGATGAAAGCTAAAGCAGAGAAGGATAACGACGACGGGTTACTGGAATACTTAGAGGATATAATAGGCACTACTAAATATAAACCTTTAATTGAACAGAACGCCACCGAAATGGAATCCCTAAACGATATATGTATCGAGAAAGAGAACAGATTTGAGATTGTTGACCGAGATAAAACGGCATTAGAAAAGGATAAGGATGCTGCACTTGAATATTTAGAAAAAGAAAAACAACTAACATTGGCTAGATCAAAGAGGTTACAAGTTCAAATATTAGAGTCCAATGTGAAATTGAAAAATTCTTTAGAAAAAGTCTCAGAATTAAATTCACAATTAGAAATAGAGAAAGAAAAGTTTGAGTCTCAACAACAGCAGATTTCGTCATTGGTACAATCACACGATTTAATGAATCAAGAGCTAAATAAACTCGCTTCGGAAGAGAAAACAATAAATAAGGATAAAAGAGAGAATAAAACGAAAGAAGTTTCGTTAGAAGAGATGTTGAAGAGTTTATCACACAAGAAAAGAAAAGCTGAGAAGTCCTTAAAAACTACTCGAGAAAAGATTAAAGAATGTGAGACACAATTAAGAAACTTCGGAGAGGAGTCGATCGAGGATGAAGAAACATTACAGAATTTAAATAGAGAATTGGAAGAAGAAAAAGTAAAATTAGAAAATATCAAAATTTCTTTAAAAGAAAAGACTAGTGATATATCGAAAGATATAACGAAGTATGAGAACGAACTCGAACCTTGGAAAGTAAAAATGCAGGAAAAAACACTGCAAATCCAATTGATGGAATCAGAGATATCTGTTTTACAGGAAATGCAGATAAACCTAGAAAATGATATAGCTAATACCAAAAGTGAAATTAACCTCAAAACACAAGCTATTGATGAGAACCAAAAAATGAACGAAAATTTAGCGGATGAACAACAAGTTTTAAAGAAAGAAATACTTGTAGGCGAAAGAGAATGCAAGACTGCTAAGGAAAAGTTGAAAGATATGCAAATTGTACTAAATACTCAAAGACAACGGGCCACTGAGGCAAGATTTGCATTATCAAGCGTTCAAAATAAAAACAAGGTTTTTGCTGCACTTTCAAGACTGCAAAAATCTGGTCGTATATCTGGTTTCTACGGGAGATTGGGAGATTTGGGTATCATACCCAAAAAATATGATATTGCTATATCTACCGCATGCCCTCGTCTGGATGATATAGTTGTCGAAACTGTTGAATGTGGCCAACAATGTATTGAATACTTAAGGAAAAACAAATTAGGTTATGCAAGATTTATTTTACTGGATAAATTAAGAAATCTGAATACAAACCCAATTCAAACACCTAACGATGTACCGCGTTTGTTCGACCTTATACAACCACAGCAAGAAAAGTTTATCCAAGCTTTCTATTCTGTCCTTAGAGATACATTAGTTGCAAAGGATCTTAATCAAGCGAATAATGTTGCGTACGGTAAGAGAAGATACAGAGTTGTTACCTTGGACGGTCAGTTGATTGACATTTCTGGTACAATGAGTGGTGGTGGGAACCAGGTATCACGTGGTTTAATGAAATTGGGAGATAAATCCACTGTTCAGATGGCAATGTGCACCGCAGAAGACGTACAGAAGATAGAAACTGAATTGAATGAGAGAGAAAAGAATTTCAAAGTTGCAAATGATACTTACCATGAAATGGAAATGGAACTAACAAGATTAAAAGATAAAGAACCCCAAGTCGAATTAGAAATATCAAAATTATCATTAGATCTGGACTCCTTGAAGAGCGAGATTCAACTTCTTAATAAAAGTCTTGAACAAAAACTTACCTCATATGCTGCAGCTCAAAATAATAATGATGAGGTAGATAATGCCCAGAGAAAACTTGATGATCTTAGGAAGGAATTTTCGGATTTGGAAAGTCAAACTAAAACAACACAAGAGAAACTTCAAAAATTAAGGGAGAAAATCATGGAAATTGGTGGGATTAATCTGCAATTACAGAATTCAAAAGTAACTTCACTTTTGGAACGAATCGATACAACACAACGTAAGCTAAAAAAGAAAAAATCTGAGATTAAGAAAAAAGGAAATGAAACAAAGAAATTGAATAAGACACTTGAATCTACGGCAACTGATTTGAGAACATGCGAAGCTGAGATAACCAAGTTAGAAACTCAACTTTTGGAAACGAAAGAGAACATATCCGAACTAGATAATTCTTTAGAAGGTTTGCTAAATAAGAAGGAAGATATGAACGATAAAATCAAGGACGTTAAAGAAAAAATATCTGAATTTGAATTAGACCATAATCAGTATCAATCGTTTAAACTAGAAGTCGAGAACAAATTAGAAAAACTAACCAAACTTGTCCATTATGTAAAGAAAGAAATTAAGGAATTCGATAAAGATTTAAACAATTTAGCCATAAGAGATGTCACACAGATTTTACAACAATTAGAGGAGGAAAAATCGGAAACTACCTCCCCAGAAAAAAATGGAATATCTACACATGGCGATGAGGTACTACCAGAGCACAATCCCTCCAATAACTCATCCAATGCACCTACAAATGTGATTGAACGTACAGAGATTCACATTGATGATATTGAGGAAAATGAGGATGAAGAAGATGATAAATGTACTGAAGATGCCATGGATGTTGACTCAGAACAGGGAGAAATTTCTAAAGGCATTCAAAGATTAAATGATGCTGAACTTCAAAATATTGACAAGGATATTTTAGATCAAGAGATTTTTGCCTTGGATGAGTATCTAAATACCACTAATGCAAATATTGACATTTTGGAAGAGTATGTAAAAAGATTAATCGAGTATAGAAACAGGAAAAATGATCTAAATAGTGCTATCCAGAGAAGGGATAAGATTGGAAAGATACTGGAGGATTTAAAAACCAAGAGATATGACGAGTTTATGGAGGGTTTCAGTATTATCTCTATGACATTGAAGGAGATGTATCAAATGATAACCATGGGTGGTAATGCAGAATTGGAATTAGTCGACAGTCTGGATCCTTTTTCTGAAGGTGTTACATTCAGTGTAATGCCTCCCAGGAAGAGTTGGAGAAATATCACAAATCTCTCAGGTGGGGAAAAGACACTAAGTTCATTGGCGTTGGTGTTTGCATTGCACAAGTACAAACCAACGCCATTATATGTCATGGACGAAATTGATGCTGCTCTTGATTTTAGAAACGTTTCCATTGTTGCAAATTATATTAAAGAAAGTACGAAAAATGCTCAATTTGTTGTTATCTCATTAAGGAACAACATGTTTGAGTTAGCGCAACAGCTTGTCGGCATATATAAGAGGGATAACATGACTAAAAGTGTAACTCTACAGAATGAAGATATTTTCGAAGAAAGTACTTAGACAAGTCTGTTTGCTAGAGATTTGCGAAGGGAGTAAAACCTACCAAACATGTTCAGAAATAAAACACACGATATATAGCAATTCTTCTTTTAAAAAAAAAAAAATCCTTACTGCATTAGGTAATTAGTATTTAAATTATGTATGTCGTAATATTAAAACTATTGAGAATGCCCAATAATACTGGCATATTGCTGTTCGGCAGTGTGAACGATCTGTTGTACAGGTTTTATTACTGTTAAGTGTGTAAACATGGGTAATCTCTTTCTATTAACACCAAACCATTCTAATGGTGGGGTGGCATCACCTAAATCTTTAATCTGAGGCATATCGATCTTTGGATCACGGAGCGGAACATATATAAATCTAGAGGTACTTTCTTCTTCTTTTAATCTCCTTTCGACATCTTCCTCATTATCAAGAGCAATATCTGCTACATTTTGGGAGTGACGCACTGCCATAGCTCTCACATGTGTGGCCCACATTTCCTTAATGAAATTCACAGGACCTAGATTCCACTTAACACCAACTTTTTCACCGAAAGTACAGTCATAGATAAATTCCAAAACATTACTATCTCCTTCTTGCCATGTTGTCATGCTGATATCTACCATAGGCATTTCAACAATTGTGCCTCCTGTAATATGTGATGCATATTCCATGTATTGTTCAACTGAGATCTTTGACACCGTTTCTTCATCCATTTCCTTCTTTGATGTAGACAATGCCACATAAGCATCGCGAATAAGTAAGCTAAGGTCGGTTTTGACTTTTGGACCGGAGTGGGTCCCTGAACTTGCAGATAATTTACCAATATTAATTACTAATACTTCAATATCATATAAGGATATAGGAGATATTTGTATGTTCAGCGTGGAAATATCCACAGAAACATCAGTCTGTAACAGATTTAACGATCTAATAACGTCACTGTATGTGTCTTGAGTTCTTGTTTCAGAGGAATTAGATTCCCTTAATGTTTCCAAGTACGAAATTTTGTTATCTTGTCTCATACGCATTATAGTATTGTACAAATCGACGATGTTGGCTGCTACCAATGCTGTTGAACAGATATTAATAGATTCACATGTAACACGTACCTTTAGCAGATCCGGCATTATGTTGTTAATATCCATTTCACTATGCAGATGGAATTTTGTATTAAATATAGTTCCAATAAGGAACATGTGATAATCAAAAGCAGCTTTCACAGAAATATTATCGATATTGGCGGATAGAGACACAAGTGGATACTTGTGTCCAAATGATTCATGTGGCCAGTTAACCTCAATAATCGAGGAAGCACCGATAACCTCCAAAACACCACTCAATCTACCCTTTGATAATAGGCGAATGTCATCAATAAATGTGTAAAGTAATTGTCTCTTGTCTTGATAATGATCTGATGCTACCCATGTCCTCTTCAGTTTCAGAGAAATCAGACCTAAAGATGAACCTAGATCCACATCTCCATTTATATTTGTAAAAATCAATGTGAATGACCATGGCGTATCAATATTAATACTGGCTACCTTTGGAATTGAAAGATGACTGCTCTCCCTTGATATACTTTGGATTGGTTTGCTCTTCAGAAGACTGCTTAACATCCAAATATCTAAAAACAAATAGAGATTCTGGAGTTGTTTCATATTGAAATATACATTCACATCAGAAATTAGACCTAAACCAAATATATTAATAACGTCAGGATGTGTGAATATCATTGTAAAATTAATTAGGTCTATGTTAAAAGATGTGCTTGCCTCTCTAGAAAAGACATGCTTAATGGAGGCCTCTGTGTTTTCAACTACCAAGGATATATTAAATGGATCAGAATCTTCTTTCTCGTTAGTAGTGATGTCGAATGTAAAAGAACCAAAACCAATATCAGATTGGACTTTGGCTTTAGGCTCACAACTTAAACTTAATTTTTGTTCTGCCGATGTAATTTTAAATGCCATATCGAAGGGATCCAATAACCGCTTGTAGTCGATACCAGAATTTGTAGTTGCAGGTTTGATAACCGGCTTCTTCATCTCACGTTTCTCATTCTCATTATATCTTGTAACAATGTTTTGCAATTGTACTATAAATGCTGCAATAAGTGGTGCACATTTGGCGTAAAGTAGATTGTAAGTACTTTCAATATTAACCAATCCTCTTATCCAATGCGGTTTTTTACTGTCTGGATCATGCTTATAGTTTAAATAGATCTGTACACCAGGACTCTTAACCTCAAAAGACGGATCTAACTTGGATTCATAATCGTGAATTGAATAGACCTTGAATACACCACCATCATATTGAAATTGACAGTTTATTGATCTTATACCGGAAAATAGAGGAGCAAAAGTTTTTGTTGGATCCATTGGCTTACGGTTGCTATTTTTCTTTTTGTTTTTTGGTGGTTGCATCTTAATTAAACTATGTTTCAGATGTTGGAAAAGTTCTAGAGATTTTACACATGACTCGATAACTTCAATAACCAATGGCAAAAAATTGACATCAAGCGCCTCACCACGGAATCTAACATAAACATCTCTTAATTCATCTATTTTTTCGAACCAATATGAAATCTGCATATTGGGTAAATAACTTCTGTTTATACGATCCTTTTCATTACCTTGAGAATAAAACGTTGATGATGTATTCCCATTAGCCACTGAGAGAAATGCTTCTATCAGAGTCAACTTACCGAACCCCTTTTCATAGGCAGAAAATAGCCTACTAAACCCTAACATAACACCCGGTTCTTTACCACTCCGATCTTGGAAGATCCATCCAACGCAGAAATTGTACGATAAAATATGGATTGATGATAACTTCAAAGGTGATTCGGAAGTTCCGGTATCATCCTTCTTTATGATATCATCGAGTGTCTTGTAATTCCATAAATTTTGAATTCTATTCTCTCTATAATATTCATATAAAGTAAGTAACTGATGGTTACCCCAAATTAAACGAACAAATGAAAATGGAGAGAAACAGACTCTGAAATGGTTACTCTCCAATTCGAACGATTTATCAGAATCTGCTGCCTTTTGAGTGGTTGAAAATTTCAGTGATAAATCTAAAATCTTCGATAATCCTGAAGGGACGTCACGATCTTTAATCAAAAATAATATATTTTCAGCTGACAACTGTCCTGAGACTTCATCATCGTTTTCGCCTTTTATGTCATCAAGATCTGCATATGAACCTAGCAATGAATGAAATTCTAAAACAAAGAATGTGGTAGATATTGGAATCAAAATACCAAGGTATGTGATATCGGTTTCGAATATGCACCTTTTCTTATTTTCAGAAGAATAGTCTTTGCCAACTGCCAACCTCTGAAAGATTGGGATTAACTTTTCAAATTGCGCAAAACTCTGAGATGCAATACGTTCGTCTTGAAGGAAACTTGATATCATTCTGTGAGGTTCTGAGAAAGTTAATTTCGCAATCGAAGCTGACAAACCGATATTAAAACTTGTACTTTGTTCATTATTAATGTCATATTTTAATTGTAAATCACCTAATGATATTCTGAAATATTGTTGTTTTGTGAAATTGGAGCTTACATAAATATCAGTATCCCAAACATTAAGGATAATATCTTGAGTGTCGTACTTTTTGAATATAATTTCTACTTTTCTAATCTCACTACGGCATTGAAAAGGTGACAGTGGCATAATTTCAACACTAACATTGGATAAAAAGAAGAGAACCTCTGCGTTTATCTTGTGGTCATTGAGATATGAACTATTAATGGTCTTCTTCGAAGGCTTCCAAGTTCTCTTTATTTGCTGGATTGTTTCTTCTATCTCACCTATTGAGTTAACTAACACATCAGTATTAGCCATTGCTCTTAAATGTAAATCGCTACATTGAGCATTAATGACAAATGTTGGTTGATTTGACCAAGATTCTGCTGTACCGGACACGGACAAATCGTGAAATTGACCTTCAGCTAGAACCACACCTCTATGCTTTAACCACAGTTCCGAAGTTTCTGAAAATAAAATTATAGAGCCCGCTTGTGATGTATATTCCTTTGGGCTCTCCCATAGCATGCTTACGGTTCCTCCATTGATTGTATTGACTAAATTGGTCTTTCCAACCACCAGTTGTAATTCACTATGACCAAAAAGCATCGCAACATTCAGTTTGAATGTTTTTGAAAGCGTACTCACTCGTTTTAGTCTATTTTCATCTTCACTCCTAAGTACTGGAAGTAATTCTTGCATTTTAATTAATTTATCACTGAATTTTCCCTTAATAGTCCCTATCTTAGCCGTTACATTAATGAATTTTTCACGATTGATACCAAGCTCTGAAAATTGTGGTGTCTGTTCCAGCAAAAAATCTGCATCTGTCACAACAAAATTGTGATCAACTTCATAACCTTTTGTATAAACAGTAATAAAAAAGGATGTTATACTTGCTTTCACAACCCTCCGTAATGAGTTCTCATCTTGCTTAGTTTGCCCTTCCAAAAATAATTTGTTATATATGTAGGATCTTGCAACATCTGAGAATTCCCAGTTTCTCCAATTCGAAAACACATTCATAAAAATCTCCTTAGCATCCTTTAATGTATTAACCTTTTTATCTTTGAATGAAGAGTCAATAGTTTGATCCCAATTATCCGGCAAATAAGTCAAAATATGGCGTAAACGGGTAATAATTTTCCAACTACGATTTTCTCTAATGTGTCCACGAGATAATCGCATTATGAATGCAGGCTTGGTAATAACGTAAGAGTCATGACTAATCTGGTAATGTTCACTTGCAGCCGTCAGTTTAGATATTAGTGATTTACGAGACCCAGTTCTTAATGTCTGAATATTGTTGAATGTCTCTGAGACCTCCTTAATAAACTTATCTTGTGTACTGAAAAACTCGAACAACCATTCAATTTGTGATTCGTCCACAGTAAAATCAGTTGACATAATTTTAACAGAGTTTGTTTGATCATCTGTCGTTGTGGACCATGCCTCTGCACCCTCTATGACAAGAGATAGGGCTGGGGGTCGTTCTTCATCTTGTCCTTTCGTATCCTGTTCATTAATTGTTATTCTAACAGATTTAGATTTCATTAGCAGTGTCAGATCCTTGACCCTTTTCTCTCTATTTTCTTCGATTTCTCTCTCCGACATCTCAAAATCTATTTTGTCAAGGAATAATTCTATACCACTCTCTTCTCTAATACCCCAAAATATATCAAAATATAAAACTCTCAATTTAACATTCGTAATAACAGAATTACCTTCATTAAGTTTACCTAAGTTATTAACAATACCAATTTCTATACCATCCAATACACCGATTATAGACTCAGTATAGAAGTCCTTCAAAAATTGCTGTAAATATTTTCCAACATTAGGGTTTAATTCCATGGAAATATAGTTAATATCAAAAACTAAGTCAGATTGATCAATATTCATCTCATCAACTTTAGCCATATTATTATCATTTAGGGAAGCCATATTTACATGCTTCATCATAGTAAAATCTGATTGTTTCGTTGACGTTTTTGTGAGATAACCTGCATCTGATATCTGGTTCTCAAAATCACTTTTAACAGGCGACAAAACTTCCAATAGTGAGGAATATTCTCCTAAAAATTCTTCAATAATAATATCGATCGTCTCTGGTAAAACAGGTAAAGCCAGTGAGGGTAGGGAGGATGATGGAACGATATCACCAAATTGGTCGTTATAAACAGCTAGATTCTGATATTCTTCTGGTAATAAAAACGATACTCTGTGGTATGCAGAATCACTCACGGTCATATAACTACGTTGTTTGAGCGTTTTTTCACTGAAATCTTTGGTCTTTGAAAAGTTACTGAAGTTCAGTTTTGTTTCAAAATTAAAAAAACATACAATCTCATTTTCTGTCGTAAAGGCGTACAAAGAAACTTTCAGATTTGGTAACGTAATATCCTGTCTGCTAGAATACCTATCGTTCATAAAATCAATCGAACTGACACTTAGGTCATTTAATCTAAACGATAAAAATGACTTTGGTTCCGGTGTATTCAAAACAATTTCAACAGAACTAACATTAAGAGTTACCGATGTCATGTCGTCAATTATATCCTTTGGATACAGTAAAATATTTTCTAAGTCATCGTGACCAAATTTAATTTTCTGAATGGCAAGACCTAGTCCTTTAACTACTTCTAGAGTAGAATTAATATTAATGTCCCCAATATCTATACCCCACTTACAAAAGTAGGTGTGTTCTTCAGGAGGAAGACCATACATTCTATGACCACAAATGGATAGCCCAGATAAAGTACCAAAACTGGGATAATTTGTACCATTATTCTTTCGAACACACTCATAAATATCGTTTGACTGTTTACCTATAAATCTTCTCAAATTGATATTATCTATTGTTGCTAGAATATCCATATAGTAGTTATTGTTTCTTAAATCAACCACAAGCTCACTAAAATGCAGACCAATACAAGGATCGGCATTATAGTTTGTTTCTGGAAGAATCAATGCACCCTCAATTACGGAAAAGGTAAACCATACTTCTGACTCATTCTCCGTTCTTTTAAGTTTAGAAGGTGAAATATCTGTATTTCGAGGGATAGGATTAAGACTAGTATTCTTTTTAATATTCGTTTCCATTGCTGAAAATGAACCACTATCAATATCCGTGTTTGGCATGAAATCGCTGGTATTCGATGAAATCAATTTGTCGGTGTATTCTTCGGATGTAATAAAATGTGAGAAATCGCCAAAATAATTTTCTTGTACATTCATAATATAACGAATCACAAACCCATAACAATGAAGCGTGGTAGATTTACTTAAAACATCAATAATAATCTCATCAACATTATCAATACCTAATCTCATGTAATGTATATAGGAACCACTTGCAGTAACATCATAAGATCGACCAACTTCTTTATGTTTCATGAACTCATTAAGAGTGTTCCAAGGTGGTGCGTTCAGTAATAATCGATACATGGGTGTATATATCTTGTAGTCGATTTTAGAACGCGTATTAGTAATACTGTCATTTGGAACAGACACATCAATAGTTAATTTATCACCATGGAGTGATAAATAACAATTTTCGTTAAAATCTAAAGGGTTGTTAATAATGTTATGGTCATTAACGTTTAAGTATATTGAATAACCATCCATAATCCACGACAGTTCAAATATTGATGGTCTGAATTGCTCGTAGACTGATGTTGAAGAAGCAGTAAAATCGGTAACAATATCACTAATCAATGTCATATGTTCCCTCAATAGAAAAATTTCTGATTGCGCTGATGACATATCGACCTTCCATTTGTATTTCTCATTCCAACCCAGAGGATAATGCATAAGTAAACCGAAATCAAAGTATTGACATTTCAGGAAGATATCATGATTCACACTAGATCTTATTTCATTGTTAACAAGATGTATATTAATATTATTTTTAATACCTTCTGATGTCGGACTTAGGACAAATGTTGCTTCAGCGCTAGAATCTTTGGAAAACTTTAAATCTGTCCACCCAAATGGTCTATATTCATCCTTTGTCTCTTTATAGTGTTCTAAGAAGACTACATCTTTACTGGATTCCCTTGTTGGTACACGCCATGTAGCATCATCCAACATCGCAATTGAAATACTGAAAATAGTATAGATTCTTCTTGAACCCGGTGACAATTTCTGAACAGGCTTCTGAGATTTTGAGACGGGTGGCATTAACAGAGCTTGAATATAGCCTAATTGCCTCTGTGCCCAAGGTCCATATGAGAAGGAACCACCATTAACTTGGATATCCAAATGATTCGTTGGAGGTGCACCATTATTACCTACATCAGGCCCATCGACACCAGATATCGTCCTATGAGCTCCATGAGGTACCAGACCCGGGATTGCCATTTCGTAGGTGACGTCAACATTTGGCGACTTTACTATGGTTGATGATTTTGCATATTCGTGACTTGTAAAATCGAATTCAATATCATCAAGTTCATTATTTATACTGTCTCTTCCGGTACCTTTATATAACGACAAACCTTGCCACTTTTGAAAAAAGATGGCATCTGTCACTTCATTCTTGTTTTTCTTGTGAGTTAAACCCAAAGGTCTAGTAATCAATCCAGATATTACAGTAAATCTTTTCCAAAGTTTTGACAGTTTCCCTCTATTTAACTTAAATTTAATAGAAACTTCTTCATTATATCCAATATTTGGTTTCATCGCAACTATCAAGTTCTTAAATTGTAATTTATAACTCATGGTGAAAACATCTAATTTCGAATCAGGAAGTCTATAATCAACACTACCACAACCACTATCAGCACTAAATACAATCAGTGATGGTGTAAATTTATTCCCTAAAACAACAGAGAGATGTTTTAATTTCAGTTCTATTGGTAAGAACTTTAAAAAAGAATATGAATTTAATTTTTTCCCAGGTTGACTAAAAATTCTGTCATTATGTGTTGTGGACTCTATGGAATCGTCAGGAAGGTCACTAGAGTGCTCTACATCTTCCTCAATTTTTGTTTCGTCGCTAGTGCTGTTACTAGTGGAGTTAAATGCTTCCTTTTGATCGGAATTTCCAGAGCTTGTATAGTCATTGCAATCTGTACAATAATCACTAAAATTATTCTCTGAGAGGAAATTTGAGAATTTCACTTTTTCTTCCTTAGAAAAGAGATTTATAATATTATCATATGACACCTTCCTATTGTAGACGAATAACTCAACACCATTACATTCAATTAAAAACCTACACGGTAGCTTCCAATTTGTAGATTTTGCTTGTTCTGTCTCATCTGAATCTTTGGACCCATCTGCAAATTCTGATTGTCTTGTTCTAAAAATCCAATATCGCCACGTTATACAACCCTGGAGAAACGATATTGTCTGATCCTTTTCTATTATTGTCAAGTTTTTAAAAAATACACGGCCACCTAATAAGGAGAACCGTACTGATTCTAGATTTATTTTGACTTTAAAATGTTTCCATACAATCCATTCTAATGCCAAATTTATGATATATGCAAATGCTCTGTTTAAATAAAAAATTACAGTTAAACATAGGATCACGACAAGGATCCAATCTAACAGGAATACCCAGCTGAAATTCCTCCCTCCATTAAGGGAAACGTTATCAAATTCACTAATTGTATCAATCATCGTTGCATTTGATGTTTTATTTGTATGCTATGTAATATGCAAATGCTTTCTTATAGTTCTGCGAATGAAAAGTAAGCTCTAAAATACGGGTATCTGTATCAAATGAATTTCAAAAGTATACTTAGAATGCTTGAAGGATGTTATAAACACTTTTACGAATGAATTAAGACAGGTATTAAATGCAATCGTTTAGTATGACTTTTCCACTTTTTAACAGTCTCCGTACTTAATTGACTTGTAAATAACGTTTAGTTCCAGAATGCATCTTTTTTTTTCGCCTTTCATAATTCTAGGCTCTTAGGAAAAGCCCGTAACTTAACAGGCGCCAGATGGCATATTATTTCAACATGATGATAAAAACGAAAACAGAAGAAGTTAACAAACTATAGTTATCAAAGCGGTAACATCCTTATAAGATAAATTCTTACAGGGGACAATATGTTTTGAATCCTCACAATTCGAAATTATAAGATTGTATTAGAATAGAAGATGTTATCTATTATATTAAATGAGATATCTGTATATGTATAATATATTTATGTAATAACACAATCGCTGAAAAAGTAATGCAAAGATTAACGGTTTTCTTAAATATGACTTCATATAAAAGCTACCTAGACAGCTAATTTATTTTTCATAATTTAGTCACGGTATTGATCAAAAAATTCCTTGTGGAATTTAGCCCAATCCTTAATCCATTGTTCACCTGGTGCTAAGAAAGTAGTTCTAAGATGATATGTACCAGTAACTTGACCGAAACCAGAACCCGGAACAGTACAAATACCAGTTGCTTCTAGTAGAGATTTACAGTAAAATTCGTCTGGAGTCATCTCTAGATGATGAGCCTTTTGAACTGCTTTAAATGGCATTTCAATATTTGGGAATAAATACATGGCACCTTCAGGTTTTTGACAATCGACACCTTCCAGACTGTTAAACGTTTCATATAGTAATTGAGCTCTCTTACCCAATTCTGAATGAATAGCAGATCTTTCTAATTGATCTTGTTGATAGGATTCATCACCAGGTTGAGGTGGGGAAACCATTAAATCAATTAGAACTTGACCTGTAACAACAGGGCATAATGAGATAGAAGCTAATTTTAGGAGCACTTGTCTGATTTCTGGTCTGAAACCAGTAAGTTCCATATAACCACCTCTTTGACCACATTCACCCGAGACACCCTTAGATGTTGAATGTAATGATGCTAATTGAACGTCATCGAATTGACCTGGATGATCATGCTGAAGTTCTCTTAAAACCTTTTTCATAGAGACAAATTCACCGTCACCAAAGATATTTTCTTGGTAAACTTCATCAGCAATGACAACAATACCATGTCTTGAGGCAATTTCGAAAATCTTAGCAATAGATTCTCTAGATAAGACAGCACCAGTTGGATTACCTGGATTTATAACAACTAAGACTGAAGGTTTAACACCATCCGCAATGGCTTTATTGACAACTTTTTCGATATCTACCATATTGGTAGACCATCCAGTCTTTTCTTCCAAATAATATGGTAAAGCATGTGTATTATTTAGAGCCAAAGTAGCTGTGTATAATGGATATTGTGGGATTGGAATAAGAACACCTGTTTTATCACCTCTGCTTAAAGTAGATAACAAATAATTTACGGCAGCAGATGCACCTGCAGTTAAGAAGATATCTTCCGGATAAGCTGGTTCACCTTCATCTCTCTTTGTAATGAAATCAGCAACAGTTTCTCTAATTTCATAAACACCTTGAGAATTTGAGTAAGCACCAACAGAACCACCTATGGCATTCAATAGCCGTCTAGCCCGTTTTATAGCGTCTAAGTTATATTCTTTATTTGGACCTGATTTTTCTAAAGATTTTAGTAAATCTGGGTATTGTACTAAAGATAAAACTTGTCTATAGAAAGTTAATGGTTTTTGTTTTAATTGTTGAGGATTACCAATATTGGCATTAATAATTTTATCGAAGGGTAACGATTTTGGATCTTTTTGTAATTGAATTTTTAATTCTTCTGCTCTCATTGGTATTGAACCTCTAACGGCATATTTAGCGTTCAAAACGTGTTCATTTAGATCTTCAATAGCTAATGGTTCAGCAGGTTCAAAGTTATATTTTGTTTTCACTTTTTTAGCGAGTTGTGAATTAAGTGAACCACTTACAGGGCCAGTATGAAAACTTTTAAGATTGTAAACTGGATAATTTATTAAAATTGATGGGGACATATTTGTATTAGTTTTATTAATGTATGATGATATGTATGCAGATTTTTGAATGGTTCTCTTCCACAAAGAGGAAGAGTTCCTTAATAACAAAGACTGTGACATAATAAAGTAGTGATAATCGAATAATACCTGTTGTATTTATATGTTTTCAAAACACACACAGAGTATAGCTAAAATTTAAACTAAACAGACAAAGGTTAATAGTGAAAAAACACAAACACAAAAATAATACGTAATTGTAGTATTAATATGTTACGGAGTAAAGTTGTGTATTAGGGTTTTAAGACTAACTGACAACTTAACTATCTCTTTAGAATAAACGTAGTAAAAACGTTTAACTTAGCGGAGAGAGGAGATGAGTGGAGGGGAAGGGAAATACACTTTATTATATTGAGTATTCCTAAAGAAGATGTAACTTACGTAGTTTTTCTCCTTCTTACTTATTTAGAATGAAATGAGACCAAATACAGATTACCCCAGGTTTAGTTAGGAGTAGATAGGATTATTCTGTTAGATGAATAAGTCTTCAATACTTCGGAGTATTTTCTCTAAGTATGATACTCGATCAAAAGCAAAAAACAACAAAAAACAGAGATACGTGATCGTGTTTTTATTAAAATTTTCTTCACTTACCTTCTTGCAGTTCTTAGAGGTAAATGTAATAAATTGCAAAAAAAAAAATAAACAGTTAAAAGATATATCGATAAAGAAACCTTAATGCTCAAAAACGTGTGACGTCAAAAAATCGAAAGAAAAAGCACAAACACACAGTGGTAATGGATATATGTTAAATTCTCCTCGTATTTGGTTATTTGCTACAGGTAACTATTACTGTTGTAGATTTAATGAAAAGAAGGAGTACGAAAATCCGAGAACCTTATAAATGAAAAAAGTGAAAAAATACGTAATACTTAATCAATCTTCTCGAGGGTTTTTATTTTTTTGTATTAAAAAAAATATTATCAACCAAATAGGAAACAGGGGAGGGGGGAAGGATTGGGAAACAATCTATTCGTAATATTTTCTCTTAAACTAGTTCGTAATAGTAATAACTACTATAGCGACGGGGAAGAGAAGGACCGGATAAATAAATGGATAAATATTTCAATAACTCTTCGTATAAAGATAGAGAGATGAAACAATAAAAGTATTCAAAATTGATATTCTGGTTCGTTATAGTTATAAAACCAAAAATTTGTATAAGAAGTATATCTAATTGTTATTAAAGAATCGCAAGAAACATGTAACTACTCAATTTTGCGATATAATGAAAACTATTCACCGACTTATATATATATATATATATATATACATGTATGTAGATACTTTGTGATTATTGTCGTCCACCACCCTGTAGATAATATTCTTGTTGCCATTGAGAGAGAATGTTTTTTTTGATGAGCAAAAAAAAAAAAAGGTTTTTGTTTCCACGAAGAATAGGCAAGAGAGAGAGAATATTTCGTGAGAAAAGAGGTGAAAATTTTTTCATATTTTATCACTGTAAAAGGTGGAATCAGTCATGAAAATTGTTACACGCCCTAAATATTCTTTGTCTTATCTGTAAGGAGAAATAGATACACATAGATAGACAGACAACTGACCATAGTAATAATCATAAAACAAAATTGATATGCAATTTATGTCAAAGATGGCTCACTTTTGAAGTACTAAGTTGACAACGGAGTATAATGCAAAGTCAACATTAAATTTGATACGATATGTACCCATAATTAAAGCACACCAGCAAAAATAAGGGAAACCGCAACTGCTACTCACCATATTGAAATCACATAGAGATAACTGAAGTGGATCGCTGTTATTCTTGCTTGTTTGCAGCATACATTATATATATAAATCTATTATAATTATTATCTTAACGTAGTAAAACGATAGCTATATGTGTGTACGTGTAGTTATAGTACAATGATATTAAAAAAAAAAAATGCAAAAATTCGGCTGTTATATGTGCGACCTAGTGCGGTGTGTGGGTGATGTCGCGTGTATATATGCGCTAGTCATGTGACCTTTTTCTTTCAGAAAACAAGCCCTAACTTTGGGTCTCTTTCAACCCTAATATTTGTCCACTCTTTACAAAAAGTGAAATAAAACTTTGATAGTAACCAATAGGCTATTTCAGCAGTAACCATAAGTGCAAAACAATCCCCATTAGTGATTAATTGTATTGATAACTGGTTCGAAAACGAAGAACTATAGTGCATTACTATGAATCCATATGAGGTGCTAGAGATTAGCGAAGAGGCCACTGAGGTAGAAATTAGAAAAGCTTATAAGAAACAAGCACTACGTTATCATCCGGATAAAGTCATCGATCCAACAGAGAAAGAGGTTAATGAAATCAAATTTAAAGAAATTACTCATGCATATGAGATTCTAACCAATAAAGATTCCAATGGTTTATTTGGAAGTACAGATCAAGATTATGATGATCCAGAGGATGCAGATTTCAGGAATTTTTTCACACAGGATTTCAATGGCGGCCCACCACCACCACCACCTCAAAGAAAGAACCCAGATGTCTTGATCGAAATTGAATTGACAACTAAAGAGTTATACAATGGTAAAGTCATTAAATTTAAATTATCGAAATCCGTGGTTTGTGAGACATGTGAAGGGAATGGTTGGAGACGTCGAAAAAATGGAAATTTATATGATCCACCGTTGATAGATTGTTCCAAATGTCATGGTAAAGGTTTCACAGAGAGAACTATGAGAACACCATTTGGGTTCAGTACTGTACAGAGACTTGCATGTACTAAATGTTCATCTGTTGGAAAAATTAGAGCAAGACCAAATTCTGAAAAGAATAGATGTAAGAAATGTCATGGAGATGGGTTAGTACAAATAGAAGACACTATAACGATATCTGTCCCTAGGGGTTATCAAAATGATGATACAATTACGCTAGCAAAACAAGCAGATCAAACTTTAGATGGTAAAGATCCTGGTGATATTGTGTTTGTTATCAAAGAGAAGAAAAATTCTACTAAATTGGAGAGACATAATAATAATTTATTCATGTTTACCACCGTGACTTTGATGGAAGCCATAAGTGGGTTCCGAGACAAATATCTAGTGAAGACTTATGATGATAGAACATTAATGTGGTCTATTCCAAGTGGTAAAGTACTTAGACCAGGTGATATAATAAAAATTTCAGGTGAAGGTTGGCCTACAGCGGGGAATACTTCACATACTGTAACCTTTGGAGATTTATATGTTACTATTAATATTGAATTCCCACCTGATAATTGGATTACAGAGAAAAATGATCTAGTACAATTACAAAACATTTTACCTGGTGTTAAACAATCAAAAGAAGAGACCATACCAATGGATGCCAAAAATTGTGAACATATTAACTCATTTGATATCGTACATGAATTACCAAAGGAGGAAGAACCTCAAGAAAATTACAATGCTCGACCAAGTGATGCTGGACAGCATCAAGAGGGAGTTCCAGAATGTTCAACTCAATGATATATATGTGACGGAGCTTTATAAATATTATTTTAACAGTATCACCATGTAAATAGCATTAATACATAATATAACTTTTTTAGTGAAGTAATTGGCGAGAGTACCAATTTTGTTTCACCACACATACATTTCGCGATGCCGTAGCATGAAAAAACAAACAATATCAAAAAGGAAGAGAATTAGCAACTTATATATTTACATAATTCACTTTCTGTGAAACCAAATCAACACAGTTGTTCAAGATAACATGTCCTTATTAAGAGCATTAAGGAATATTCCATTACATGCCTCTACTACTAGATTAATCGAGCAACGTGTCTTATTGAATCCACATGCTAATCAAGATGAAAAACTTCAATTATATGAATTAATTAAAAACTTTAACGTTGCAAGAAAGACAACTCAAAAGAATAAAGCCATCGAACAATTAATATATACTACATATTTCAAATGGAAAAATACTGTTCCTAATTATTTGAAAGTCTTCGAAACACGGTATACTGATTTACATAACGATTGGCCCATTGATAAAGATTCGGAACATGTAAATGATAAGAAAGTTCCATTATTGAGAGATCTATGGTTAAGAAATGATCATAAAGCCATTCAATATACATTAGAACACATGCTAAGACAGAACCCAAATTGTCCTACAGATATGTTTGAACCAATCTTTGAACAATTTCATTTTATAATGAGTAAACCTCAGTTGCAACGTCGTAAATTAGGTAAAACAGCTAGAGTTCCCATATTACTATTACCAATGAATGTATTAGGTTCAGATATACCAGATTGCCGTGCTGAAAATTTATTAAAGAATCAAATTAATGAGATTAAAAGTATTCTTACTGTTGATAACCCAATACTTTCGCCTGATGTCGCTCAAGAATTGCTTAATTTGTCTAACAACCACGATCACACAATGAACAGACAAATCAATAGAAGATATCGTATGGTTTTGAGATATGGTTATTCATGGATTAACTCACCCGATGATCTTGGCGGTTCTTTTTCCAATAAACCCAAATTAGCCTCACTTTGCGAACCGGAGTTCTCACTACAAGCAGAATCACCAAAATTTGCATCGATCACGTGAACTCGCCAGGTCACGTGTAATTGCATAGTCAACTCCGAAATTACGAACTCTTGATGGAAACTACGACTACAACCAGTTCCTCACGGAGAAGATCCCGCACCCCCCCCCTGGGCAACAGTTCAATCACAAAAAGGAAAATATCTTTATTTCAATTTTCTTTTTGCCTCGGCCGAATTTAACATAGAAAAACGAGAAACATGCCACAATTGTGGGCGCATATCCTCCCCTCCATAGAACATTCGATAGATTTAATATACGGCGACAGCAATTGAACAACTGAAAAGATTTAAAATTCACGATTCTCCCTCTCTCTTTCACTAAGGGAACAATCATCTATTTATTAGCAGAGGTGTGTAATACAGCCAGTTTAGAGTCTGTCACTGTGTGAAGTTAACCATCACTTTAAAAAAGTATGGCTTCTTTGTTATCTTTCACTATGTTTACAATGACATAGTAGTACTTTTTGGCTTGTAAGATTTGTCATTCATTATGCATAAGACAATTTTAGGGTTACACATAGTTGTTCTTTATGACAAATCTTAAGAATAGGAACGAGGGAAATTGAATACATTGGTTTTAATTCAGAAGAAGATGTTAATGGATTTTAAATTTTTATTCACATCAAATTATATAAAAAGAATGACGATCTCTTGATAATTATTCAAATATAGTCTTATTCCTTTATTTTTGAATTAGTACTTGTAAATAATAAATACAACTAATTAACAACATAGTTAAATTATTCATCAAGAACAACTAAATTAACAGAAGGTTTTTTTCTTTATTTGCAAATTTCTGTATTTTACTTATATTTCAACATAATTTTTTAATACCCGTTATCTATCTAATAAGGCCAATTTCAACATGGCTAACGAACAATTTGAAGAGGATTCAGGTCACCGTCAATCTGAAGATAGATATATCGAAGAAAATTTAGAATTACCAGATTATAGAGCAAGTAACGATTTTAGTGATCAAACTAATTTAGATGATTTAGAACAAGAATATAATCAATATAAAGGTGAAGAAAATATTATTAATACAGGTTCAACCACAATCAATAATCATTCAAATCAATTTGATATTTCAAAAAAATTAAATACAAAAATTAGTCAAACTTCCTTTTTAAATGATTCTTCACCATTAGAAAATGATTCAAACATTAATATTCCTTCATTTCATGAACATAGATTATCATTTAAAGATTATTACCGTCATGATTTAAAAGAATACTGTAGTTTGAAATCTGTTGGGAATTATTGTCTTTCTTTGTTCCCAGTGGTCCAATGGTTACCACATTACAATTACATATGGTTTATTCAAGATTTAATTGCAGGTATCACCATTGGTTGTGTACTTGTTCCACAATCTATGTCATATGCTCAAATTGCTACTTTACCACCACAATATGGTCTTTATTCTTCATTTATCGGTGCTTTCATATATTCCTTATTTGCAACATCAAAGGATGTTTGTATCGGTCCTGTAGCCGTCATGTCGTTAGAGACTGCAAAAGTCATCGCTAACGTTACAGAAAAATTATCCGCTGATACTGACATTACTGCTCCAATAATTGCCACTACATTAGCATTTTTATGTGGTATCATTGCATTAGGTGGTGGGCTATTAAGACTTGGATTCCTTGTGGAATTAATTTCTTTAAACGCTGTCTCAGGTTTCATGACAGGTTCTGCTTTAAACATTATTAGTGGTCAAGTTCCATCTTTGATGGGTTATAGTTCCAAATTAAATACAAGACAATCAACTTATAAAGTCATCATTGATACTTTGAAACATTTACCAGATACCAAATTAGATGCCGTCTTTGGTTTGATTCCTTTAGTGCTATTATATACTTGGAAATGGTGGTGTAATAGTATGGGTCCAAAATTAGCTGAAAGACATTATGCTAGAACTAACCCCAAATTAAATTTCTATTTACAAAAATTTTATTTCTATGCTCAAGCTTGTAGAAATGCTATTATTATCATTATTTTCACTTGTATCTCTTGGGCTATCACCAGAGGTAAGACTAAAGCTGAAAGAAAAATTAAAGTATTAGGTACTGTACCATCAGGCTTAAAAGATGTTGGGGTCTTCGAATTACGTGAAGATTTAATGTCTAAACTTGCACCAGAATTACCTGCATCTGTTATTGTGTTATTATTGGAACATATTTCAATCGCCAAATCATTTGGTAGAGTTAACGATTATAAGATTGTACCAGATCAAGAATTGATTGCTATTGGTGTCACAAATTTGTTAGGTACATTTTTTATGGCTTATCCTGCTACTGGTTCATTTTCAAGATCTGCTTTAAAGGCTAAATGTAACGTTAAGACTCCATTTTCTGGTGTAATTAGTGGTGCTTGTGTTTTGCTGGCTCTTTATTGTTTAACAAGTGCTTTCTTCTATATTCCATCTGCTACATTATCTGCTGTCATTATTCATGCTGTTTCTGATTTAGTGGCTTCTTACGAAACTACATGGAATTTCTGGAAGATGAATCCATTAGACTGTCTATGTTTTGTTGTAACTGTCTTCATTACCGTCTTTTCTTCTATTGAAAATGGTATTTATTTTGCTATGTGTTGGTCTGCTGCATTATTGATCCTTAAAGTTACTTTTCCAGCAGGTAAGTTCCTTGGTTTTATCCAAATTGCTGAAGTAATTAATGGGAACATTGTTAACGATCCATCAATTACAATCTCTGAATCATTATCAGAAAATGAAGAAGATTCGAGTAATAACGAATACACTAAAGAAGATAAATCTAATTTTGCTAAATTAAAAGGTAAAATGTTTTCGTCTTCCACCAAAGGTAACACAAATCAAGAATTCAATAGTGATGAATACAAGAAGAATTTATACGAAACAATGAATAAGGATGAATCCAGCGAATCTACTTCCAAATTGAATTATTACACTAAATGGGTACCATTCGATCATGCTTATACAAAGGAATTAAATCCTGATTGTAACATATTAGCTCCACCACCAGGTATATTAGTTTACAGACTATCTGACAGTTACACATACTTAAACTGTTCAAGACATTTTGATATCATATTTGATGAAGTCAAGAAACAAACAAAGAGAGGAAAATTGATTCAGCACTCAAAGAAATCCGATCGTCCTTGGAATGATCCTGGCCCATGGGAGGCTCCAACGTTTTACAAAAGTTTATTCAAGAAAGGTAAACTACCATGGTTCTCTAAAAATAAAAAGAGAGAAAATGATAGCGAGGATATTGCCTCAGGGTTCGATCAAAATACTAACCTTGATTCTGGTGTTGTTATTGATGAAAGACCACTATTAAAAATTATTTGTTTGGATTTCTCCCAAGTTTCACAAGTTGATGCTACAGCTTTACAATCTCTGGTAGATTTAAGAAAAGCCATTAACAAATATGCGGATAGACAAGTAGAGTTCCACTTTGCTGGTATTACATCACCATGGGTGAAAAAAGGTTTAGTGAACATGAAATTTGGTACTACAAACGAAGAGTACAGTGATGAATCTATAATAACAGGTCATACTAGTTACCATTTAGCTAGATCTCAAAAGAGTTCAGATGATAGCAGTAACCTTGATGATTCTTTTGAAGATTTAGAAAGCAGAAGAACATTCCAAATTAACGTTGCCTCTGGTACTAATTTACCATTCTTCCATTTAGATATTCCTGATTTTTCAAAATGGAATATTTAATTACCTATCATTATATTTCAACTCCTAAGAAAAACGAAATTTGCATAAATTAAAAATAATGTCCTATTTACTATTAGTAACCCTATTACATTCTGGACACATTTATAAACACATACACATACATATATATATATATTCTAATACCTTATAATATAAAATTCCGTTAATGCCAACTCTTTTATTACTTTAAGAACCATAATATTAGTACTGCTTATAATCAAAATGAAATAATGTCACATAATATTTACGTACATATATTCCTATATAATCACCTTGTCATTATTTTATATATAGTTGATAACTTACAGTTGGTTGAAAGAAAGCAGAAAAATGAGGAAGAAATACCACAGGCATGTATCCGCGCATAAACTCATGGTACGAATACAGGAGCAAGCTGTTTAAGACATTCATATTCATCGTAAAAAAAGATGAAAAACACAAACAAAGAAACATATTTCAGAGAACATAATAAAATATGAACAATGCACTTACAATTAAAATTATGGAAAATATCAATAATGTCGTATTTTTCATTCTTTGCCACCATAATCTATCATTTATCCTAGCTGATTTCCTTTTAAATCCAGTACTATTATTATTCAATTTAGAGGTTTTATCAACTAATAACGAAACTCTTTCTTGTCTCTGTAAAAATTTATCAATATTATCATTCATCACTTGGATGACATCCTGAATATCAGCTTCTGCTTGATCACCAATATCAGCACCACTACCGTCATTGGCCAAATTCTGTTTCTTGAACGTTAGAAGTTCCTCATGAAATTTATCTAAAATTTCACCTATATGTACTCGAAGTTCAATATTGGAATCATTTTTTCTATATTCTTCTTGCTTCAAATCACTCAGTATCCGTAGAGGTAAAATCTTTGGAGTATCTACTTTTGTAAAACACACATATATTTCATTTGTGTCTAATGCTGTAGAATAAAAACAATCGTAATCATCAATTAAAGTGGAGGATACTTTAGTGACCTTATTACCTTCTAAGGATACAACTTTTGGTAACACCAAATCTTGTATCAGTTTATGAAATACTTCTGGTTTAGCAGTATTGTTCGTACTATTCCCAGTAGAACCGTAATTTACGTTTGAATCTCCACTGCTACTATCACCTAGCGACGTATCAAAATATGCTGACAACGACTTCCCGTTCTTAAATATTTCTAAATAAGTTATATTAAATCTTTTCATGATCTTATTCTTTCTTAATGTATAGAAAAGCTGAAATATATATATATTGTTAATGTGATGTTATTGTTATTCCCCTAATCAAACTCCTTAAAAAAAAAAGACGTTGTATTTATCAGCCAAAATATAACGGAAAAAGAACGCTTTCAATGAAATAAAGAATCAGAACAAGTAATTTGATTAAATAGCCCTTTCAAATTTGCAACTACGTTAAACTTATAACAAAAAAAACAAACAAGCTAAACTATTGTCAATTAAATTCAGTTTTCGTTGTAGCTGTCAAAATTCCTCTTTATTGACGGTTTACCTCCTAAAGCAAGACACCTTTCCCTTTATTTTTTTTTTTTTTTTAGATTTTTTATAGCTTTCGTACCGCGGGTTTTGTTGTTTGCCTGGAATCCGCAGGAACTAACAAACCAATGCAACAGAAGTCAGCTAAAATTGAAATGAACTGATTTTTTATATTATTTAAATAAATATATATGATGACTAGATTGAATGCAAAAAATGGAATTATATGAAAAATTTCTCTTGTGGTTGTACCAGTGATTATTTTACGGGATAAATCTGCTGTCACACCAACCCTTAACTACGTATTGAGATCCGTCTGTGAATCTGCCGCATGGTTTCAACATACCATGTTCTCTGATATCGCTGCTATCATTACACCATGGTTTTAAGGTTGAGTTCACTCTCACAAGTGAACTGTCAACGTCATCGGTATTCTGGGTATCTGAAGGGATGAATTCCATGTTCCATGGGACAGCATCACCATAGGGGTCATTACGCAAACTCCCACGACCAAGATCATTCCATAGCTTTAATTTGGTCTTAATAGCTAATCGAACATCATCATTAAAGTCGAGGGTGTCAACCACTTGAGTATCAGGGTGTACAGATAGACTATTAAATGTTTGATTGTCTATATGAACTTCAGGAAGAATATTTCGATCTATACTACGTCTTTCAATGGCTAATAATTTCAAGAAATTTGGATTCATTGACCTCTGTCTAGTTTTTTTATTATCTGGTAATAAATCAGCCTCAGAAGTTAAATTGACTGAATTTGTATTTCGTTGCTCAACAGAATCAGGCCATACTTCCAACTCTAAATCTTTTGTATTTTCCTGAATGATTTTTTTCTCCGATGTTAATTTTTTTGAAAGTTTTTTATCAGATTTATGTCTTACATATATTGGCGGTATCATCTCGACAATATCTTCTGTAGTTAATGAATCCTGTAAATCCAAATCCTCAACATTGAAAAATTTCATTGTAGGTTCTTTTCGTACCATAGGTGATTGTTGTTTCGTATAGCTCTCAGAATATAAGGGATGGAATCGTTCAGTACAGTTACTATTATTCTCATCAGAACTTCGGTGTTTCCTTTTCGGTATATAAATGTTTTCATCATTTCTATCTGTATCAAGTATAGCGATATCTTCAGTATCTGAATTGGGCATTGAACTAAAACTTCTTCTTAACGTTTGTTTTCTAACATTTGGTTCCGCTGACATCTGTTTAATTTGCGATATTACGGAGCTCATCGATGGTGTAACAGGATTTGATACGGATCTATTCCTCAATTTATGTTCTAAATGATTATGTGTCAATGTAGTTCCACTACCATTTCGTTTATTTCTCTTATAACTTGTCACTAGACCATCTGCGTAACTTAAAGTTGGTTTTCCCTTGGAGATATTTTTAAATGACATTGATATGTTTTCATTCAACATTGAGTTGTTCATGAGTGCTAACGATCCCAGTATCATTCTTCCTTTAAGGTATGATTGTACAGGTACGTATGAAAGACTTTATTTTCCAAAAAATCAAACCCTGTCTATATCGTTTCAAATTAAAATTCTTAAAGTTATACCAATTTATACACACACACACACTCACACTAATCCCTGTTATCTGATATTTATATTTTAAACGAATGTTTATTCGAAACAATAAAGTGAAGAAAACTATGATTACCTAGCAATTGTTTTCTGCTATTATGTAAAGAATGCTAACTTAACAAAATACGGGGTATGTCAAAATAGAAAGATTGCGAATGTATTATTTTTCTAATCCCTACGCTTCTATCCATGTAATATATGTATAGTGCTCTCTCTAGATGTGTTAATCAATTGCAAATGGATATTTTAATAATTTTTAGTGAACACTTATGTAATGATCCAAAATTCGTTTCACTCACTTTGTACACACACACCTTCTCTCTCTCTCTCTCTCTCTCTCTATATATATATATATATATATATCTAAGTATAGAACACAATACCAAGAAGAATATTGATCACAGCCAACCACAACAATAAGATAACAATGCTGATCAACTGATAACAAATGTGATCTATTGTTTCACTCCTTGGTCCAGAATGAAATCAATGAAGAGCATCGTTCCACATTGGCCGTTTTTGCTCTCCTTACAAAATAATTCCGCGCCGATTTTTTGCTGGAAAATAATTTTTTTTTATTTTTTTTGTCTGTTTTATGTGTCGCGGGCGCGGAGGTTGAGGTGTGTTAGGGTTTACACTGCTTTGACACATTTGTTATTTTTGGGGTGGAAAATGTACATTGCATTACATACACTTCTATCTACTTTTTTAGTTATACTACATACAGAGTTTTGAGTCTTCTATATTTGCATTGGAGTCGTGGATGTGCGCAGCTTATGGCTGTGGTTGAGCAGGTGTTGTGGTGGGTGGATTGGAACCAGGCTGTGGTTGCTGGGGGACAATTGTTGCTGGTGGGCCGTTGTTAACTGGTTCCGTTACACTGGTGTTTTGTAAGCCGATGGAAAATGTTGCCATTACAGGTTTATGATTTTGAATTGGGGTAGTTGCAGTTTGAATAGGTACTTGAACAGGCATAGATGATACTGTTGTTTGAGGTTTCGTCTGAGTATCAGCACTTGTTAGTGCAGCTTGTTGTTTCTCTATTAATTTTTTCATCTTTCTTCTCTCACGATCGTCATGTTGTTTCTTTTGTTTAGCTCTTACAATAGTTAACTCTGGTTCAAATGTAGAACGTAATTCTTGTTCAATTTCTCCCAAACACATAGGACAGACAAAGACAGAACATTCGCCAAATTGAGTTCTTCTATCTGTTGGTCTCGTTGCGTTGAGTTCATTATGTTCTGCCTCATCTTCTTGATGTTGTCTCCGCGATGTTCTTCTTGTTGTACTATGATGTGGTTCATTCTTATCATATGTAACAGTACCAAAATCACGTTGTGTTAAAAATTTCATATTATCTAGATCTTTCTTTGAATGTACAGATGCAAAAGAAAGTAAATCAACTAAAGATTGTTCTTGACACTCCCAATGTTGCCATTTTTGACATACATCACAACAGATGATGGGTCTATTCAAAATATCTAATTTACGGAATTTCTCCAAATTGACTTCTTCACCATCACTTTGATGAATTATTACAGGTTCATTTTTCACAAGAGGTGATTCATTATTATCACCAGTGTCACCAGTAGGCGTTGTTGTCTTATTGACCATACATGCACATTGAAACATCCAATCGTTTTGATTATCTACTTTTTCAATTTCTGGTCCCATACCTAATTCATTGGCCTCAGTAATATCTAATTCAGTGATACAAAATTTAGTTGGTAATTCTTCAATTTCTTCATGTTTAAATAATGAATCCTTTTCATTAATAAAATCAGTGATAATAATCTTAGTATTATAATTTAACCCATTTGGTAAGACGTATTTATCTATAGTACTCAAAGGTTCTTCTATTGTTACATTTTGTTCAATTTCATTCATATTCCATTTTGAAGATTTTTTCTCCATTTTATAATCTTGATCAAATTTTGCCCATAATTGATTCCACATATTTTCTTTACAACGTTTAAGAAGTCTTGCAACAGTTCTTTTTCTTAATTTTAAGAAAGTTTGTCTGTGTTCAATCTTATCCTCTAAATGATTTTCAACTTCTTTTTTCTTTGTTTCTTCCTCCTTTTCAATCAATCTCGTGGACCGTTTTCTTCTAGTCATCAATTGTTTCATTGATTGATTTTTAACTCGTTGTAATAACAATTTAGCAGAATTAATTCTAGCTAGAACCACCCATTCAAAAGAACTTTCAAAAGAATCTATAATTTTCTTTAAATCATGAGATTGTTCATTTTTTTTCATCTTTTTCAATTTTATTTTAAAATCTTGGAAACATTGTAAAAAAGTTGTAAAATTATAACTTAACACATCTTGAGTAATTGAAATATTTTCCAAATATGAATCAATTTCTTTTGAGTAATCCAAATGAACCAAATCAACTTGATCATTTGAATCCTCATATTTCACAGTACAATTTTTCAATAATAATGGAATATGAAGTGATGAATCGATTGAATCCTTTCTAGTAATATTTTGTTTTATGATAGAGACAGGATATGTCATAAATAATAATTTACTAGTTTCATTATCTTTCAATTTAATAAATTCAAATAATTCCATATTATTTGCAATAAAATTTTTAAAGACCATATTTTTCGATTCAATATGTTTTATTATCTTATAAAAAATTTGAAATTGTTTATCTAATGGTAAATTAATAAATTTAGAATCATATTTTAAATCATCAAACGATTCTTTAATCAAAGTATCCCATTCATTTAATTCAATAGATTTATTATTACCCAATTGTCTTAATAATGAAAGTCTAACTAATTCATACAAATTCATATTATTTTCTTCATTACCATCATCACCTTCTTCTTCAATATAATTTTTTTCTTCAGTGGTCTCTAATAAATTCAAAAAATCTTTCATAAACAAAATTTCATCAAAGTTTACATTTTTCCACATGGATTTCCCACCTGGATATATCTGTTTGGTGACAAATGACTCAGATACATTATATATCCAAGTAATAACATATTGATATTCCCAACTAGATCTAACATTAGACAATGAATCAAATTGTACTTCGATGCTCTCTACTGTACCCAAAGGATATCTAGCCAATTGAACCAATGTCTCATCACTTAACCATCCATACCATTCAGGGTTTTGTTGTTGATCTTTCTCTAAAATCTTTCTTCTCTTTAAAGGCGATTCAACCGCATCCCTTTGATTTGTTTCTTCTTTAACGGGCGATTCAGTCACTTGACGACTAATCCTAGTTGATCTCCTCATAGAACGGTCACTCATCTTACTGTCTATTTTCTGCTAACCAAATAACAAAATCTTACTGTACTCTATATATGACTCTTGCACCTGACCTTGTCCAACCCTTTGATCTATTTCATTTCATGAATTTAATTGTTTACTCTAATGCTAGGCAAAATGAAAAAAAAAATATGTATATACATATTACTGGAAATTCACGCGAATCGAGCAAAATTTCCCAGAAAATCGAAACAGCCAGCCCTACTTTTCCACCGACCCAACCCTAACCGCTGTTACCCTCACTTCTAGTAAAAAAGGGGAAAAAAATTCCAAAAAATTCCAAAAAAAGTTTGGCGCGGTGGGAAATAAAGAGAGAACGATGGGAAATAACAACATCAATAGAGATTATGATCAATTGCATGAAATATTCTAAATAAAAATAGAAACTGCTAGCGAATAAGATTTTGTAAATTGTAATTGAAGGATAAATTATATAACTGTATAGGTTAACAAATCATAACTACACAATTTCGTATATTTCATTTACTTATAGAGGTTTTACTATCAAAGTAACTTTGGGTTTTTTAAGTTTTTTACTTATAGTTTGATTTAGTATATTCCCACTTTTGTTTGTGTTTTCTCCCCCTTAGTAATTTTGGTTATTTCTTTGAAGGCATCAGATCTAACAAAATACACAAGTCATAATCATTTTTTTCTTTCCTAGTTCATTTCGTTAATTCAATCACATTCAGGTCAAATCCTTTTTTCATTTTTTCATTTTATTATTTGTTAGATATGGAAGATTATCATATAAATCCAAAATTTCAAATGGGTGGAACACCTGTACAGAACCACCAAAGGAAATCTTCAACTTTATCGGAACAAGAACCTGTCACTCCAAGTTCTGTAGCTCCTGCTTCATTAAGAATGATGGGTAAACACCAACAACAACAACAACAACAACACCAACAGCAGCAGCAGCAGCAGCAGCAACAACCGACACCACAGATGACTCCTCAACAACAACAAATACCTTTGATGCCTCCTGTGAATATACCCAATGGTGGGAGTTCAAATACACATAAGAGAATGAAATCGGAATCACAAGGACATGGCCAAGAACAAACACGAACTCCACGTAGAGAAACATCATCAACGAAGTCTACTCAAGAAATTAAACAATTTCATAGAAAATCGTTAGGTGATTGGGATTTCTTAGAGACTGTTGGTGCAGGTTCGATGGGGAAAGTTAAATTAGCTAAACATCACCAAACTAATGAAGTTTGTGCAATTAAAATAGTCAACAGAGCAACAAAGGCTTTCTTACATAAAGAACAATCTTTACCATCACCAAAGACAGATCAAGAAATTTTAGAAAGACAAAAAAAATTAGAAAAAGAAATCTCGAGAGATAAGAGAACAATTAGAGAAGCATCATTAGGTCAAGTATTATATCACCCACATATATGTCGTCTGTTCGAAATGTGTACAATGTCTAACCATTTTTATATGTTATTTGAGTACGTCTCTGGTGGTCAATTACTAGATTATATTATTCAACATGGTTCATTAAGAGAACATCATGCAAGAAAATTTGCTAGAGGAATTGCAAGTGCATTAAAATATTTACATGCAAATAATATAGTTCACAGAGATTTAAAAATTGAAAATATAATGATTTCAACATCAGGTGAAATTAAAATCATTGATTTTGGTTTATCAAATGTTTATGATAGTAGGAAATTATTACATACATTTTGTGGTTCATTATATTTTGCTGCACCAGAATTATTAAAAGCAATGCCTTATGTTGGACCGGAAGTTGATATTTGGTCCTTTGGTGTCGTATTATATGTCTTAGTTTGTGGTAAAGTTCCATTTGATGATGAAAATTCAAGTGTGTTACATGAAAAGATTAAACAAGGTAAAGTTGAATATCCAAACCATTTATCTATCGAGATAATATCATTATTATCTAAAATGTTAGTAGTTGATCCTCAAAAGAGAGCTAAATTAAAACAAGTCATTGAACATCCTTGGATGAATAGAGGTTATGATTATTTAGCACCATCATATTTACCAAAGAGAATACCAATGACTTCTGATCTTTTAGATGATAATGTTATTAAAGAAATGTTTCGTTTGGAATTTATTGATAATATCGATGACACTAAAACTATATTATTAAATATTATTAATGAAGAGAAATATATTGAACTATCACATTATTATTGGACAATGGTATCAGAATTGAAAAATACAATTATTACAAATGATAATAATGCTAGTGGTTCAAATTCAAATATACCTCATAATAATTTTGAGGATCCAACTGAAGCATATCATCCATTATTATCAATGTATTACTTAGTGTCAGAAATGATGGCTCGTAAATTAGCCAAAGTACAAAGAAGAAAAATTCAACAACAGCAGCAACAACAACAATTGCAAAATAGTACTGAAAATAAACAACTTGAAAATGCTGTCAGTATTTTATCTAATACATCAAAAACTACTGATTCATCTCCTGTAAATAACGCTGTGAATTCTCCAATACAACCCCCACCAGAAAGAAAGCAAGAATATATTACTACCCAACCATCTAATACCACACCAACTAATTACAACCACAACAATAATAACCAAGTTTCTCTGGATCAACGGATGGCACCTCTGAAATCTCCGGTGAAATCTCCATTACCATCTATACCTATTGAAAATACAAACAGGAAACCATTACAAGTCTTGGTACCTCCAAAACTTTCTATTCCAGAACAAGCTCACACTTCTCCAACAAGTAGGAAGGCATCTGATACACATAATACATTTGATGCAGTGATGACTCAAAACACAAGTAATAACACAGTTGACTTAAATAGAGACGAGAATGATAACTTTAACGAAGGTGCATACATGCAACAATCCAGTGCTTCACCTGTAGAGACTAGCAATAATGCTGGGTTTGGTGGTATCTTTAGAAAATTATCTCAACGTCGTGCACAACAAAATGTGTCACCACCACAACCAACAGTATCAATGCAAACTCAACAATATCAACCGCATATCAATGTCACAACTGTTCCTGAGGATCGTAATAACAATAGACAACCAATTAAGAAAACACATGCACGTACCGTTTCCGAATATGTACCAACTGTAGCTAGAGCTCCATCTTATGGCACTAGTACCCACACAGAAAATAAACCTTCTGTTATCAAGACTAATCCATCTGGTGCTCAAACTGTTATTACCCCACCACAGAGATCTGCATCTCAAAAACACCAGAAGAGAGCTGACTTACCAGCTTTACCAAGTAATGCAGAAACAATATTGCAACAACAACGTGAGAAACAAATTGAACAAGATATGCAAAAGATGAATATTAACGACGAAAATGACAATTCTAGATACGAAGGTAACAACTCACAAATAGATGAAGAAAACGATGAAAACAATCCATTACCACCACTTAATATTATTAAGGGTAGGAAGTACCACCCAAGCGCTAGAGCAAAATCTGTTGGGCACGCACGTCGTGAGTCTCTTAAATTTAATAGACCAGCACTTCCAAGTTCGATACCGGCACAAGGTGAAGTTGATGATCACGGTTTCTTGGAGTACAGTGATGATAACAAATCTGATAACTTATCTAATGGTCTAGTAAACAATGACAGTGTTATAAGAACATCAGAGAAAAGTGGAAAAAGTATCGATCATGCATTATATGGCGGCGAAATTAATGAACAACCTCAATTAACTGATTCTCAAATCTTGGATGAGGCTTCAAGAGCTCCACCTGGATCTATGCCATCTATTGATTATCCACGTTCCTTATTTTTAAAGGGTTTTTTCTCAGTGCAAACAACATCTTCCAAGCCATTACCTATCGTTAGATATAAAATTATATCTGTGTTGAAGAACATGAATATTGAATTTAAGGAAGTTAAGGGTGGGTTCGTGTGTGTTCAAAGGTCCGCAATTAATTCTACATCCAATAACGGTGAAAAGATTGACCAATATGACCCACTTGACGAGCAACAACAACAACAACAACAGTTATTACAAGTTCCAAATCGTTCGATCTCTAGACAAAGTTCTCTTAGAAGAAAGACATCCGTCAAATACAACCAAGGCATGGTACCTGGAAGCCCAATGGAAGGTCCACGTCACGAAAGGAATATATCTATGGTTACTTCCCCAACAGGTAATACATATAATTATAATATTTCACAGGAAATATCAACTGCCTCTATTGATGATATGGGCCAACAAGAAGATATATTAACCACATCAAGAGTTCAAGATATGAATAAGATACCAGATGCTAGATTAAATTCAAATGGATATGGCAATAAAGAGAGACCACCTATCAAATTTGAAATTCATATTGTAAAGGTTAGAATTGTTGGTTTAGCAGGTGTTCATTTCAAGAAAGTGAGCGGTAACACATGGTTATATAAGGAACTTGCATCTCATATTCTAAAGGAATTAAACTTATAGGTTATTCAATCATTAATCAACAGAACCACTTTCAAATTGCATACCTGTTGGAGAATGTCTATATTCTCAATAGGAAAACTAGTACAGGATTACTCAAAAGAAAGAAATAAAATGCGTTATATCATATTTTTTGTTATATTATAGACTTAAAAATTATGAAATAAAATAATATAGTATATACATATTTTAATATTATGTGAATGTTCGTGTTCATTTATTTACTTCAATCTATGCACTAAATTATTAGAGGGAAAAAAATACTATATACGGATACATTATTGGGTATGATGTTGAAAAATGCAAATGTTTATTTAGTTGTTATTGGGTTTGCGGCAACCTCATGGGCATAAGATATTACCCTTGAAAAGAAAAATGGTTTTTCATTTTTTAAAGAACAATTCGAAACGTTGCCTTCTTTATCTTCAACAGTTGATTCCATCCATTTTAATCTTTGGAATCTTTTATGCCCTTGATTTCTAATAATCAGTTTTTCTTCAAATGCATATTTATCATTAGATCTGGATATTGTTACATAATTAGTCTCACCATCGAAATATAACTTCCAAGAACACAAATGACTTGATTTTATATGATTTTCCCTAGTAAAATATTTTACTACAAATGTAGGTTCATCTGTTGTTAACAACCTTAGTACCTTTCCATCCTCATAAAATCTGTAATATCTATAGTATGTTATCATATGCACCGGATTTCTTAATGATGAAGAGCCATCAACATTGGAACCATATCTCAGATAATTTACAACACTAATATAGACACCTTCGAATTTAATATAGGGTCGTTGCTTAATCATTAATTCATAATTTTTATCCCAAAGAATTTGTTCTAGGTTCTTTATGCTATTTTCACCGTTCAATGTTTGAAGTACATCATCATAGACTTGCTTTGGGTAAATTACATCTTTAAATGTTTTATAGGGTACGGAATTATGAAAACAAAGGTCGTTAAATCTGGTACACGAGAGGGATAGATTGACCCACGATTCACCAGATAATCTTACAACGTGACTAACGATCCTTAACAATATGTCGTTAGGAAGCATTTCAAAGATCCAACATGGGAGCAAACTTTCATCCTCATCTTCATTGTTGGTTGAATCACCAGTCGAATTCATTTTATCGTCTTCATTGAGGTTTAATTTTTCTAGCTTCTGATATAATAACCATTCTGTATGTAATTTCTTCTTGTATACCTTTTCGACTTGGTCATACATTTTTAATGCTTCTCTATAATATTTGATGGCATCTGACATTGAGCCATCGCGCTCCTTAAACACCCCCTTCTCCCATATAGAAATGGCATTGCTAATGAGAGGATCATTCAGTTCTTCTATAATAGGAGCCTGTGACATTCTTAAGGTGATAACTTGCTATCTTACACTATATTTTGTATTCCTTGTATAGTGGTAACTTATATGTTCCTTTGAACATTATGTAAGCATTAATATTTTCACTTCGCTTTATTCGGCAAAGGGTTTTTTGAAAGCTTCCCTCACCCTAATTTCAGAAACAACGCCAAGGATTGCTCGAGTGAACGTCGGATTAATCATTAAATTCATACTTCTAAGCATAATCAATATTCATAATACATATATATATATGTCTGTGTGCATATTTACATATTTACATTTTTGACTCTTCTGTGAGAGTGTGTGTATTGGGATTACTAGTAATCAAGTTATCAATTTCGTTTAATAACGTAAAATCAAAATTGTACTCTAACGCAAAATCTGTACCATGAGATAAAGAACCTAATAAATCTGTAAATTCAGAATTAAATTCATTGTTATTTTCCATATTTTTGCTACTTTCAATGAATTTTTTGGCAACTTCATAATTCAATGTATTCGATTTCAAAAAATCTTCAAAGTCACTGTATATATTATCCTTGATAGATTCTACATCCATACATTGAATGGATAAAATAGCCGAATATACCATATATAGACTACAACGTTCAAATGTACCAAATCTTTTTTTCCACACATTTAATAAAGCATGTAACTCGTGGATACAATCCTTAATTAATTTTCTTGATTTAGATGATTCGAATAAGAATGGCTTATTATAGGAGATAATAACAATGTAATAATGATACCAAACATATACTGTAGTGATGTTCAAAGTCTCCAATTTTTTTAGTGATTGTTTATCCCATTGTAATTCACCATTAAGATCATTTCTCCAATTCATTGCCTCTGAATTAAACTTTGATAAATACCCAATTCTTTGTTCAATTGTCTCCGTTTGAATGAAGATTTTTTTGGCGAAAATTTCAGTAATTCTGGAAAGAATAATTAATTTCTTCAAAGGGTTAGCCATACACAAAGCTTCACCTGGATTATAAATATAATCTTCGATACCAGTTTCTATATCTGGTAATTCATCAGTTTCTGGTACTGTTGAGTTCGAAAGTCTCAAGGAAGTAGATCTACCAAATAATATTGATATTAGATGGTCTGCAATATAACAGCCCCAATATATTCTACTTCTGACTTCAATATCCATCTTTGATAATTCATCTTCATAGACATTATCCCAAGCTTTTGGATTCAAGTGCAAACCTATTTCATGTGATATTCTAAATGCTAACCCTGAAAGGTACCATGCCATAGGGTTTTCACCCGATCCAATATCATAAAATGCAAGACACAATAATGTTTGAATAATGGCTAATTTTGAAGAAGATGTAGACTCAGCCAGAGACTTATCTTCCAATTGGAATATTTTCTTTAATACAATTGATTTTGCATGATGGTAATAAATATCTCTTTGTTCATACAGTTCTTCTGATTGTTTCGAAGCTTTACTCCCCAATGCAGCAATAGCATAAACTAATTCTTCTGAACAATAATATGTCTTTGTAGCTTCATCTCCAAAAAATGCGCTTAAAAATGTTTCTCTATGAATAAACATATAATGACCAGGATATAACCATTTAAAAAATAATGAAAAAGATCTTAAAATAAGAGGAGACCTTGATAAATTTTTCAAATTCACTTGCATTTGTCTCTTATGCTCAATTCTTCTTTTCTTATTCGATATCGATAATGAATTTGTAGGATAAATACTATTAGTACCACTACCTACCGTAGGTAAAGGAGATGGTGATCTAGACCTTTGGCGTGGTTCAGATTTAGCGGTGGAAATAATATAATTAAGACTTGGTTCTCTTGAGGAAGTCCCTGACTTTCTTTCATTGATAATCCCGTCACTTTTATTATCAACTGTGTTATTCTCCATTTTTACCAATGTCGGCAAATGATACTGTTGAAATGTCACATCTTTATTTGGAATCTCTATATTATCCAAAGGTATTTGACTTAATAATATATCTCTTTGTTTAGGGTCAGTTGTGTCCTTAATACGTCTCAAAGAAGATTCTAAATATGCAATATGAGCCTCTAGAGCCTTTACATAACCTGTCGAATATCTATTTCTTCTTAAGTCTTGATTTGTAAATACACATTCTGTATCACTACGAGAACAGTTTGAACATGGATGTTGCATATCACATTTCCGTCTGCGTTTTCTGCATGATACACATGCTAATTTCCTTGGTTTCTTATTCAACTCCATTATTTGAAGAAAAGAAAAAGAGAATACACAAACTACTTTAGTATCCTGTATAGTATCCCAGTTTCCACCTTTCGTTTCGTTTTCCTTTATTTACTTTTGAAAGAAAATAAAATAATGCTACTAATCGATAACCAGTTTCAATTTATACACAAAATTATATAATCAACTGTCTCGAATATCACTAAATCATTTTTGTTATCATTTAATAAAAATCAAAAATTGATCATCATAATCATCATTTTTCTTATTAATTAAGCGGAATAAAATTAATGAATGAAAACTTTCCTTCTTTCGGAAGTTTCTGTGCATAAATAGTTTTTTTTGTAGCGCAATTTGGGTGATTGATTGATTTATTGATAGAGATGATGACGATGGCGATGAACTAAGAAACAACTTGAAACAAAGGACGATGGATAATAGATTTGAGAACAATGGGGAATGTTTTGTAATTTTCTTGTAACGGAGAATTTGAAAGAATAAGTATAATATGTCATGTTCTAATATGGTAATGTTAATATTTTTTTTGTTTAATATGACCGTTTTAGGGTAGTTTATTAATTGGATGCACTCACACACAATTGGAGCCGTTGTACCGTTGCTTTTGAAAATACACCATTTCGAAGTTCTTAAATTCGAACTAATAAAGTTTATGGAAAGATAGCATCCTATTTTTTGCTCTATATTCTCAATAAAAATAGTGTAAAAAATGTCTTTGCCATAAATGCGAAAATCGGAATAAATAAATATTAATAAGAAGAATCTATATGCGCTTGTTTAATATATACATCCATATATGTATGTAAATATATATGTATGAATGAAATCTATTTAAGGAAGGAAAGAATTTGGTCACTAAAGAAATTTGGATTATCTAAAAACAGATTATGTCCCGCATGTGGCACTTGAATAAAATCCACATCTTGATGTGGTTTATACTTATATTTTTGTGCTAATTCTGTGGCCATATTATAACCAGCTTCTCCATTCATCCAATCGTGATCACCATACATTAGTAAAACTTTATGAGCTTTCAATTTTGATAAATTATCCAGAATTGGATCCTTTGCCAATAAATTTCTTGTGAACATATTTGTAAAATTTAAAATTGTTGTCTTTGGAAATTTATCACTCTTATAAAAAATGTGGTATAAGTAATCATGATATTCTGTACCTGGAACATTAACATAAGCTCTATTGATGTATCTTTTAGCTAATGAACCACCGATTGGCCCCATATATCTTAATGTATTAAGTTGATTATTAAATAAAAAATTTGGAACTTTAAAATTTCTTGAATAATATATTGAAGTAGGATCTTCTTGAGTTATTTCATACTCTTTTGTCTTAATAAAATTATTATTTAATGAATAAATGTTACGTTCCATACCTAATGGTGAAATTAAACCAATATTTTCAATTTGGTCAGGATGTGTAATTGCATATTTAAATGAAATATAACCACCAAAGGAATGTCCAATAATATTAAATTTTTTAATGCCATTTTCTTTACGCCATTGATCAATTCTATCAAGATAATAATTTTCGTAATCATTTAAAAGTTGTTTTTCTTTTAAAATATCAACTTCTTGAACCATTGAAAATCTTGAATGATCTTTATTAAATGTCATTTTATTAATATTTGATTTTGCAAAATTTGTTAATGGTGTTTCGGATAAACCATTCCCAGGTAAATCAATTGCATAAAGATCTCTTATACCATTTGATAATTTATTAAAAGTTAAATGAAAGGACATGGAAGAAGCTGCATAACCATGAATTAATAAAGTTGGTACTTCAATAATTTGCGAATTTTTTTCACAATTAATTGAATTATGAAAATGCCATTGATTAATTGTATTATTAGCAACCATTGAATTTTCTGAAATTATAGTATCATTTAATTTTAATTTATTCATAATATTATCTTGCAATAATTTTAATTGTGTATCAATTGCTGGATTCAATATACCAGTTTCTGAAGTGATAGATGCGGATACCGCTAAGGCATCGCCTGAAACTTTGTGTTCACAAAATGATGATTTAATTGAAGACCACATTCTAGTTGTCTTTAGCATACTAATCTATATATATATATCAATATATCAATATATTAAACAATGAAATTTATATAGTATTCAAGAATCCATGTCGAGAAGCTCTTTTAATCGCCATCGTCTTCTCTCTCTATATATATATATATATATATATCGTTATGTGTGTTGGTAAAACTGAAATATTTTAGTCTGTTGAGATGATTACATAAAAGCTACGTTTGTTAACACCAAAGAAAAGAAAAGAAACTGTTGAACACCTCGGAGAAAATTCACATGAATCGCACTGAGAAAAAAATACTTTGAAGAGAAGAGCGGCGCAGTTCTTTCATTTATTCTGTATGTTGAGATCTTGAAAGATTCGGCCGAAGAGCACAGATTACTACTATTATTATTACTATTATCATAGAATGTTTTATATGTGGAGTAGATATCGGCCGAGATTCATTCCGCGGGTTCATCTCCCATGTATTTAATATATTTATGTACGTATTAATTTAAAATAACCCGTCGGCCGAAAATTACATAACTGATAGTAAGTTAAATGTTAAGCAATATGTGGTAAGTATAAGAAAGTAACCTTGGCAGTAGTAATCATAGCATGACTGAGTATACAAGAGACTGATATATACATGCCTCTACATTTAATTGGATGTATTAAATTGTCTTTGCTGAAATCATTCTACAATAAAGAGATCTTGCTCCATTCTCTTTTTGACTTAGTAGTCCGATAATATCACGATGAACGAGGTGAGTATCCGGGTTTTTTTTCTTTATTCTCGCAATAAAGATAGAAGAAGCTAATATATTCTTGAGGTGCTAATTGCCAAATGAATATCAGTAATTGAAAACTTACAAAATATAAACAACTAATTCTAAATAGATACTTCCCTAGAAAAGAAGATAACTACAATAGGGGCATTGTCATTATCATTATCATATGAGCGAGGAAGTGATATCAATGCACAGCAGTTCGTTTGAGTCCTCTACACCTACATCTGATAACGAAAACCATGAATATGATACAGATCTAGAGTTAATAATTGATGATGATTCTGATTTGGAGAAAAGATTACAGGAAGCTGAAAGACAATGGAAAGAGAGTTTACAACAATTATCAAAAGCTATTAATTGGTTATTATTACCTTTGTTAGGGAAATTTTTGGGAAGACGTTTTGCTAGAACTGTGTGGTCACATGTAGCAAGTCTTATTTGGCAATAATGAATAAGAAGAAGGCTGTCACCTTAATTTATTTACCCTGATCATATGTGTTCACTCAGCGGCTATTTTTTTCTCTCTCTTGTTTTCTGTTTTTAAAGGACCGATGGCGGCAATTTCAAGCTTTTTCAATAATTATACAAATATATAAATATAAATAGGTGGATTACTTCTAATGAATTATTATTATTTTAATGAGTTGATCATTGTATCTATTTGCGGTTCGTCAGAATTACTCTTTCTCAAACACAAGGATTTGGTACACGTTTTCAAATTAATGAAAATTTCGTCGAGCGTTGATTAATATGTGGTTTTTTTAATCATAATTTGATGAAAACAGATCCATGTTCAATAATCACTGGAACTAAACATATTTAGTTCAATTATTCATTCAATAACTTTTAATCAGGAATGATTAATTACATAGTTTGATGTAGTTGATTTAAATTTTACCCTTTTTTAATGGCTTTGCTGCACGTGATGTGGTATTTCAACCAATTTATCACGTGTTTCCCCGCGCTGACTCATATATTTTTGTTCACGTTTTTTTGAAAAATTTGTTCATTGGGAAATCTGAACTGAAAGACAAAAAAAAAAATCATATTAGTTTTCAAGCTGTGCGGTTTTATAGCGAATATTAGATTTGTTAAGATAATCAGAGAAGGTGGGATTGAGCACATGCGAAATAACCAGATTCTTCGTGGGGGAGACAGAGAGGGAGAGAGTAAAGAGAAAGAAATAAAAATATCTTTTCATTTATATCATCATCGTCAAATAAGTTCAAAGATTATATCTTTAAATCATATTTGAAATACAATTCTTTTTTTTTTATTATAATTTATGTTTTAAATCAATTGATTTAAATAATTATTATTTCAAGATATCAAAGTAACCAAAATCGGTTTACAATATTTTTGCAAATATTTTAATAAAATATGACTACTCCTACTATGTCATTTGAAAAAGTGTCTATTTTGGGGAAACCTACTATTCATGTAGGTTACGATATTCATACTCATATCGTTCAAACTATTATTAATGATTGTAAATCATCTACTTATGTTGTTGTCAATGATGCAAACCTTACAAAAGTCCCTTATTGGGAACAATTAGTTACCGAATTTGAGCAATCTTTACCAAAGGGTTCTCGTTTATTACGTTTTGTTACTAAACCAGGTGAAGCTCATAAGACAAGAAAAACAAAGGAATCTATCGAAGATTTTATGTTATTACAAGGTTGTACAAGAGATACCGTTGTTGTAGCTATTGGTGGTGGGATCATTGGTGATATGATCGGTTACACTGCTGCTACTTTCATGAGAGGTGTCCGTGTCGTACAAATTCCAACATCTTTATTAGCTATGGTTGATTCTTCAATTGGTGGTAAGACTGCTGTTGATACTCCAATAGGTAAAAATTTTATTGGTGCATTTTGGCAACCACAATTTGTCCTTGTTGATATTAAATGGCTTCGTACTTTACCGCAAAGAGAATTTATTAATGGTATGGCTGAAGTTATTAAGACTGCAGCTATTTGGGATGCAGATGAATTTACTAGACTTGAAGTTAATGCCAATTCTTTCCTAGAAATTGTTAATAACGCAAAATTCATTGATTACAAGAGTACTATGACTGATGAAATTTATAACATTTCTGATACAAACATTGAAGCCATCTTAGAACATACTTACAAATTAGTCTTAGGAAGTATTAAGGTTAAAGCAGATGTTGTTTCATCTGATGAACGTGAATCCAGTTTAAGAAATTTACTGAATTTTGGTCATACTATTGGTCATGCTTATGAAGCTATCTTAACCCCACAAGCACTACATGGTGAATGTGTCTCCATTGGTATGGTTAAAGAAGCTGAATTGTCTCGTTATTGGGGTATTTTATCTTCCACTCAAGTAGCTCGTCTTTCTAAGATCCTTGTTGCATACGGTTTACCTGTCTCACCAGAAGAAAAATGGTTTAAAGAATTAACTTTACAAAAGACTACTCCATTGGAAACTTTATTAGACAAGATGAGTATCGATAAGAAGAATGACGGTGCTAAAAAGAAGTGTGTTATCCTAGAGAGTATTGGTAAATGTTACGGTACTTCAGCACATGTTGTATCTGATGAAGATTTTAAATTTATTCTAACTGATGAAACTTTGGTTTATCCATTCAACAACATTCCAAAGGATCAAAACAAAATTATTGTCCCACCAGGTTCCAAATCTATTTCCAACCGTGCTCTTGTTATGGCTGCTCTTGGTGAAGGTACTTGTAAGATCAAAAATTTATTACATTCTGATGATACCAAACATATGTTAACTGCTGTTGATTTGTTAAAGGGTGCAAACATTACTTGGGAAGATAATGGTGAAACTGTTGTTTTAGAGGGTCATGGTGGTGAAACATTGACAGTATGTAACGAAGAACTATATTTGGGTAATGCGGGTACTGCATCTAGATTTTTAACAACGGTTGCTGCGTTAGTTAAATCCAGTCCTGATAAAGATTATATTATCTTAACGGGTAATGCTAGAATGCAACAGAGACCAATTGGTCCATTAGTAGACTCATTACGCGCAAATGGTACCAAGATTGATTATATGAAAAATGAAGGTTGTCTTCCATTAAAGGTTCATACCGATTCTGTCTTCAAAGGTGGTAGAATTGAACTTGCAGCTACTGTTTCATCCCAATATGTTTCATCTGTTCTAATGTGTGCTCCATATGCTCAAGAACCTGTTACTTTGGCATTAGTCGGTGGTAAACCAATCTCTCAATTATACGTTGATATGACTATTAGAATGATGGATGCGTTTGGTGTCAAGGTCACTCAATCAGAAACTGAACCATACACTTACCACATTCCAAAGGGTCATTACATTAACCCACCCGAATATGTTATCGAAAGTGATGCTTCTAGTGCTACTTATCCATTAGCGTTTGCTGCATTGACAGGTACTACTGTAACCGTTCCAAATATTGGTTCTGCCTCTTTACAAGGTGACGCTAGATTTGCCAGAGATGTTCTAAAACCAATGGGTTGTACTGTCGATCAAACTGCAACTTCCACCACTGTAACAGGTCCAGCTCAGGGTACATTGAAACCACTAAAACATGTCGATATGGAACCAATGACAGACGCGTTCTTAACCGCCTGTGTCGTTGCCGCTGTTGCCAACGATGGTAAGGGAACTGGTAATGTTACAACTATTGAAGGTATCGCCAATCAAAGAGTTAAGGAATGTAATAGAATCGAAGCTATGGCTAGCCAATTGGCTAAATTTGGTGTTGAAACTAGAGAATTACCAGACGGTATTCAAATTTATGGTCTAGATTCTATTGATGAATTAAAGGTTCCAAGCAATTCTTCTGGTCCAGTAGGTATTGATACTTATGATGATCACCGTGTTGCTATGAGTTTCTCCTTATTAGCTGGTATGGTTAATTACAATTCGAAATCTCAAGATGTTACATCTGTAAGAATTCTTGAGAGACATTGCACCGGTAAAACATGGCCAGGTTGGTGGGACGTTTTACACACCAATCTAGGTGCTAAATTAGACGGTGCAGAACCACTAATTTCCTCTAACGTCAACTCCAATAAGAGTGTTGTCATTATTGGTATGAGAGCCGCAGGTAAAACTACTATTAGTAAATGGTGTGCTGCCGCCCTTGGCTACAAACTGGTTGATTTAGATGACCTTTTCGAAGAACAATACGAAAAGGGTACCATTAAAGAATTTGTTGCTGAAAATGGTTGGGAAAAATTCAGAATGGAAGAAGCAAGAATCTTTAAAGAAGTTATTGAAAAATACGGTGACTCAGGTTATGTATTTTCAACTGGTGGTGGTATTGTTGAAAGTGCGGAATCAAGAGAATCTCTGAAGAAATTTGCCTCAGAAGGTGGTGTTGTTCTACATCTGCACAGAGATATCGAAGAAACTATCATCTTTTTACAAAGTGACCCAACTAGACCAGCATACGTTGAAGAAATTAGAGATGTTTGGTCTAAGAGAGAACAATGGTACAATGAATGCTCCAATTACACCTTTTTCGCTCCTCATTGTTCTACCGAGGCTCAATTCCAAAAATTAAGAAAGGTCTTTGGTAATTTCATTAACATGATCACTGGTAAAAGACAAATTGATATTCCAACTAAAAGATCCGCTTTCGTTTGTCTAACGTTTGAAGACCTAACTGAACATGTTGACAGCTTAAATCCAATAACTTATGGTTGCGATGCTGTTGAAGTTAGAATTGACCATTTGGCTGAACTGGATGCAGATTATGTCTCTAGACAACTTTCAACGTTGCGTATTGTTACTGATGGTCTCCCAATAATCTTTACTGTAAGAACTAAGAAGCAGGGTGGTAAATTTGCTGATGATGATTATGTCACACTAAAAAATCTATTTAACTTAGCTCTAAAATCCGGTGTTGAATATATCGATATCGAATTGACTCTACCTTCTGACATTCAATACAGTGTTCTTAACAACAAGGGTTTTACCAAGATTATTGGTTCCCATCATGACTTTAACGCCGCGTACAACTGGGATGACGCCGAATGGGAGAACAGATATAACCAAGCATTATCTCTTGATGTTGACATTGTGAAATTTGTTGGAACTGCTATCAATTTTGAAGACAACTTAGCTCTAGAAAGATTTAGATTCTCTCACACTACTAAGCCACTAATTGCCATAAACATGGGGAAGATTGGTCAAGTTTCGCGTGTATTAAACACCCTACTAACACCAATAACTTCTGATCTATTGAACACTGCTGCAGCTCCAGGCCAATTAACTTTACAACAAATTAACAAAATCTACACATCGATGGGTGGTATTTCTCCAAAGGAATTTTATGTTGTGGGGAAGCCAATCGGTCACTCTAGATCTCCAATTTTACATAATACAGGTTACAATTTACTAGGTTTACCACACAAATTTGATAAATTTGAAACGGATTCCGCCGAAAATGTTAAAAAGGTTTTACTTGATGGTAATGAGAACCTAGGTGGTTTGGCTGTTACTATTCCATTGAAACTGGACATTATTCCATTCATGGAAGAACTATCTGATTCGGCCAAGACCATCGGTGCTGTCAATACAGTCATCCCAATCGGTAACGGAAAGTTCAATGGTGACAACACAGATTGGTTAGGTATCAAAAACTCCTTAATTAGTAACGGTGTACCAAGTTCTGTTTCTGGCGTTTCTGGTTTAGTTATTGGTGCAGGTGGTACTTCAAGAGCAGCAATTTACGCTCTACACAACATTGGTTGTGAAAAAATCTATTTGATCAACAGAACTACATCAAAATTACAAGAACTAAAGAAAACTTTCCCAGAAGAATACAATCTGGTTGTCATTGAAACTACTACAGATGCAGACAAACTTCAAGATACGATCAGTGTTGCTGTTAGTTGTGTACCAGCTGACAAACCTTTGGATGAAGAATTGGTTAGTAAACTTGAACGTTGTTTAACTAAAACTACTCATTCTAAGTTCCTTCCAACTCTTCTTGAAGCAGCATATCTACCAACTGTCACACCTATCATGAGATTGGCTAAGGATAAGTATCAATGGAATGTTGTTCCAGGTGCTCAATTATTGGTGCATCAAGGTGTCGCCCAATTTGAGAAATGGACTGGTGTTAAAGCTCCGTTCCAAGCTATCTTCGAGGAAGTCACAAGAAATTAAATGTAGCATAACATATATATGAACATATTTATTTTGTATACGATACTTACTGGTATTTGTCTTAATTAGAATATAAAATTAATTCTTTATTGCACAGATTGCACCTTTAAAATTGGCGGTCCCTTGTTGCTTAGGATTTCTCGTTTAGTTGATGACTTATTTTGCTTTTCCTTACGCTATACGGAAACAGCGGATTGTTTCCGTCATCAAGAAACTAAACGAATTAATCGCTACGTTCAATGAACATCTCGAGAAAGATCGCATCTGATCCATTGCATTATATATATAAGGGCATCATTGAAGAATTTATGTATATTTTTGGTGCCACTATTCACGAGCAAATGCATTGAAAGGAATTGATATTGACTATATACATTGACTAGTTTTTAGGAGAACAACAAAATGAGTACTAGAAAAGTTGCTGTAATTACAGGTACAAATAGGTATGTACATCTAGATTTGGCTAAGAGCTAGTTTAATTATTGTTATTCTGCTTCATAAAATCTATTTACTAACATTTAACACAAAGTATGATGAGGGTCCATTAATCTTTATAAGATAATTAATTCATCTCATCCTTGCTTATTTGATATTTTTATTTTATGCAGTAATCTTGGAATAAATATTGCATACCGGTTAATTGAAAGGGAGAGTCCATCAACCAGATTAACAATTGTCGTAACATCTAGAACTTTGCCCCGTGTGAGAGAAGTCATTGAATTATTGAAAAAACATGTTAAGAAAGTTAATCGTGTAGGGTTAGTAGATTATGATTATATTCTTGTTGATTTCACAAATATGGTAAGTATTTTGAGTGCATACTATGAATTGAAAAAACAATATAAAGCCATCCATTACTTATTTATTAACGCAGCTCAAGGTGTATATGATGGTATTGATTGGTTTAATGCTGTGAAGGATGTTATGATGAATCCATTAGATGCAGTGACTTATCCAACTTACAAAATCCAAAAGGTTGGTGTGAAGTCTGCAGATGGAATGGGTTTGGTCTTTCAAGCAAATGTTTTTGGTCCTTATTATTTTATCCATAAGATACTTCCACTATTACAAGAAGGTAATGCAATAATTGTATGGGTTTCCAGTATTATGTCTTTACCTAAATATTTATCCTTGCAAGATATGGAATTACTCAAGAGTAATGCATCGTATGAAGGTTCTAAGAGATTAGTAGATTTGGTTCATTTGGGTACATATAAAGAAATGAAGAAAATTGGTATTCATCAATATGTTGTACACCCTGGTATTTTCACAAGTCATTCATTCTTTAAATTTTTGAATGTTTTTACATATTATGGTATGCTATTCTTATTTTATTTCGCAAGGCTATTAGGATCTAAATGGCACAATATTGATGGTTATAAAGCTGCTAATGCTCCTGTTTATGTAGCAACATTAGCTAACCCACATTTTGATAATCAAGATGTGAAGTTTGGTTCAGCTACTTCGCTGGATGGTATCGAATATATAGACAGAGCGGATATTGATCCTACTGGTATGAGTGATGTCATGGCTTATATGAATACTATGACTGAAGAATGGGATGAAAAATTAAAGAATCAAATTACGAACAGTAGGGTCCCTATTTAATATTCTATACAAAACTAATATATATTATTATGTATTTTCAAACGGATCTTTTTTGCTTTACAATATATACTTATTCCCCAAAAATATAAAAAAAAATTCCATAAATTTCAAAGTTATTAATTAAATCCCGTGTGTTTAAATAGTATATGGTTAATAATAATAATAATAATAATAATAATAATAATAATAGTACATTTCTAAGGAAATTGCAAATTCACACTCTATAGATCAATGTCAAACACAACTACTGTGAGTGCTAAGGTCACCATAGCCGAGACAATTTATTTATTTAAAGACATCAAGGAAGCAACGAAAGTCAAGATTAATCTCGAACGAACTTCGTTAATATCTTCAGGAACTAACCAGATCAAAGCACCCAACTTTCTAGCAATAGAAATAGCTAATCTTGCGTTAGCATAACTATCTTCTGGAGTGTTACCTGGGGTAACCAAATCATAATCGACATAACCTGGTGCAATACCATGCAAGACGTCCAATAGGAAATGTGCATTGGATAGGGATGAATCGTTGAATGAACGAACGGTAGATGTCTTTCCACCTTTAGTTACTTGATCTTGAGCCCACTTCAATATTTGTGCATCACTCATATCTCTACCGCTAGAGGATAATTTATTCATAGTATTATTAATGTTTCTACGCATCAATTGCCACACAAGTCCTAAAGTTAGTAATTTGTTACCATCTAAGATATCGGACCCTTCAATACCAACAAGTGAAAATCCGTTGCGTTTACCTAAATCTACAGCATAGTTAGTATTTTCAAGGGCCTTGAAGCGAGATAGCTCGGTTGCTGGATCCTTCTTATAATTGATATGCTTAGTGTCCACTGAACCTGGCATAACCTTTTCGTAGGCCTGTAACAATACTAAACCATCCTTTAAATCATCAAACAAAGAGACGATTGGTGGATCGACATCCAAGGAATTCAACCATAATGTGAAGACCCTTGCTTCTCTTTCACCTTCTGCATCAAATTCTTCTATTTCAGGTTTTTCTGCCTCTTCAAATGGCTCCAAACCTGGATGATTATTAAATAAATTAGCAACAAAAGCCAAATTCAATTTAGGGTTACCTTTTACCAAAGCTCCCGGTGTCAAATATTTTCTACACTCCAATTTATCGGCATTTTCCAAGACTTGTTCAGCTCTTTGCATCAAATCAGAAGTTTGTAATGGAGCTACAGAACATAGATCTGGAGCCAATTGATTCAATAAGACAATATAGTTTTCACCATCCTTAACATCTTGAGAGAAATTAGTAACTTGTCTGTGCCAGTTAGCCTTCTTTAAATGGTAATTGAACCAACGTAGCAAGATTTGCTCAGGTGGTAATCTTAAGAATTGTTCCAAAGTTTCATCTTCTTCTAATAAACGGTACAATTCGGGATGTAATTTAATGTCAATCTTAGATAATAGACCCCTTCTAATAACTTGCCATATCAAACCAAGAATTAAATGTTCTCTACCTTCAATAATATCTTCGGAATGAACATTAACTACAATACAACCAATAGCCTTGGCAGAATTGATAACAATGTTAGCATTTTCACTAGCTTGGAAATTATTTAACGGTTTCCCATTTTTTGGTCTGTTTAATACTCTAGTATCAATAGTATCTGGAACAGAATCGTTAATCAATTTAGATAGAACCCAACCATCTCTACATTCGTCAAATAATTGGAAAGTATCAGTTGGGAAAGGTAACAAATGTCCAACTTCAGCATCTCCAGCTAATACACCGTTAATATGTTTAGTAAATTCGGTTCTTTCTTCTTCATTGATAGTGTGGGTAGTACCACTTTGAGAACCACCAACAATAATTTTGGCTTGTGCACCAGTACCTTTATATTGTAATGCTGGTTTCCCTGGTGATGTAGGCATTTGAACTGTAGTAGTATCTACGGAAAAACTAGTCTGAGGTACGGCACCAGCTTTATTTTCTTTTAATCTGGCAACCAACGCCACATAATCATCCAATTCAACATGTCCAGAAGCATCAACATCAACATGCTTCAAAGTTTCTCTAGCTTCATCATATGAAGCTTCCCCTGAGGCACTGACAGCTTCTAAAGCTTCTTGTTTTGCAACATATCCTTTGTCCTCGATGTCGATGGCCCTAAATTTTTCAATGGTGCTGAATAAATCCTCCTGGGTCAACACAGGGAATTTCCTTTGTAGCTTAACAATATTCATTTTCTTTTTAAATGGAAGTGGTCTTAGTGCTAACTACTCCTTCCTAATATATATTCAATTGTCTATGACTTAACAATTATATATATATATGATAATTAATCTCTTTATTAGATATCCCCATGTATATATATTTATCGAAAATTAAAGTGTGAGAGACCCTTACGTCTACCGCTTGGCCAATACATTATTGACGAAGTTGCCCCTGTTCCTTCGCCTCATTGATTATCTCAAAATGTGGCAAAGTAAAGAATACTTGGAAATTTCAATTTTTTTAATTTTATTTGAAAATCTCGGCATAAAAACCCGAAACATACTCGGTTCACACTGCGGTTATCTCTGCAGCACACCGGTTTGCTCCGTTAGGAAGATCGGAAAATAAAAGAAAAACTATGGTTACCCTCTTTCATTCAATATGGCCGTTCAAACTGTAGGATACCTAACCATACTTGGACAGAGTAGTATTAACCGTCTTTTATTGACCAGATAACGACATAAGGAAAGATAACGTTTCAGGATGCCTAAAAAAATAAGTGAAGAACACAGTAAGAAAAAACTCCGATACGGGGAGTCGAACCCCGGTCTCCACGGTGAAAGCGTGATGTGATAGCCGTTACACTATATCGGATAGAATTATAGAAAATGAAGCCTTAAAAGATATATTTGAAGAGGCCAAATTGTATAATTTGTGTGCCATATTCATTTTCAATGGATTTATATGGTTCCCATTTGAATGAAAGTTTTATCTAAGCTATCACTGCGTTTTAAAACCTATGAGTACCATTATGGATGTCAAAGGTATGTCTCTAGATGCGTTATTAACTTATGGTAGTGTTATCTTCTTCAAAGGTGTATATGTCATAATTACTCTTCAATTATTTCTTACCTGTTATCTTTTGACTAAGTGATCAAGGCTAGCAGTGGTAGATAGGACGCCGTATATATATATGTTTGGGGGGCCAGGTTCGTACCTTAAGTATCATTGTCAGACCTAGACTTCATTATTAGACGTTGTTAAGCTGTATAAAATGGCACAAAATAATTAAAAAATAATTAACACTCTGGTATTGCCGTTATCATTAAATAGGTTACCTAAACAAAATGACAAAAATAGTGGTTTATAAAAAGCCCCAATTGTTTCATATATGGTATAGCGTACTTCTCGTTTTTATTTAAAAATTTATCATTTTATGTCATAAAAAAATTGGACAGATATAACTTGGACACAACAAAAATTATAATTCCAAACGCTCCATTAATTCTAAATTTTCAGAAATTATTTCCTATTTTGGCATATTGGGAATTTAATACATTTTACAATAAAGTGAACTCATTTTGTATATAACTATTTTTTGAAAAACATAGCTACTTAAGAGAGAACTTCCCCATTTTTTAGAAATTGCGAATACGCGATAGTTTGATTGAAGCTCATGGAATAAAAGAATAACAGACATTTCTCTTATTAAAATAAAATTATTCTTACAAAAACATAGCTTATACTACAAATTTAATGAACAAGATAAATGCAGCATAGTTACGTAGCATTTATATACTAACACAATTAATAAAGGTATTCTCATTTTACGAAACCCCAATTTTTATTGTAATTTACCCCATCTTTTACAATAAGTTTTCGTTGGGAAAACTGGAATATCACAGCTACTAATTGGATAATGCACCATAGAAAGTATTAGAGTAATCAGATTTATACACAGCGCTCTACCTTTAGTGATTAGTTAAATGTGTACAGAATTTAACCTCTGTGATTATGGATCCCAAAAGTAAATCTAAGCTTCGTATAATTATTGGTCCACCATGTTCCTATTTTATAACAAATAATGGTGTCTATCTCTATCCAAAATTGAAAACTTAAGCGTCGAACAATAGTTGTTTTAAGGGGATCATCATTTCATTGAATAAATTACTGACATATTATGACTTACTGTTACCATCTAATATCTGGTCGCATCTTTCCCTTAAAGAAGTATAGTGCTTTCTATTTTTAAGTTGTTTTTTCACATTGACTAATTCATCAAGTTCTCTCAGTAAAATTTCGTTTTGCCTGACAACCATGTCAGTATCTAGATGGCTAAGTAAATCAGAATTTTCCCAAAATATTTTCAATTCGAGTAATTTAGTAGGTGATTTGTACTCTCTGATTTGTCCATTGTTTCCAGTGTCCTTCGACTTTCTCACTTTATTCTTATCATTTCGTATATTACTATATGAATCCTTTATGTTTTCGGGATAGTCAATTAAAATGTCTGATCCTGACGTACTTTTTGGCTCACAATCAATCATAATATCGGGTCTATAATTAACGGTTCCTTGTAAATGGCCCTCTTTATGGAATATCAAACAATGCTCTGCAGTCTCAGCTGACAACCAATTTTTTCTTTTTGTTTCGCTGATTGATCTCTTAGTGGTGAATGGATGGAAATCATATTCAACGTTTGTAAGTTCATTCTGAACATCTTCCTCACTTACTACATTTGTCGGACAAGTTCGAAGTGAATCATTATCTATACTCACTTTTAATGATCGTTTGGTTTTTCTTCTTAACGGTGTTGAGAGACTTCTTTCATTTGATGCTCTATCTTCAGTAGTATTCCACGGTGGGAATGGCGGCATCTCAAATAGTGGATCGCCAGCCATTTTTCCATTAACTGTGTCCCTATTATGAGAGGATGGCGTGGCATGCTCTCTTCTTCCTGCCATTTTTGCTGGTCTTATTTATTTACATTCACTAATCGATACCTGTATGCTGTTTCTCAAAAATAATATCTTTCGTTATTTGGTCCTTTTTTATTAATCATTTTTTAAATTCCGCATAATTGTCACAGAACTGTAGATATCAATACACTAAAGGGAAATATGAAAAAATGTTAATAAAAGTTTTAATAAATATTGGAATGCCTTATTTATACATCAAGATTATGATTTTTTGCATTTCCGCACTATATATATGCATGTTTATGTTTATGTAATTGAATGTAATTAGTTACAACAATCCGCTTAAGGTTAGTTTCTCTAAAAATGGTGATAGATCATCTTTCCTTATTTCTATTATGGAACTTTCAAAATTATCAATTTTCACTTTTGCACCTGTTTGTGCTGTAATTTGTTGAAATGCCATACTGAAATTATTTAGAATCGGTTCTTTAGTCCTCAAAGTATCTAATCCTCTTGGATATCTTGGTGATAGACCTGCTACCAAATATGTATCAGTTTCCTCATCTAAACAAGCCAAAACCATGGGTAACAACTGCTTGTCTTCTGCCTCCGCACAGCACTCAATTAACCAATTACCTAATCTTAATAAGGTTAAAGGATTTTGATAAATGGCAAGATCAGGGCCGTCTTGAAGAACGCATAGCCTATATATTCTTAGATGTTTAATCATTTTCTTCTCTAAAATGGTGACCCCTGTATTAAATATAGATTTTTGAAGGAACTGTGCATGTCTGATACCTTTAGAAAGAATGTCAATATTTTTTTCATCGAGAGCATCCCAACTGAGCCAAAAATTCGAGACCCACTGTTTTCTAATATTTTCCATAGAGGCCATAGCCTTTTTACGAGAATTTTCAATTGTATCTTCTTCATATTCACTATTATTATTGTTGCTATTTTTTTCACCATTATGGTTATTTTCGATTCCATTACTACTTCCACCATTGATGTTACTGTTTGAGGTGGATACCGAAGTCCCCGAGGAGTTGGATTGATTCGTTGCATTTAATGTTGACCCTGCCTCTAGAAGAGCAGCTAACGACTCAACATATTCACTGGCACTGATAGAACCTCTATAGCCGAATGTTCTAACAAAACCATCTCTTATAATATCTTGTAAACCGTATCTATCCAAATTTTTGTGAAAAATATTACCGAGCTCTCTTTTTATAGAATTATCCATATACAACCATGTTTCATGAGCCGTACTTAAAGGTATACCCATTCTTGCGAACATTTTATGTAACCTTTTCTTACCGTTTTCACTCCATAACGATAGTTTTGCATTGACAAAATTAGAGTAATAAAAACTGTCATACAATGATGAGTGTCTCAATAAAAACAAATAATAATCTGGTTGAATCTCAAGAGATAATGTATCTGGTGTCTTTATTGCTGAATTTGAACCGTTCGATCTTGTTGATATGTGAAGACCATTCCCAGGTGATAATCTCTTAACTTCGTCCTGCATGATTGGGTATAAGTTATTGTAAACTGCAGAATAGGTAGTATCTAGAGATGTTGCCCCTAATATAGCCAACCATAGTTGTACTAAATTAGTCTCTCCAATAGCAGACATCAGAGAATATACTTGGGATGAGATAGAATTCACAACTGTGGTACCTTGGGAATAATATTCTTCTAAAATAGTTTCGTATTTACTAATTTGTTTCCTTCTTAGTTTACGTGCTTGTTTTTTATCTTGGATGTCATCAGGATGGGCCCTCTTACCGTTATCCAAAATATTGTCTTCTTCATCTTCGTCGTCATTATCTGTGTCATCTTCACTTTCATCATCTGAGTGTTCATCTTGATCTGGATCTCGTTCAGCTTCTAACTCTATTAACTTAAAATAAGCTTCTTTCTGTTCACCTAAGGAATCATCAACAGTACCATCATCAAAACATTGTACAATATCTGAACCAAATAAATTATCTAAATTCCACGGCCTGTGGCTATCTAGGATATATATATGTCTTTTATAGGTATCTTCGTTGGTAACCGTAGCTTCATTACGAATTTGTTCGACACGATATTCGTTAGGATCTATCTCTAAGAATGTTTCGATATCAACATAACTACCAAACCCAACGAGTATAATACTATTAATGTTTTCATCCAATTTACTATAATGAGTTTTTAATTCGGAGTAACCAAATACCGGTACAATCTGTAACTGCACTAATTGCTTCTTAAAAAGTGTTGCTAACATCCTGGTAGCGCATAATGCATCTATGTTTAAGCATGATACAAAAATCACTAATTGACAAGTTGACGGATTTGATGATTCCTTTAGTATCTTGTTGTACGCGTTAGTGTACTGATCGATTCTATAGTACATCTTTACTTTCTTTCACTCTTGCTCCCTCTTTAATGCACAATAGGCCCCACTAAAACTCGATGACACTTTCCACTTTGCAATAGAATATACCCATCCAATAGCTTCAACTTGGATCGACAAGCCTTCCAGGTTATATTACTCAAAGTCATCATCCATTGTTATTATAAATTTCATTAAACAAAAGGCAAATGGAAAAGTTACGCGAAACGCGAAATCGTGTCGCACGATCATCAACAAAATATGTAAACAGCGAGATGCCACTGTGTTAAATAAGCAATAAGATAATTCCAAGTTAAATGATCTTTTTAAAACAATAGATACCCACAAAGATATATAACACTAAAGATTTTTAGCCCAGACAACCATCCTTTTGGAAAAACTGCTTACTGTATATTAAAACTATTGAGAGTATAATAAATGCAATTACAAATTTCTTTCAGTGCCATAGTGCTCACTATTGCGATGCTAATCATAAATGCTGACGGTTTTATGTTCAATTTCAACCAACAACAACAGCAACAACAGCCACCAAAATTAGAGCCTTATGAGGATAGAGTACTAGATAACGACTGTAAAAACTTCCTATGTCCTGTGACGCTTGAATGTGTTTTATCCAAATCTGATTGTCCTTGTCCATTCCCTAAATCACAATTAAAATGTATTTTACCAAATGAGGAAATCATGTGCATATCAAAGCCTGCAACTCATGATCAGAAGATAAATAAAATCTATGATGATTTGGTAGAGGGTCCAAAAGCACATATTAAAGGTATGAGAGATTGTGGTTGGGTTTTGGATACATATACTGGTAAATAATAATAAAGTTAATTTCTGCCTGAGAGACGATATGCATCATATTTGTACTTAAACTGTATAATTATATACTGCTTTGTTGCATTTCTTTTTATAGATAATTTCACAATAAAGATTAAGTATTAAATTTAAAATTTATCTTTAAATTAGTTCAGTGTTCTAAATATCACTTTATTACAATCATTACTTATATGCCAATTTGAGATTAATCACGATTTTTACCAGGTACCCACCTCTTGTATATGACTTCCCCTACCGTGAAACTGTTGAAAGCTTTACTTATGTGGCCTTGCCTTATGTATTGCAGTATTTGTTCTTTTGAATTAATACGTTCGACGTAACAAAGTAACAAGGTCTTATTCGCACCACCACATACTCTCGCCATAGTGGAGTACCATGTATATGGTTTCGAACAATTTGAATCTAGAACCATCACACAAAAATCTGCATGTTGAAAAGGTGGGCCACGTTTGTACAATATATAGTCACTACCAAATTTAATTCCGGATCTTACACACCAGCCGTGTGATCTGTAATGATGATAAGCTGAGTATTGAATTAATAATTTATGTAATTCATCAGTATAGTCAAATGAATTATCCATGCAATGTTTTATGATAAAATCAGAAGGAGTAACATCCAGAACGTCTAGAGCAAAACTTAAGAATAACGTCTCTACCGGCATCAATTCAAGGGACTCTAACTGTCTAATTTCTCCATTTTCATTGATTACTTCAGCTTCCTGGATTAATAATCGTTCCTGCTCTTCTAAATTATCGTTACGATTTTCTTTCAGTAAGTGTAATGCTAATTGATCATCTTTAAATTTTCTCAATTTCTCTCTTTCTTGTTCCAATATTCGTGTTTCTTCTTCAGGCGAAAGTTCACCTTTCTTTCTCAAGTTCAAAAGTTTAGCTTCAACTAGCTCACGCTGTTTCTTAAATTCTGTTCTTTGTTGTCTTCTAAATTTTGTAACTTGTTCAAGACTAATTTTTTTATCAGCAGTTCCATTTTCTTCACTCTGAAATCTTGATTGCATATGATTATACCACGTTGGCTCACTTCTTGATAATTGTCCTGTTCCAAAAAATCCATTTTCCCATAGGTACTTCATATCATCTTGATTCCTAACTTCAATATGTACAATTCCATTATTTACAATATCTACATGTATCTTATGCTGTAAAGTATTACAACCAGTAATATAACAATAAGTCCAATATACCCAGGATACAGGATTATGAATGATTAACTCTGGTAACTCTAGTGGGTGTATAGGCAATGGATTCTTGTAACGTACTGCGTTACTAACTCTTTTTGACATGCTATATTGGTAAACTATAATGTTTTATAATGTTATTTGTTGTTATCACTCTTTCCATTGATAGAATGAGCTAACAAAAATTGATTCTGTGTGATATTTATAGTTGTATACCTTTCTTTGTATTAGAGAATGCCCTGTCTAACAACTATTGTGAGGTTACTTCGTCTATCATATAAATAAACTATTTATACATAATAATAAAAAATAAAACAGTAGAAACTTCTGCATCTGCCTAATAGAATTAATCGCGAATCACAAATACTGATACCAAGTAAACAAGAAAGTTATGGAAGAGTGCGTACATATATCTATCTATGGAATATATATATATATATATAAAAGAAAAATTAAGGATCAGATACCGTTGTAGTCTATTGAGAAATCGTATTGCTCACATCGATACTAGACCTTCGAGCAATGTAACTGTTATCATCATTTAAACCTATATCATTTTTCTTTTCTATATTTGTTTTAAGCTTAATACCGAGTTATATTAATCCATACAGTTTGTGCTGTGCTTCACCAACTGGTGAAAAAATTTGTTATATCACAATACAATCTATAAGGTAACAACTATACTGTATTGCAGCAATTCTAGTTACAACATTACTGTCTGAGTAACAGAACGAAAATAACCGATTTATTTACCTTGCCTTGATATAAGAAACCGACATCTTTCAAGGAATCTTCATTTAATTGGAAGTTGTTTCATCTATCAACCATCTCTTCCTTATATAATAATAGCATTTTTTTTCTTTCAGCGACGCTTCACTCAATTGCCGTGAAATATTAAAAATAAAAATTTTTCAATGAATGCGACGGGCGTTGGACGACTGCCTCTCTCTAAGCTGAGATAATTTTCTTTAGGGCTTTTGCTTCAATACATATACGATATGTTGATCCTTGGGCATGTCACATAGACAGACGTCAGTAGAAGTAAACATTTTATGTTTTTTAATATACAATTTATTTTATATTTCTTATTTTATTTTACATTAATATACAAGTAATTTTTTTATTTTTAAAAGTAATAATCTTTTTCTTATCTTTTTGTCAATTTAACTGTTAAATCATGACGACGCCAAATCTGTAAAATATTGACGTAAAATTAGAGCTAACATTTCTGGTAATTCACTAATCTCATGTACTACGACATAGAATTCAAATGGGAAGTTATCCAAATACTTTGTAATTTTTAATTGAGGTACACCATTCTTATCTGGAATGTAGTTAACTTGGCTCATATCCATAATTGATTCATTTGAACTAATACCATCAATAATAACGAAGACTAACATGACCTTCTTTTCTCTTGCACGACGAACCAATCTTTCAATAGTTTCATGATCTTCACAAACACCATCTGAAATAATAATTTCTAATTGCCATTGATCAGAGTTAGTAATTGCACGACCATTTTCAAAAATCTTCAAAGATTCGGCGACTAATTTCTTGACATCTGTCTTTGTATCTTGGAAATCAAACCATTGGAATACCTTTGCACCAGTTTCATTACTAAATTGTTGGTCAAAAGAATGAACTTCCTTTGAGGTTTCACCGAATTTAACTACCGATAAACCTCCAGATTCTAATTGGGTTAATGTTCTTGAGACTAAACACAAACTTTCAAAGGCAAGTTTCACACAGTTTGATTCACTCATTGATTTGGAATTATCCAAAGCGATCATAATTTGATATTCACGTTTACTTGGTTTAGTTCTTCTCAACCAGATTTTATCTTTACGGAATTGAGATGCAATATATGGAATAATTCTCTTCATGTTTAATCTCTTACCAGTCTTGTAGTCACCCTTTAATTTTGTAGCTAAAGTAGGCTCTAAGATTAACCTTAATTGTTCACCAAGTCTGGATACTAAATCGCTCGTAGATCTTTCACTCTTTTGCCATAATTCACGTGACTCCTCAATTGATCTCTTTGGAGTTTCATTGATATTCTCCAGTTTGGTTTCATTATCAATTGTATCTATCAATTCATCAATTTCATCTTTATATTGTTGGCTTTCCATTAAGTTCTTTTCATTAAACATATCTTCATCTTGTTCTTTTTGTTGATCTTTTTCTGTGAAGATTCGTTGATCTAATTCATTCTCTGTAGAATTCTGTTGTTGTGTACCTTCAGTCATTTCTAAATCGCTGATATTTTCTTCTTCTTCCTTTTTAATTATTTCATCTTCTAACATATCATGATCTTCTTCTTCCTTGATATTATCGTCGTCTCCAGAATTCTGATTTTCAGGTAATTCATCATCTATAGCCATATCTTCATTGATAGATTGTAACTGTTCATTAGTAGCAGAGCCTAAAGCTTGTGTGTCAGTTTCAGTATTAGCACCATCAACATGTTCGAATTCATCTGGACGTTCATTGGCTTTTGGTTTTGTGTCTTCCTCTTCTTCATCTCTTTGACTAGCCTCATTGATATCTTGTCTACGTCTATGAAATTCTTTTAAGGCATCCCCTAATTGTTTCAAACTTTCTTTAGCCTCTTCTCTTGAGGCATCGGTTGATTCATTTTGATCTTCTTGTTCTTCATGAGAATTTTGAGTAGAACCAAAATTACCAACATTATCTTGTTCTTCAGTATCCTTAGAATCAGACCCAGTTCCTTTAGCACCAGATTGTTCATTAACAGCAGCATCGTTGTTGATATTTTCTTCGTCAGATAACATATCGATACCATCTAAGCCATCGAGTTCGTTATTGGTACCTTCTTCTTGTTCTTTATCCTTTTCATTTTCATCAGTGGCACCTTGTTCATTATTTAGTTCGTCATCAGATGCAACACCTTCATCTTCTTCTTGATTTTCGGTTTCATCGACACCATTTTCATTTTCCGGAATCGGTGTTTCATCAATATCAACAGCCTCTATATTCTCTTCAACTTCTTGTTCTTCATTGTTTTCAGTTTCATCAATTTCTGCATTTTCAGCCTCTGGTTCAAGCTTCTCATTATCCATGTCAATGTCTTCATCTTCATCTTCATTTTGTTCTTCAGGGAATTCGTCTTGCATGTTTTCATTTTCAGACTCAGCATCATTTTCATCTCCAGAATCCAAATTCATATCTTCAGGGAGATCCATTGTTTCAACTTCTGGAACATTTTCATCAAGATCTTGACCCTCCTCATTTTTCACTTCGTCATCTTGTTCACCGACATCTTCCGCATCTGAATCGGAATCAGCATCTGAGTTGTCCTCTAAGTTATCCTTGTCTTCATTTATTTCTTCGTTCTTTGATTCATCTTGTTTAGCTTCTTGTTCATTTGCATTTTCAGGGTTATCGTTAGATTCATTTTCATTTTCTTCGTTTGCTTGAACATCATCATTATCGTCAGTATTATCTAAATTTTTATCAGAATTCTTCTCTTTGCTGTTGTCATCTGGTTTTTCATCCCACATCTTATCATCAATTGCATTAGGATCATCTTCATCGAGGTTATCAATTTCTTCATCTAGCTGTTCCTCATCTTCTTCATCCATCTCTTGATCTTCTTCATTTTGCTCTTGATCAGATAATTCTTCCATTTGACCAGCCATGTCACCTTCCATTTCAACTGCATCATCATTTTCATCGTCATCCCGTTCATCTTTATCTTTTTGGTCTTCATTACCTTGTTGAGCATCTTCGGTTAGATCTTCATCTTGCTCTATATCATTAGAGTTATTTTGTGCACCTTCACCGTCACCAAGACCAGTACCTTCATGCAGATTATTATCTTCAATTTCTTCTGATGGTGGTTCCGGAGAACAGAAACCATTCTTAGCCAAATTGAAAAGGATGTTAGATAGAATATAAGAGCCATGGCTTAGATTAACATAGAATGATCTAGTTTTTTTGAAAATTATTTCTAATAATTGTTTGTAACGTGTGAAAACAGGCATAGTAAACATAAGCATTGCACGAACCAGTTGAGAGTCAGTAATCGAAAAATCTCTGGACTTAAGGAATGTTTCAACCTTTTCAATATTTTTGATTATAGTGTTACCGTAAACTAATTTTGACAATGTAATTATCCGCTTTGATGATGTAGATAACCATATATCATCTTCAACTGATACCGATTTGCATTCATCTTCCATCACCTTTTGAAATACTAAAACAATACTGGTATATAATTTACGCAATAAGTGATCGATCTCAAGGAGGTCAATTTCACCGGACGAATTTGACTTGTCGTAATGATTCTTATGATTATTGTTTATCCAATCTAATAATATATCATAAATGAAGAAATTAGATTTTGTTTTATTGTCATTTATCTGTTTAACAAAGTTAGCCATAAAATTCTTGAATTCAGATAGCACTTGGGAAGTTGAGGCATCAAAGACGACAATCTTTTTTATCCTTTCTTGGAATGCGTCTAACTTGAGCTTAGAGTTATTTAAAAAGATTTTATCATGTTCTGTGTTCATTGTTTCATCAATAATCAGAAGCCCATTTAAGCAGTAATCTAGTAACATTGGTAATCTATAGATCATAAATTTGGCGTTTGAAAAATCAAATTCTAAAGAAAATTGTTTAATAGAGCCTTGGGAGGAGCTATAACTTTCAAAAGTGTCATGTAAATTACAGATGATTTCAAAATTGTTTGAAAGTCTTGCAATAGGTTGTCTAGTAGTAATCAGAGTAAATATCAGGTTTTCCATAATTGCCATACCTTTTTCAATGCCTGCGATTGGAACGTCTTCAGCCGGTGAAGCAACTGCATTTCTTAAACGTGGTAATATATCAATTGTTCTGAAGTAATATTTATCAGCATCTCTTAAATTATCATTAGTAAAAGCAAGCGAATTGGCCAATATCGTTGAAGAATTACCTTGGACTCTATGAATGTCCTTTCTAAAGCTAGTTTTTAAACCACTTCTCCTCAATTCCTTCAATGCATCACTGAATAACTTACTCTTTTGGGCCCTTAGGGTTGCGAGTTGCTTTTTGATTTCCTTTTTGTAGACACTAGGCGTTTCATCGCGTAAACGGTCTGCTTCTCTGGCATAATCTTTAACAAATTCAACGAAATCAGGGAATATTTGACTATCCACTGTTGAGACATACTTCTCCATATTTGAGCTAACAACTCCTACATTTTGTAATACTTTAGATCTTGTATTCCAACTTGGTATATTCGACAATAAACGTTCGGTAGAGTTATCAATTCCTACGTAAATCGAAGATGTATTTTGAACTTGACATAATGAAAGTGTGATGTTCGGGACATAGGGTAAACCAGTCTCGATCAGAGAGAGTACATTTGTTGAAAGCAAGGTTCTGTATTTTTTCACAATTTTAAATAAACTGTTATGAGAACGGCGAGAACTTTGTTTCAATGCATCAACATTTACATCTTTCCAACTAGCAAGTAGAATAACCTCGTTCATATCTTTTTCTAGGGATTTCTTACCTTTTTGGATTTGTTGCAATAGTGTATCTTCGAATTGCTTATAAAATGACACTATGTTGGACAATGTGTTAGAAAGAGCAGGAGACAAACCAAGAGCTTCTGCATGTTTCTTAAAAGATGATACTAGTTTTAGTCTATCACTATATTCTCCGAGTGTACTTTTGCTAAAGAAAGTGTTCAAAGATATTGTTAATTCCATTAAATTTTTATCGGAATCGCAATCACTAGTGCTACTTGTATTAGAAACAATAATTGTTTCAAACAAATAAAACCACCATTTACCAATACTTTTACGTATCTTTTCGTTTTCCGTATTAAATAATTCATTCCATGTACGCAATTCAGATTTTCTCCAGGACACAATTAGGTTTGTAATTTTTGTAATATATTCATTCAAAGAAACCTTAGAAGCAGCATACTTTTCCCACTCGATTGTAACAGTATAAATTTGTTCGATTTTGTGCAATTGTTTAGCCATTGGTGTATCCGTAGGGCATTCCAAAAAGTCCTTGCACATTCGTGAAAGTTCGATTAGAGTAGCATGTTCTGGCCATTGTGCTAATAATATATTGATGTAAGACCAGATGCTTGTCACAAGTAAAACAGCACGTTGTGATTCTGATATAGAAGATTCCTCGTAGAAGTTAATAGTTTTGTTATCATTTGAATTTTCGAACAAATGAATTTTATCACTTAATGATGTCATAACACCTACAAGTTGATTACCATTTAAAATGTTACTCTGGAGTTTTGTTGATTCGTGGACCATAATTTCAACAATTGACGAACCTCTTTTAATCATATCTATCATACTGCCTTGTTCATTGCCACTAAATATAGAAATGTATAATTTGGCAATGGCATAGTAAATTTCTTCTATATCTTCATTAGTTTTCTTTGACGTATTGGTATCATCATCCAAAACGTCTTCATAATCTGGGAACATCTTCTTGATTGCTATTTCGATATCCTCTTCAGAATCATCATATTTGAATAAACTAGACTCTTCTTGCTTTTTCTGTTCTTCTCTGATACGTCTCATAGACCATCTATAATACAGTGTTTGTAATATTTCATTGAGAACAGATAGTAAATCGCCATCAATATTGTGTAATTTGATCAAACGTAAAAAGAAAACCAGGACCTTTTCGTTATTTATGTTTTCTAATGTCCATCCATTTATTAATTTACCTATAATTTCAAAGGATATCTTAATTTTTTTGGTGTTATACAACTCTACAACGTCTATAGGCCATAAAGTCGATAGAGAATGCGCTTTCTTCTCTTCTAGGTCAACATATCTAAGGATATCAAAACCGAATTTCATACTCATGATATAACCTGAAAATATTTCATTTAAATCTGAGTAGTAGGCGTAACCAGTATCCAGACGTTTCATAAAGTTTGAGGTATTTTGTTGGAATAATTCTAACCTGTCAGTAGAGTATTTTTCATTGTTATTCATCACTGCTAGAAGGTGTTTAGCTTGCTCGACAGAAACTGTAGATTCCACAAAATTCAACCATTCATCGAATAGATTATCAATAGGGGTCGTTGGACGATATACCTTTGGTTTCTTTGGAGCATCCTTGTCCGTAACTATATCAATCAGTTCTTCCGCGTGTATCTTCTCATCACCACTGGTAATAATACGAATAGAAGACCAGTTGTCAAGCATACTTTCTGAAAATTCCTTATGCTTTGAGAATAGTTGGTAATGAACATAATCATTAATGGCGGGATCAACCGGTTTATTAGGAGCAAATAACTCTATTAAAGCGGCACCAAACAAAACGAATGCCGTACCTAATTCCAAAAGTCCCTTGCGGCTTAACATATACGCGGGTTTGATAAATTTCGTGAAGGTCTCTACAAAAACATCTTCTGATTCTGAAATAATGTACTGTTCCCACATTTCCCTTTCAATCGTTGACAGGTCAGAGGTGGTGTGTGTAAAAATAATTTGGTCCATCCAGTACCTCAATAACTCAGAATATTCTTGCATTGGATTTTCAAGTAGTGAGCTTGATACTCTTATAGTAGATGACAGAAGTGTCTTGGCGTCTGTAATGGTTTGATTTATTTGACTCCCCGCAAAACAAGTAAACTTGTTGCTTTTTAAAATAATATTTTCGAAATACTTCGATGAAAAGAGAGAATCAGTGAATGACTTATATATTCCATTCTCAGATTCCCATAAGTGATCAAATACCGGCGGATAAGAATAGTTACCACTATCGAATTTTATCAATTTCTCTGTTGTGCAGGACGTGAATGGAGCAATTTCAAGTATAATATTTTTATTTTTGTCAGATTTACTCAATAGAAGTTTTGAAAGATTATCAAACTCCCCCTTGAAAATATGTTGTCTGCGCAATAAAAATTTTGAGGAAATATTTTCAAGTCCTTGAATACCATCTTCGAATTTTATTAAAAGCTCTTTAACTATGGATTCATCATTACCAATAATTTCTTGTGATATAAGAAAAATCATATTTGTCAAATTCCGAATGGATTCATAGGATTCACTAAATTGCTCAGATTTTACCCTATCGAAATGAGTGCACAGTTCCAATAATTCGCCCCATAATTTCCAACTTACAAGTGTGGAAGGGTAGACTTTCCTAAATGCTTCCCAAATTTCAACAATAGATTGTCCACTAGTCAAACTTAAACTTTCTTTTACACTAGTACATATTGTGGTAAATTCATTTACGTCAATACCAATAGAGCTTGCTTCTTCGGACCATTTTTCTAATAACTCTTGGTACACTCTTAAACGTGCTTCATCCTTGTTCTTGGCTGACTCTACTGTAGACTCAACTAATAGTAATAACTTCATAAATTGTTTGTAAACATAAGGATCTTCAAATAACGATCCTTTCTGGAGGTATTGGGTCACATAGTTAATAACGTTTACAAGTAAGGCAAATAGAGGAATTTTGGGACCATTTCTCACATGACGTCCATTAAATATAGCAGCAGATAACTCAAGATAATTCAGTTCATCAATCTTTGAATTTTTAGATTTCACATCAGCGGCTTGTAATTGCCTGGATAACTTCAGTAGCATTGCAAAACATGTAAAGAGATAAATTGACTCAGAGGAGTCTGCATTTGGGAGAATTTTCTTCAAAACAGGTAAGGTGAACACATTTAAAATTGGATTGATATATTGTGAACTAATGCTCACCTCCTGTGAATTTAATACTTTGGAGATACTGAAATCCTCTTTCAATTGAATTTCATTTATTTTTGAAATAATATTTTTATTTTCTAAGAAGAAGATAAAAGCAGCTGCTGCCTCATGATAAGCGGAAGTATTAAATGAGTGATTATTTTTGACGTTTCTTGACCATCTTTTGATTTCATCAATCTTATCAAGTGGAAGGATACTAGTTAGAACCTCGCTGTTTATTTTTCCCTGTTTTGAACAAATAATATCATCTAATACAGCAAACGCATTTATATCAGCAGAATAGATTGGCATAAATTTAATTAAGGGTTGAGCCTTCGGGGTGATACCTATTGATAAAGTATGGAAATTATTAGTAATGTCACTCTCGCTCTTGATATCCACATTCTTGGTTTCAACTTCTGTGTCGGAACCTAATAATATTTCGTTATCAAATGTAGTAGCACGCTCCTTTAAGTCATCAATATATATCTCAATACCTCTATTTCTCATAGCTCTGGATAATTCACCATATTTAGGGTTCATTGTTATAAATAACCTAAAGTTTTTGTGAGGTTTTAAGACTCTTGGTTCACCGTTTGCTTGACTACATTCATTTATCAAAAGGGATCCATTTGTTTCTAGTAGAGAGTTCAGTCTATCTAAGACGGATGGTGAACACAAATTGGCGTTATCTAACACCAACCAATGTCCTTGTTCGACTGCACGTACCAGCATACCGTCAAACCATTCGAATTTTACAGCAGTTTCTTTATTGATTATTTCAGATAGAGATTCTATTCTACTATTCAAATTATCAAAATCTGGATCATTTTGAATATAGGAATATAAGTTCTTAAACTCACGCTTAAAATGCTTGAATCTAGGAACAGTAATTGTAGTATTTGAAATATATTTTAATAATTTTAGACCAATAATGGATGCATTGGCATTTTCATTTCCTAATCTTAAATTAACACACAAAAGTCTTCTTAACACAGTCTTTAGATCACTAGTTATGTATGATATTTTCCTTACTAAATCAACCTGTTCGTAACCACCTAATATATCCATACTGTCAACATCACTGTTCATTGAAAAGACGTGTAAATCAGCACCCACTACACCAGCTATGTACCTAATGATATCAGTCTTACCAGAATTGGATGGACCAACCATTATCAAGGGCCAATTTCTATTAATACAACGAAGAACTGTTTCGTAAACTTGTGTATTACATTGTAGGGCATTCAAATGTTGACTTACAGGGTTACAGAAAATATCATTACGAACTGCAACTTCAGTATTCATCTGGACATATTCTCTTGTAACTCTAAAAAAGTTTTCATTCTTCTTGTAGGTACCAAAAATGGATTCAATTAGTTGTTGTGCTTTCTCCTTGTCAAGGTCTGTACGGAATCTCTGCACCACTACTGTATTAACAAAGTCAAACACCTGTTGTTCACCAGATATGGATGTCTTACTCAAAAGTTTTAACCATCTTAAGGCATCTCTCAGATTAAATTCCCATGGAGACCCTGAAGATGCCCATTTTCTATCTTTACTAACATCTTGCTCTAATGTAGACATGACCCTGATTAATCCCAAAATAGTTTCTTCCTTAATAGTTGGATATAAGTAATTTGCAATTAAAGTCAAATCTTCTGTCTTTAATAGGTCAACGTAAACAACACTAAAACGATTGACAAAGGATTTTGGTAACCCTTTTCTTCCACCACCTTGATATTGTGGATTTTGAGCCGCAAAGACTATGAAATTTGGGTGACGAGAAAAGGATCTATCCAATTCAGGGATATATGCCTCACCACGATGATCAAGACATGCATTTAAACCTTCTAAAACAGATTGTGATGCGAGATTCATTTCATCAAGAAGAACCCATTCACCTTTTTGCATAGCTCGTAGGAATGGTGCATCCCGCCAAACAAATTCTCCGCTTCTCTCACCAGGTGAATCAGAACCAAATAAATCTACTAAATCTGTTTGTTCTGACAAATTAATACGCGTCAATTTGTTATCTGTTATCGATGCTAATGCAGTAATAAGACTTGTTTTCCCAACACCAGGACTACCTTCTAAAAGAATTGGTTTATGGACCTGTAGTGCTCTTATAACCCTCATTAGATTCATTTTAGTTGTAGGCGCCGACAAATTAAAAGAAGGAGCTTCTTGTGTCGAACCATTTCTACTAATTGAAAATGGGCCAACATTTAAGGTTTCGTTGGTGATGTTAACATTGGATAGATTCTCAACGTAACTTGCTAAAGGCTTTTTAGCTAAATCCGAAAGAGTGTTTAAACATTGCGATTTTAATTGGTTTAGTGATTCTTCTGATTCAGCCAAATAAGCTGTGTTATTTGTACCCAAAGCATCGATGAAAACCATCAGTGCACCTTGCACCAATAATAAATATGGATCCTTAATTGTTTCGTAAGTACTGTTAATAAATTCAACCCATGCTAGAATGTCACGTAAGGAAATTACACCGTTTGTTGCATTGCCACCACCAAACTTTTTACCGAACCATTCAGAGAAATCAGTGATTACAGAAGCAAGATTATTGACTCCATCGACCAATCTGGATGATACTATTAGATTGACATCTTTAAAGTCTTCCATAGATGGAACCCAGATTTCAGTGAAACGATTTCTTAAGGCTGGTGATAATTCTTTTTTACCGTAGTCACCACCTGGATTCATAGTAGCAAAAAATTGAAACCCTTTTTTGGCTGTGACAAAATTATCGTTTACACCTTTTTCGGCAAGTAAAATACTTCTCTCTGGTTCTAAAACACTGTTTAGTCTTTCAAGTACAGAATCATCGGCAAGTGAAATTTCGTCTAATAAAAAGAAATTACCCGTTTTCAATGCGTGGATTAAAGGACCATCGCTCCATTCAAATAATATGCCCAACCTATCACGAAGTTTTGCAATATTTTCTTGTGTCTCAGTATTTAGTTTGGACTTATCGAAAGTGTCGTATTGTTTTAGTAATTGGTCAATATCATCAACATTGGAATTCAAAATACCCTGTAACTGTTCTTGGAGTTTCCCTTGTAATTCTGAGCGATTACGTACTGGTCTTTGGGCCCCCAGTATATCCCCAGTTTCAGTGTTTTGATGCGCATTTAGAGTGACTAAGTCTTTTTCGAGATAAGAAGCCAGTATTTGGCAGATAGTTGTTTTACCACAACCTGTTTCACCTACAAGCAGGATTGGTTCATTATTCTTGAGACATGTTGAAACTAAAACTGCTAAACGACGCATTGCACCTGTCCAAACAACAGTATTTTCATTCTCTAACTCTTTGTTCTCCAAACTTTGGTAATAATCATTCATATTAAGTTTAACTTTCATTACTTTTTCAAGAATTCTTTGGATGACCACCTTTTCTTGGGGAGTTCTGCAACGTTCTGCAAGTAACATGTACCCATTTGCAGCCAATTCTTCATATCCAACGGCTTCTCTTAACGCCCAGCGGAACAAATCTCTTAGCGTTGCAAAACTGTTCTTTTGTTCAAATAATCTGGATGCGGATCTTTCTATAGACAACTGACGGTAAACTTCGACAATCTTTTTGGCATATGATGGAGCAATTTGGCATCTCTCACGTAAAATAATTTCCAACTCATCTTGAGGAATATCATCAAAGTGCAATTCTAAGAAACGGTTTCTAAATGCTCTAGATAGTACTTTACGACCACCATATACACCTGGGGGATTTTGAGTAGCGAAAAGCATAAAGTCAGGATGAGGGTGAACAATTTCTTGTGTTTCCGGAATAAAAAGTTCCCTATTATCGTCTAAAAGTCTATTAAGTGCCTCAAGAACATCCGTTGGCGCAAGATTTAGCTCATCTAAAACTATCCAGTAACCCTTTCTCAAAGCTTCTACTAATACACCTTCTCTAAATGCTAGTTTCCCTGAATCATCGGCGATGTATGTACCAAGGTATTCTTGAAGATCAGTATGTTCATGATTATTGATACGTACGAATTTGTGACCAGTAATATCAGCCAAATATTTGATCATACTTGTTTTACCAGCGGATGTTGGCCCTTGAACTAAAATTGGAAATCTTCTACTAGATGTTGCTCTAACCAGATTCATCATATTTTTTTCAACAAATGGTGTGATAATGTAATGAGCTTGCTCTTTAATTTCTTCGTTACCTTTCTTCATCCAGTAGTGGTTAAACTTAATATAATCTGAACCTGGAGCAGCTGGAATCTTTGTCAGGATAGATTTTACATTTTTAATTCTTCCAAGGATATGTTTCTCAATAATCGGCTCCAGTATTTTGACTGACCTCTGATCCAATAGAGTAAGGAAACTCATACAAAAACCATCGTATAACGAACGACGTAAACCGTAAATATGAATAATGTCACGAACATAAAGCAATGTTCGTGTTAATGTACGAATACTAAAATGGGGTTTTTGATTTGAACCATCGACGACTCTATTGTTTTCAGATAACCTCTTAGCCTCAAGGTATAACTCGGCTATATCATTTCCGACCCATTCATCACTAGAGCTGTATTTTCCAATATATTTGTCAATAATTGATAAGAGATCTCTGATGTCATTGTCCGGTGAATGTACGTATATCTCCGTAAATTTGGATCTTATACCAGATGGTAAATCACGTTTACCAACATCAGTTGCTGGATTCATACAGGCAAATAGACGAAAATTGGGGTGGGCATGAACTGGTTCAATATCACCCTTTTCAGATAGGAGAATACTTCTCGATGTTGCTTCTGCTAATAGATCTGATATACTCTCCAAGGTGTCCGCAGATGCAAGATTTATTTCATCAAGTAATAACCATTCACCATTTCTAACAGCTTTCACTAGCGAACCTTCAACGAAATCAAAAACAAATGAGTTATCAATGGAACTCGATTGAGCTTCAAACTTCTCTACTTCAATTTTGAAATCTTTCCACTGTTCTAACAGCATAGTTTTCTCGTGAGAATCCAAACTTTTTTTCTTTTTCTTTACTGGTTCTTCTTTGTCAGTTTCGGCAGATATTGGTTTTAGAATGCTTTTGGCCATCTTGAAAGCCTCATTCCATAATCTAACGACGTTTTTCCATTGGCTTTTATTAAAACATTTATGTAACATTCTGTGGAATTTCATGTTCTTCTTAAGCGAAAAGGTACTTTCAAATAATACTTCAAATTTCTCTTGAACAGGAACAGCAATTGATTTTGAATTAACTGGTTTATAGCCACCCAAAAGATCACCGGTTTCAGTTTGTTGTGAAACATTTATAACAGTTAAAGTTTTGTTGAGACGCTTCGATAGTTGTTGAACAACAGTTGTTTTACCAGTACCTGTTTCACCAACTAGAAGTACTGGTTCTGTCATCCTAACTGAAACAGCAATTTGTTCCATAAGACGTAAAGAATGGTTAGTCATTGCAAACGAAGTTGAATTAACAGATTTCTTCATTAATGCAGATTTGGATTTTTCTAACTGAGTTCTGCCGATAGAAATGTAATCATCGAAATCTTCAAATCCAGGAACATGTTTACTTAAAAACAGTGAAATTCTTGAAGGTGCTATTTCTAACGATTCACCAATAGTATGTATGATAGGTTCAAGTGCTTTTAGTTCTCCTATAGAACTTGCAAAGCAATCAACAGCTTCGGAAAAAATGTTGTCATATATTGAAGATTCAATTAGTTGGTCCGGTTTGGTAATATTGTTGCTGTTAAACAGCACCTCTAACCTCTGGCAAAGTTTAACAAGGTCCCTAGTTGATGTACCTCTTGCATGTGCACCCCTATTCAAGGAAATAAATCTTGGGTTCTCATAGATTTTCTTCACAGAATCATATGTCATGATAAGTCGTGGAACCAATTGGGAAAGAACTGGGAATCTGTCACATAAAATTTTGTTTAAGTCATTTGCGTTAATCTCATCCATAAATATAGTGTTCCAAATTCTCATACCGATCAAATTTAGATTAAAATCATTACCTTCTGATATATTTCTACTATCTTCACTGTTAATTCTTACTGTTGATATTAATTGGAATCCGTTGGCTGCTTTGATGGTTTCACCTCTGGATGGAATCGTAAGTTCACGTTTTTCTAATAATGATAATAAAATGGATAAAACTTCAGTCGGAGCTTTATCAATATCTTCTATAAGAACCCATCTTCCTTCTTTTACAGCAGTTGTTAAAACACCTGATCTCCATTCAAATGTACCGGGTTTATCACCAGATGTATAAGTACCAACGAGTAATTTTGCATCTGTTTGTTCACCTAAATGGATTTTTACAATAGATCTTTCACACCCCATATACTTACTCAGTTCGTTAATAATGAATGTTTTACCAGCACCAGCTTTACCTATTAACATAATTGGGGTAGATTTCTGAACTTGTTTGGCTAATTGGCGAAGTGTGTCAATTGTTTTTTCAGTTGGCACATATGAAAGTGATGTCTCGTTACTGAGATCATTCTGAGCAAGCTTAGGTACTAGGATCCCACAAATTGAGACTACCTTGTCTGTTAACTCATTAGGTTGGATAATGAAATATTTACCATTACGATCTGCTACTAAACATTCTTCAACTTCTGGTAGTTTTGTGTAATTGGAAAATCTCTTGGCTTCATTTACGTCTAAAAAATAATAGTCGATATTAGAATCGTTATCATAATCTCCTAATAGCTCTTCTTGGGAGGGACATTTTACTCTGATCATATCGATAGTAGCCTGCTCACCCATATCTAAGTATACAGAAATAACTTTGATTGCTAAAAATTTTATTATTCCATGTGAACTACTATTCATTTCATTGTTAATGAAAGAGTACAATAAATCGGGATTGATGAACTTGCTAAATACTTCTTTATTGTGGTATAATAATCGATAATAGGATAGTAAAATCTTGGAAATATCTTGCTCGGATTGTGAAGAAGGATTTTGAAGAATAGTAGTGAAGTATTCATTTTCCTTTTCCAAAAATTCTTCCATTAACGACATGGATAAAGGATATGTTGTAATAATACTTGCAGCAGCATCTAAAATACGAACAGCATGCTTCTTAGGAAAGCTCCAAATCCATTGGGATAAAACTTCAAGAAAAATTGGTTTATAAATAAATAAAGATGCAGGGATAGAATTGGAAACGATAATCTCTTTCGCTAAGTTTGAAAGGTTTTCTTTAGTAGATAATGTATTGTTGAATTTAAACAGTTCGACATTTGGTTCTTCTGGAAGGGTTTTGGCAAATAGATCATGCCTCTCTTTCACTTTTTCTAAGTCTAATAAGACATAATCTGGAGAAACCATGTTCTTAGATAATAACTATTTGGCAAATGTAAAGTGTATCTCTTCGTTTCCTTACACTGTAGTAAAGTAGATGTTCTAATGGTATTACAAAAACGGTAAAAAAATGAACGAATACTTTTCTGGTTGCCTCGTTTAAACTATTTGGGTAAATTAAGTTAATGGAGGTTGTTCAGAAGTTAGTATAAGTTCTGTATCCTTTGTAGCAGTATGTTATTGAAAGGTCACTCAAAAATATTGTATTGTTTTGAAAAGTCAGCGCTTGCTCATCGCTCAAAATTTTTCACGGATCGTTAACAGTGAGAGAGCGCAGATTAAACGTGGAGGACATGAAAAAAAGAAAAGAGTTATTGATAAGTCCTTCAAGCAGTTGGGCAGGCAGGCAGGCTAAAATATCTAACAAGCAATTAAAATAAGTAGTTAAAAAGTATAGGAATTAATAAATAAAATTTTAGCAAATTGGTTGTTTTAATAACTTAAAACGATAACTAGCTAAATTCAGATAGCCATGTCCAAGCATAACACGGGTCTTATGCCGGGAGAGCTTAAAACACAACCAGCACCGTTTCAAGATCGGTATAAAATTTTACATAAATTATTTGATCAACTAACAAGATGTCGCTTAAAAGCAGATACATCGAGATTAAAAAGGATGGCAATCGAACTGGAACTTAGAGTAGCAAAAGTTAGCACATCCCCTCAAAGTTATAGATTTCATATGAGCATTTTACTACGAGATCTTGTTAAGGAAAAAGCCAACTTCAAGAAGATTAAAATTGCAGGGAAGCAAATTATGTCCAATACTAAAACTTCTTCTAATAGTCTCATTAATACTAAGACAAGAGATAAGGATTATGTAATGCAAAAATTAACAGATATGTTGATTGATCCAAAGATATTGGAGAAGCATAAATACATTATGTCGCGGATAATACCAGATGATTATACCGCTAGTAGTGATTATGCCAATTGTGAAAGATGTAATACAAAATTCAAAAAAAGTAAAATCATGCTAGATACTTTGTGCACATATCACCCACAAAAAAAGATATATAATAAAGAAAGCAAAACTCATATGTTCCCGTGCTGCGGTGAATCAACAACATCTACCTCGTTCATGCGATTAGGATGTAAAAAAGCAGAACACCATGTCTTCAAAAATGATTCTTATCCAGAATTACGTGAAATAAGTGATTTTCTGAAGACATCTGTGATAGATGGAAAGGAAAATGTTTTAGCTCTTGATTGTGAGATGGCGTTCACATCGAAGGGTTTTGAAATGGTTAGATTGACAATAGTTGATTTTTTTACATGTAAGGTATTATTTGATGAAATCGTAGAACCATTTGGTGATATTATAGATTTGAATACACTATTTAGTGGTATTCACTCAGAGGATATGGAGCAGGCTATTCCGTATTTGGACATCATGGATAGGATTTTGACTACCGATTTGATAAATCGAAATAGTATTTTGATTGGGCATGGTTTAGAGAACGATTTAAACGTAATGAGAATCATTCATGAAAGGATTATTGATACTGCTATCCTTTTCTCTGTTGGGAAATATAAAACTTCGTTGAAGAACTTAACTTTTGAGACACTGAGTGAGAAAATTCAGACAGGGGAGCATGACAGTTCACAGGATGCAATCGCTACAATGAATGTAATAAAGAAGAAAATTGGTGTACCGATAGAGCAGGTAAAATGGGATTGATAAATGAAGGCATTGTGTATTTATATCGTTGTATATATGGAGTATTTATGGTGTAAATTTAATGTAAAAAATAGACATCGAGCTATCAAAAAAAACCTTCAAAGTCTAAAATTGTAGATATTTTCTAATAAGCAATTATTTTTCTAAGTAAATTTAAGCGGTTTGATCATAAGGAGCTGATAGAAGGGCTCATATTCAAGGAACAGTGGTGTGAATAGAGGATAACTTTGGACTATTCCGTTGATTATTTTATATAAATAAGCTGTTACAGTGACTCATGTAGCTTTTTAAATATTTTATGAGATTACACATTAAACGAAAGTCATTGGTCCTTTAAAAAAGTCATATGATGACTCTAAATTTTCAAAATTAACTGCATTTCAAGAATTTATTTTTCAAATTTTTAACTACTATAAGGTGTTTGAACTTTTTAGAAATTTGTTCGCGGAGTAACCCTCCGTGGACATTTGGTCAATTTGAAACAATACAGAGATGATCAGCAGTTCCCCTGCATAAGGATGAACCGTTTTACAAAGAGATTTAATTTATTTTTTTGCAAAACTTTTCAACAAAATGACCTGTTGAATAACAGATTATAATATTTGTAAATAACTAGTCACCACAAGTTTTTTTTAGTTTACTTTTTAAATAAAAACGAATATTAGCTAAAGTACTTGGTTCGAATTTCAAGTCGTACTTTTTTTTTTGTCTCTGTCCGAATATTCACCAGACATCTCTATTTCATAAGAAATAAAAGCTCTAAATGTTTTTTCTCTCTATTTATATGTAAATATATTTTTTCTGTACGTTTTATATGTGAAATGCAAAATATTGTATATACCCCCAATTGGTTATTGTTATATAAATTCGGTTAATTTGTTAAATTCCTTTAGACCGCTAAATGAATCTAATTTTATAGCGATAAGCATTATTTGACCATCTTTAATACCTAATTTCCATAAAGATTTTAATAAATGAAGTTTTAAACCTGGAGAATATTTCTTATCATCCTTTCCTGAAACATCATATACGACATCATTAAATTTGGAGTCAGTAATTAATTGACAAATATTTCTACATTGAACGCCATTAACTTGTAAATCGCTAATAGATATGCAGGCAGGTAATACCAGATGATCTCTTTCTTTTCCACCTTTTGTAGCGGCAAACTTTCTTTTATAATTATTAAGAGTTATCCCTTGACGGGATAAAAATGCATTAAAAGCCCTATCGAAAGTTCGTAAACTATTTCCTGTAATATCCATATGAATAATCTTATTATATTTATTAAAGATAAGTGAATTTTCATTTGGATTTAATTGGAAAATTAATTCTGCTGAAACGTCATCGATAAATGGACGTTTATATCTTACCATATCCCACGGCCTTTGATTTTCATTATTTTTACGTTTTTTCCTTTCTGGTTCATTGTCATTATTTTCATTATCACTAGAATTATTACTACTATTATCACAATCTTCACCATTTTGTGATGATGAATTTTTACAGCCAGTTTTATTAGTCATACAATGATTATTTAATTGTGAAATCATATGTTTTTCAATAGGACTAGTTAAACCTTTTGAATTAATATCATTTAATTGAATTTTAATTTCTGCTACATCACTGAAAGGATTTGTATTACGATAAACGTTAATTAATCTTTGTTCTAAATTTTGAAAACGATAATACTTACATTCCTTAATTAAAGTGTCTCTTAAATCTGAAGATAGAGTTAAAGTTGAGCCACTTAATAAATCTAATAACATTTGAAAATACTCTGGAGATCTTGAAACAAAATTTGATGAAATTGGTACAACAGATAACTTATTATTAACAAACCTATATTCGATTTCTGAATTAATTGTATTTGAAAAGACTTGAAAATAATTATTTGAATCACCATCACGTCTAAATAATTTTTTCAAAAATTTAAATGATTTTCCACCAATATTAGCATAGTAATATGGTGATTCTTTAATATCTGTCGTTAATTTATTAAAACCATAAAAAATTGAATCTGCTAATAACATTGAATATTCATCTTCATCAACAATATCTAAATAGTAACCTTGTAAATGTTTCATAATACGTTTAAACGATAGACTATTTCTATCTAAAAATAAATCTGTCTTACCATCATTTTTAGTGAAAAATTCAGTAAAATAATTCGGTGAATCTGAATTAAATGATAATCCAGTTAATTTGAATACTTCTGTACCCATATTAATAGTATATATTTTATCATCTGGAAGTTTCATATTGGTCTTTTCATTATTATAATTTATTGATTTATTAACAGATGGAATCTCTGAAATATTAATCTTCTGAACTGATGTTGTCATATTTTAATTAAACTGTATCGGTTTATTTACGCATATATTAAGTAAGTCTAAATAGATCTTTCGGTTAACCAGTTTTTAAAATATTTATATATAATAATGTTTTCACACATCACATATATATAAAACACCATTACTTATAAAAATTAAAAAACTACACACCAAGTATTATTATTATTATTATTAATATATATATATATAATGTATTAGAAAATATCGCTTATTAATGACGATGCCTTAAGATCTTTAACATCTTCTGAGCATTGTTCTAATAGAAGAAAATTGTTTATAAATTTTTTAGCGTTCCGCTTCTACATTCAAATGTCCGTAGTTACCGCATATACATAACGTGAAAAAGGATGGCGGAAAAAAGAATGAAAAATCATGAATTGTCCGCTTATTAATAAAAATTAATGTGAGAGAGTGCCAAAGGAATTAGTAATCATTATCTTCAAGTGTGAACACTATATTTGTTCAGTGAAGAAGCCAAGAAAATTTTGTGAAAAGAATTTTGATAGTAGCTAGGAAAAGAAAAAAAATTGATAAACAGTGCGAAAAGAAGGAGTTTAGATAATAGTTATATATTTATACATAAAGAGAGATATAGCTCAAACCGTTGCTATGGAGCGGTTAAGTAACGGAGTTTTAACTATATAGTTATATGTAGATATACATATATATGTGATTTTGAATTAAAGAGAGAGTTTAATGTTAGTGTTATTATTATTATTATTATTATTATTTGTTGATGGGAATATTATATAAAATTACAAAAAAAATTATAATTAATTTTAGTAGCAATATTATTACACACAACAAAATGTATATATGCAGTAATATAATGAAAAAATGTACCTGTAGACGTACGAATCTTTAACGAGCTTGAAATAAAAACTTACCTCTTTTTCATTTTACCCTTGAATGGACTGAATTAAAAAAGCCAGCTTTTTATCATCGTTTTATTTTTTGATCGTAGATGGATTAGTTCTGGATTTATGTTTATAAAATAATTCTCTGTGGAAATATATGTGATGGGTTAAAAAAAAACGATTGTTAAACGAACATGATCAAAAGAAAAGAATCAAAATTATAATTTGATAACTTTTTTATTGATACTAAAAATGAAATTTAGAATCAAATATTAGAAGTTTCTAATATTTAATTAAATTAATGAAAATAAAAATAATGAAAAGAAATTCAAATCATCAACTTATAATAATAGAGCGGCAACACCTGCGAATAGAGCACCAGCAGCTGGTAGAACGTGGTTAGCGGCACCTTCAAAAGAAGTAACACTGTGAGAAGTGGTACCGTTAGAAGCCTTGGAAGTAGCTTGGGTAGTAGCGTTAGAAGTAACCTTAGCTTCTTCAGTTGGAAGTGGACACCAAGTAGTGAATTCAGTGATGACATCGTTAACGGTAACGGTAGCAGTGGAGACTAAAGCTGGAGAAACAGTTTCTTCACAGACGTGTTCTTCACAAGAAGTGATAGTGACTAGAGTAGTGGTCTTTTCGGTGGCGGTAGCGGTAGTAACGTTAGCGGCGGCAGAAGCGACGGCAGATAGAGCGGCGACGGTAGCTAGAGTAGAGAATTGCATTGTAAAAATTGGTTTAGTTTAAAAAGTAAGCGAAAGACTTGGTTTGATGTTTAGATATATGATTAAATATATTTATTGTATGATTTATTATATTTTATAATATGAATAAAACAATATAAAAATATAAAGTAAGAGAGAGAAGAAAATAAAAATTACTTCAAATATGATAATAATCCTTGGTTTATATATGAAATGAAAGGAAGGGAAAATGAAATAAAAAAAATTTAATATATTTAAAAATAATAATTAATATTTGTTTATTTTCGTAATTTCTATTCGATTAAAGGTAAAAAAAACACTTGACTAAGGATAATCTATGATGAATGAGAGAAAAGTTGTTTTGTTTATTTGCAAAAGAAACCTTATCAATTTGCGAAGGTAAAACAAAATACTCAACTACTACCACTTCTTCCTCTCTGTATGTGTATGTAATTTTTTGTTAAGAGGAAAGTATGTGTAGCTCTCTGCATCTGGTGTGTCCATGTTAGGAAATCAACAAAACATCATAATTCTCTACCTTTTCTACTCCTTGCGTTACTTTATTACTTTTTGTTTGTTTGGGTTATAAGATTTATGCCAGCATTGAAGGAGATTTCTTCAGGCTTTTTCTTTTCTTTTTAGCTGAACAAATAAAAAAGAAGTCTTTTGGATCTCTCTGCCATTTCTTTGATAACCCTTGCTTGGATGAACCCCACGCGCTGTGTGTAACAAACCAAAACAAATGAGGAGCCAGCCTTTAAAAATCAAAATGAGCTGAGCACAAATTTTAAAAAAAACTTTATATTTTTTTATGAGGAGCGAAGATTATTTTACTGTGTAATTTATTAATAGTATCATATTTAAATGGGTTTTTACCTCTGCAATGTTTCCACTATAGCAAGGGGGACGGAACACGGGTCAATATATGCTACGTAAATGAGCGCACAAAGAAAATACAAATATAAAAGCTTTTTTTTTCTCTAATCAGATGTGTAATTGCTGGGCCTAAGACTTCAGCGTACAGTTTACGGAGTAACCCTCTTGGTACTTCTTCATCCCAAAACTGAAATAAACAATTTTCTTTCACTTTTCATTTTGGTCAATTACAATACTAAAAAAGCTGATTACACATCGTGACTGAGAGATTCCTATGCAGAAGGCATAACCAGGGATAACGACACTATTAATTTTTTTTTTCATTGTTTTTTTTGTATGGAACGCGCTTTCTTATCTCTGTTATAGTGGTGGTGAGTAACGCGTCTGAGAATGTGTACTTTTACCGGCGTTTGTACTTAATTTTCTTCGTGAATTCTACTTGAGCCATCGTTGTCCTGTTGTTTGGAATACTTCCTATTTGGGACACGATATTTCAGTACGTTTTTCACACTCATAAAATTACTTGCAAAAGGGAGCACTGAGAGAGTCAATTACACTTCTTAAGCTGGTTTGTTTATTTGGCAAACAGAAAAATAAGACGTGTTTGTTATTTTTACTGTCAAAACACCCACATTTGTTTCTTGTTTGTTTGAGGAAGGTAACAAATTTTTGTATGTGTTGTTGATTGAACCCAGTAAGAGAAAAAAAAAGATACTGAATATATGGTCATAGAGATTTGTTACAATAATTTACTGGTCAGTATCCTCTCACTTTATTCATACTGTATAACGTCTCATTTCAGTTGAGTGTGTAGGTAATATATCAACAATAAGTAGGTGACCTATTTAATGATTTTTAACTTCAGTTTTAAGGAGAAACACAAACAGGGAGGAAAGGTAAAAATAAAAACCGGAAACCTGTTCATGGTCAAAAAAGATTCTTGTTTCCTCGTCATAGTAATTCTATGCTAAGCTAAGTATTTACGTACACATTCCTCTCCCATTAATTTCTTTTTTTTCTCGTGGCTTCTCCAATTATTCTTATAAGTATTATAAGCGGAATTTATTTACCGGCGAACAGCATTCTTTTTTTTCTTGTTTAATGTAAGGGATTTTCTTGTTGGAAATTCTTTTTTTCTTTCGTTCGCTCGGTTTCTAAATCTATTAATAGATTTGTTCGTGTGTGGTGATTTTGAGGGTAACGGGGAAATCTTATTTTTCGTTTTGTGAGGGTAATCCTCTAATTTTGATCATTACTGACGAAACAGCCGATCTTTTCTCTTTGCCATCGCTTTTTGTTTTTTCTAAAAGTCTAATACAACTTTTTAAGCCGGACATTAATTGGTGCTTAATATTTTAGTATTTTTCGTTCGAAGTTGGTGGGAAATTACGCCATTGTGGAGTTTTTGCATTGGGTTTGTTTTCGTATAGACATATACTAATAACTATGCAAAAGTAAGGTATATACATAACCTAATAGTTATACTTATATAAATGATTTACTATTAATATTCATTAATCTTAACAATACTATATTCATATTAAGAAGTAAATAAGACTATATTTAATAAACAATCTCTAACAAAGTTAACTTTTCAAAAGAATTAAATTATGGCATCACATGAAGAATTTATTAGAACACAGATCTTTGGAACTGTGTTCGAGATTACTAATAGATATACAGACTTAAATCCTGTTGGAATGGGTGCATTTGGTCTTGTTTGTTCTGCAACTGATACTTTAACAAGTCAACCTGTTGCAATTAAAAAAATTATGAAACCATTTTCAACGGCTGTTTTGGCTAAAAGAACCTATAGAGAATTAAAATTATTAAAACATTTGAGGCATGAAAATTTAATTGGTTTACAAGATATTTTTTTATCTCCTTTAGAAGATATTTATTTTGTTACTGAATTACAAGGTACTGATTTACATAGATTATTACAAACAAGACCCTTAGAAAAACAATTTGTTCAATATTTTTTATATCAAATATTACGTGGTCTTAAATATGTTCATTCTGCAGGTGTTATCCATAGAGATTTAAAACCAAGTAATATCCTAATTAATGAAAATTGTGATCTTAAAATTTGTGATTTTGGTTTAGCAAGAATACAAGATCCACAAATGACAGGTTATGTATCAACAAGATATTATAGAGCTCCAGAAATTATGTTAACATGGCAAAAATATGATGTTGAAGTAGATATTTGGTCTGCAGGTTGTATCTTTGCAGAAATGATTGAAGGTAAACCTTTATTCCCTGGTAAAGATCATGTACATCAATTTTCAATTATCACTGATTTATTAGGTTCTCCTCCTGAAGATGTAATTAATACTATATGTTCAGAAAATACTTTAAAATTCGTTACATCTTTACCTCATAGAGATCCTGTATCATTCAGTCAAAGATTTAAAAATGTTGAACCTGATGCTGTTGATCTTCTTGAAAAAATGTTAGTATTTGATCCAAAGAAAAGAATCACTGCAGCTGATGCATTATCTCATCCTTATTTAGCACCTTATCATGACCCAACTGATGAACCGGTAGCAGATGCTAAATTTGATTGGCATTTCAATGATGCAGATTTACCTGTAGATACTTGGAGAGTAATGATGTATTCAGAAATTCTAGATTTCCATAAGATTGGTGGCACTAATGGACAAATTGATACAAACGCTACTTTTGATGATCAAGTCGCTGCTGCTACTGCTGCTGCTGCTCAAGCTCAAGCACAGGCACAGGCACATGCTCAGGCACAAGCACAAGCACAAAATCAGCAATCTTCGAATCAAGTAGATTCACAGACTGTTCAAACTACTTCATCGACCACTGGTAAAGCAAATGATGTTGATCCAAGTAATAGCAACAATCCTCAAGATGAGAAAATCAATGCTAATGAACATGATTCTATAACTACATTTGCTAATCAAGCTATTCATTATGCTAACGAATTCGAACAATCTTAATCGTTATCGTTCATCAAATAAAAAGTATCACATCGTCTACTCATTATATCATGTTTGTATATTATTTTCTTATTGATACAATCTTTTGTAATGAATAGTTCTAACTACTACTACATGTAGTGTAGCATTAATCCAACCACACAAATATGTAATTCTATAGCGCACACACATATATACACATTCATTTGTGGTTATCTTTATGTATACACAAATTTAAAAAATATCCGTAACAAAAGGAAAGAAAACACAGTGAGCACTTCTGTGATCTACATACGTATACCTAAAATTACTGCTGTTCATATTAACCGTTTTCATCACTGTGAAATAGCCAACAGTCTGAAAATGCGCAATAATAATATTTACCTGTATCAAATCTGAATAACGTCAAAAAAAAAAATAAGGGTAATTACACCCAGCATATTGTCAGATCTCCTTCAGGCGGCTGAAAACAATTAAAGGATTGAATTCTCAAATGTCATATTCCCCATGCCCAGCAGATCCTATTACATATCCTTTTTCGTAAATAAACTTCCAGAAAACTATTTATAGATTTAGTCCGGATTAGGATTTTAGTCTTCGGTGGAAAAAAAGAAAAAAAGTTAAATTATTAATTTTCTCACCATTACCGAATTAGGAATGTTGCTGGTATTGATAAGGAGAAACCCGCAGCATTCATATAAACCAGTATAACCTCCTCATTGAGTGAATTAATTACATGGAAGGAAATTACGTTTATCATTTCTTTTTTCCCCATCCAAGTTATTTTTAGATTGAACGCAAGATATCCTGGAAAAAGAAAACTTTCAATGTATCTATTATTACCTCAATTACAATTCCTAATATGGTGGAAATTGGTTCAAACCATAGAATGAGGTTTTTATCTCATTCGAGCCATAGAACATTGTTCCTGATATTGAGAACTTGACCTTCCTCTTGTTTTTTAATTAAAATTGGAGAAGCGTTACACCAACAGCTGAGGTAAAAAAAAACTTGCTCGGTGTTAGTCCCCGTACCAAACAGGTTTATTTTAAGTCATTTGCTATTTTTTTTTTGTTCTTAGTTTCTCTTTCATTTTTACATTTTCTGAAAATAACGTAGTCTCCTAGGTAAATGGAGAGAAGCTGATATTCTATGGATAGATAATTAGTCAATTACAATGAAAATATTTCAATATACTGGAATGTATTTTATTCTGCAGAAAGGTAATTAAAGAATGCCATTAAGAATAACTGTCACGCCAGTGAAAAGAGATAATTATCAGCTGAAAAATTGTAATGTTAATATTTCTTGTTCTCTCAATGTATCTTGGTGTCTAAAAATTCCGTATTTCAACTTTTCTTCTAAAAATATATAATTTCATTTATAATTGTAGTAATTGTGTAACACCAATCGAGTATTAAAACTAAATGAACGGAGTTTAATTGAGAAGCAGTTTGACACGAAATAGAAGCAGGATATTCCGAATTGCTATTATTTAAATATATTTGAGTTTTCAGAAATTTCAGGAAATTAAATCTAAAAATTGAATTTTATAAAGATCATAATATTTATATACATACTTATAATATTATATGTAGTGCATGTTTGGGAATGCTTATGTACATTGATTATATCATCTATTGATCCCACTTTAACTTAAGGGCTTCTTCATAAGTTGGATAATCAATATAACCCTTACCTGTTTGGTCGTAAAAAGTGTTTCTGTCATAAGCATTCAATTGTAGACCTTCAGCTAAACGATATGGTAGATCAGGGTTAGCTATCCAATATCTACCAAAAGCCACCAAAGTTCTATCGTCATTATTAACAAGCTCTTTGACATCATCTTGATGCAATGCCAAATTACCTGCTCTAATGATAGGACCCTTCCAGATAGAATAAGCAAAATCATTAGAACCTTCTTTATATTCACCTTCACCTTCTACTAACCATGGATTAGTCACACGAGGCTCAGAAAGATGAATATAAGCCATTTTCTTACCTGCTCTTGCTCTCTTTTCTAATTCACCAATGATATAGGCAAATTGAGCCAATAAAGTTGGATCATGACCACCGGACATGCTACCATAGACACCCCATGGTGTTAGTCTAATACCAACCTTCTCTGCACCTATCTCACCAATAACAGCGTCAACAGCTTCCAGAACAAAACGAGCTCTGTTTTCAATCGAACCACCATACTCATCAGTCCTATGGTTTGATTTGGGGTCCAAAAACTGGTTTAGTAAGTACCCAAAGGCACTATGAACCTCAATACCATCTGCACCAGCAGCAACGGCGTTTCTTGCAGCAACTTTGAAATCTTCGATATATTGCTTGATTTCAGGGATTGTCAATGCACGTTGAGGATTCTTAGCCTTTTCAGAAATTTGTTTGAACGAATCATCAATGTAAATATTATCAGAGGCAGAAACATAAGGTAAACCATCTCTGGCTAAGGTATCAGCTTCTGATTGTCTACCTAAAGTCCATAGTTGCATGAACACGTAAGATTTGTTATCGTGGATTCTCTTGAAGATTGGTTTCCATGCTTCAACTTGCTCTTGGCTCCAAATACCTGGAGCATTATCATAACCACCAGCTTTCTTGGAGATAAAAGTAGCTTCTGTAATAATAAAACTACCTGGAGCTTTACTACGTTGGCCGTAATACTCAGCCGTTAATTCGGAGTTTGGAACATTACCTGGACTGGTTGCCCTCATTCTGGTAAGAGGTGGCATAACAACACGATGGTTAAGCTCCATATTACCCACCTTAATAGACTTGAATAAGTTAGTATCCTTTAGGGCAACTGGTTTGAAATCCTTGTTAAATGTCATAATTAATTTTTGGTTATTGTTGTATTTTTGCTTTAGTTTTTATGGTGATGATACACTGTTCCTAAATCAGTACACATTAAAATCAAAAACACAGAAACTACATTCTATTTGTTAGCATTTGTCGTATTTATACTTTTCGAAAATCTGTTGTTAATTACAAATTTGTTGTTATTGATTAAAAATCCATAAAAATATTTTATAACTAGTGTAATTATTACTAATTTAAATTAAATTAGTCAACATAAAGCATTTCTTTTTTAGATTGTCTAAGCTTCGAGAAATGGAAGGAACCATGGAAGCGTTAGCTACCGGAAGCACGGAATTCTTAAGATCTTAAAAATAAGAACAGTTATCCGAAAAGAGAAAATTGATACAGAAAAGTAACGGCAAAATCTTCGCGTATCCACATTTCCGCGTCTAATCATTTCCGTGTTTCTGCCAGTTCCGTGGCAATTTAAGCTATTTCGTCAAACCAACACCTCTACTAAAAAGAAATTAATCACTTCACCTTTCAGAGCCAGTATTCATAGTAATTCTGGGAATAATAAAACGTATCTGATCCGTAAATATGTTTACAAATATGTTGGTAATAATATGGGTTCTCTATGGGACAGAAATATTTGGCAGTTTTCAAATAATCCTAAGTTTATTTTCACCTTCTTGCTAATGACATAATCGGGTGGTCCTAATCTTGCAAAATATCAATTAATTAAAACATTATTGAACATAGTTATTAATTTTTGGAAATATGGAATTCAGAACTATATCATGGGACGTTAAAATTAAGTGGTACCAAACTATACCCGTGGCATAGAATCAATATGCATATTGGTTTAGGAATTAGGGCCTACTGGGCAAATTACCTGAGTATGATTTATATTAGTATTATTGCTATCTTAAATGAATTCAAAAAGAAACGTTAAACTTCCTGGTTTCTACTGCGGGTGTTCATTAAAAAATAATAATGTAATTATTTTCTCCAGGTTTATGATGTCACGATATAAAATAAAACGTACGCTCCTTAGGTTGAAGGGAAGAATTTGATTACTAACCATGAATAACCATCAACTATAACTCACCTTTGTTTTTGTTTTTTTTACTATATGGAATTTCTCACAAAAATTTATATTGTGTAATTGTTTCAAGTCTTTCAAAGATAAGTTAGAAACGTAAAATTGAATTTAATTATTTTAAGCTTATGGATATGTGCATGTAAATTATCAGAGTATTATTAGCAAAATCGAAGAAATACTTGAATTGTGAGTGTACGATGATGTTGATTTAGAAAGTGTTGGATATTCCAATTGTCGGAAACAATAAGGTTACAGAGTTATATGATTATACTATAAAATATAGTAGTCGTTGAGAATGACAAAGATCAAAAGCCCATATTGTTATTCCTAACTATGTTTTTGAGGCACTATAAACAAATCAAACTCTTTCCTAAAAAGGAAACCTTTAAAGACAGAAAATTTTTCAACATGTCATCGATGGGTAAGTGTCATAATCATGACAACAACAAATCCAGTCGAATATATATGGAATGATAATTCAGAGTTGAATTAAATAATTTCCATTATTTAAATGTATGATATGATGTAAATTAGAATGTGTAGAGAATCTGAGTTAGAGTTTTTACTCTCAGTTGATTCTTTAATTTCTTGTTTATTAGTTAAATGTAATTCGGACATTTTTTGATATGATAATTGATCCGTTATTTTAAATTATATAATCTTCAAATTACTTAATCATAAATATTTCTTATTTTACAATAATAGCTTTATATATACCATTAGTTTTTCTTAAACAACTCACCTGCATATATTGCTGGTTTGTTTTTATTTTTTATGTTTTGTGCTGGTTTAAATATTTTTGCTGGTCTCTTTACAATATTGCTAATTATTTCTTTACAATATTTTTGGACTAAGTGTCACAGTAAGTTACCCTTAGTTTCTGACAGAATGAAAAGAAGGCGACGACAGATTTCAGTCTAAACCTTTCAGAATAAAAATACTGTATACTAATTAATTAACAATGAGTAGTCAAAATACTAATAATATCCAATAATAACAGTGTGACACACAGTGATCTTTGTACAATGCGATATTGCTGTGAAAATTTCTGTATATAAAGGAACCCGTTTTCCAAATCATATAGAATTGTATATTACACTTTCTCACATCTCTCTCTGATAGGAGGGAGAGGAGCTCTGCTGCTGGCAACGGACACCTAGTCCTGACCTACAGTAAATATATATACTATTATTATTCTCTAATTCCCAGTTTTCCGACAAACAAATATAGTACTTACTATTAATACATTTACTTATTAACGAACAGAACGACCACCATATTGTTGTAGTTAATATACATAATAATAATCACTATTAAACATTCTATATAGAGCAATCAATACACTCTTTATTAAATTTATTATTAACTTATATAAATAACTATCTTTTTATAAAATTCAAAATAATAGGGCGTGTGGTCTAGTGGTATGATTCTCGCTTTGGGTTCTTTACTCAAATATGTGAGAGGCCCTGGGTTCAATTCCCAGTATGCCCCTTTATTTTTTTAATCATAATTAGCCTCCCATCTGAAGTTTAGTTTTTGAAAAATAATGACAGTTCTTTTAAATAGAACTAACATTATTTTCTTATAGCCAACATGTCTTTCGTTACGGCTTCTTTCGATTTAAATTTTACAACTTGATGACATTTCGATAGCAAGAATGAGTAAAATTTTGTGGGTTCCCTATTACTAATCGAAATTTACATATTCAGGACGATAGTTTCTTTCAACTTCTACTATTACTTAGAAAAAGTTTGGAAACGAAAAATATTACACAAGGAATAAATAATATTTTCATCATTTCGTTATTTTCATATATAGTTGATCTATTTATCTGTTATAGGTTGTGCATCTGAAGCACTGTATTCCTCTTCTTCATCTTCAGTTACCACCAAATCGTCGATATCTATACTCTCCTTATCTGGATTTTCATTACTTGAAACAATATTTCCAATTCTTTCATCTTGTTCGGTGTTTAGATTTTCCTCCTTTGTTGATTTTGTAGCAACAAATGAATCGTCTTTTTCATCATCACCACTTTCGTTTAGGTCCTTTTGTTCTTTATCAAGGTGTAAACCAAGTCCTAATAAAGCATTCTCAATGGCCCTTCTTGTCGATTTTTGTTGTAGGTTTGTATTTGTAGTATTTTCAACATTCTTCGTTTTTTTAGAACTATTCGAGCTACCTTTTGATATTACCGAATTTGCAGTGTCATTAGTATCGTGATTTAAGCTGGCAGATTCGTCATTATTCTTTATTTTCTTTCTATTAAAGTAATCTTTCCAGGTTGCCCATACATTCTCCTTTGAATTTGGTCCTTTATCACTTTGGTTCGTATTCTCATCACTAGTCTTAGTTCCACTACTTATTACTTTAGATGTTTGTACATCGTCTGTACTTTTATTAGATAGAATATCATTAGATGGGTGCCTTCTGAGGTTTTGAAAGGCCGAAAGAAGTTTCTGCTGGAATATTACAAAATTGTCAACACCATTATAAGCATGTTTCGGGGTAAACAGATCAAAAAGCCTATCATCTGTCAATTTATTGAAAATTTCGTAATTCCTGGTGGTCTCCCACCTATTCACCCATTGAATATTGTATAGATTCCATGGGTTTAAACTCAAGTAATCCTGAGGGATGCTCTGTAACGCAACTGGATTATCCCTGTTCGCATTCACATAATCAAAGAGTTTTACAGAAGAGAGCAGGCCAGTTATGTAGTCTTCAAATTGCCACCTTATAAAATCTTCACTACCTTTAAATTGGGAATTCTTGGGTGTTTCATCATCATTCTCATTCCACGTCTCCTCCACAATGGCAACGATAGATTCGATCCATTTTTTGTCGTGTCCTGTAAGTTGTAGAGGTGCATCTAGCGACTTATTTATTATCTCCAGTGATAAAGTATCAACATTCACCAATATGTCACATAATTCATCTCTTCTTTCAAAAAGCAAAGAATTCGAAGAACCAATTACGAAGAAATTAGTCTTTTCAGATCTAATATCATCTACTTGTTGAAGTGGTGTGTACGGTGAAAATAGTCCTCCTTCTTGAAATATTTGTAATGGTAACCCTAAAAAGTTTAAGACTGATTTACGGTCACTAGATTTAAATGATGTAGCTCTCTTAATTTCTGTGATATCTTTGTACGTTAGGGGGCTCCCACTATCTCGTAAATCTAATAAGAGGGAAGGTATAAGACTAATCAAACTAAATTGTAAATTACACAGATATTCAACATTGCTGCCATAAAAAATGATTTTTTTCTCCAAAATTATTGCCTTCAATAAAATTAAAACATCCTTTTTAAAATCGTGTATGACTTTTCTTAAACATAATCCAATATATAGTCTATTTTCTGAAGTTGAAATATCTTCTGTTGATGAAGATTTGTACAGTACTTTCAAGTTATCATATAGGGATACTAATATCTGTTTATCTGTGAAGTCGTGTTGAAGAAAATATGCGGTTGTAACAATACTTAATTTATCTCTAATTTGACCAAATATGGGTTCACGAAATATTACCACAATTGCTTTTTGGACTGTAGAACGTGTAACATCTTCATCCTTTGTAAGTAAATCTTCTGTTTTAATCTGTCGAGAGCAAGATATGGCGAATAACGTTGAATAATTTTTTACATCACCTGCAGAAAGTTCAGTAGCTCCATTTGTTGGACTACAATGATTAGCTTCATCGTATAATAAAGTAAAATAGGTAAATGTTTCCTCGAAGGAATGAGATCCATCTGGAAGTGCCTGAAACGGCAAATTGGTCCATAAGCCATCCTTTTTCACACCATCAGGTAAACCATGCCAGTACTCGATTTCAGGACCTCTTTTGTGATGAAAATCTACTAAACATATTCCAAAGATCACAGAATTATCAGAGTTTTCCATACCTGGAATAATAAATTTATCTTAATTAGTTCCTTTGACTAGACAACAATTCCAATTATAAAATTAGACTTCAAATAGAATTCGCCAATGGAAATGCATATAATTTATCACAGTGTTATAAAATAAGATTGCATTCGTATCCTTTATAGAAGTCTGTCAACTTTTAGACTAAGATAACATTGAAAATAGTTATCATGTCAATCGATATATCTTGAAGAAAAGTTTCAAAAAACAAAAGTCACATCGCTCTCGGAAAAGGAGAATTAACCTAATTTATTATTCAATATAATAATACAAATAAGCATTGAAGAGAACAATAGTCAAGTAGTCCAGTGGATACATTAGCATTGAAAGCAAGTCAAACAAATTGATTTAATAGACTATAACTATAGCCAGTAATATGGCCTACAAATTGCAAACTCTTGAGGATGGTTCAGGTCTCTGCGTTGGTACCATAATCCGCTTTGAGACAGTTACAATATTATTAGATCCAGCATGGTCAAATACTAAGATATCATATGAGAAAGCAGTGACATTTTGGAGTACAATCATCCCCGATGTAGATATTATATTAATTTCCCAATCTACTGCGGATTGTTTGGGTGCATACCCTTTGCTTTTCTTCAATTTCCTTTCTCATTTTATATCTAGGATACATGTATATGCCACGTTACCTATAACAAACTTAGGAAGGGTCGCCACAATTGATTTATATGTTTCAGGTGGGATAGCAGGTCCCTATGAATCAAATGAAATGGATATTGAAGATATTGAATCAGCCTTCGACTTCATTGAAGCTCTAAAGTTTTCACAAGACGTAGATTTGAGATCTAGATATGATGGGCTTTCTATGACAGCTTACAATTCAGGTTATTCCCCTGGTTCTTCCATTTGGTGCATAACGAATTACTCAGAAAAATTATTATACGCTAGAAATTGGAATCATTCAAAAAGTACTATATTAAATGCAGCAGCCTTGCTAGATAGCAGTGGTAAGTCGCTTTCAGCATTAACCAGACCATCTAGTGTCATTACGAGTCTGACCCATTTTGGTTCATCCCGTCCTTTGAAGAGGCGTGTCAATATGTATAATGAAGCTTTAAGAAAGGCATTGGTTGGGGGTGGTTCTGTAATTATACCGTGTGAGATTGGTGGTAATTTCCTAGATTTGTTAGCCATGACTCACAATTTTCTGTATGAAAGATCAAATAATGGGAAACAATCAAAGGTACCTATATTGTTAGTTTCATATGCCAAAGGTAGAACCGTAACGTATGCCCAGTCAATGCTTGAGTGGTTATCTTCTTCTGTCATTAAGAAATGGGAAAACAGGAATGGACGATCACCATTTGATGTGAATAGTATATTGAAACCAGTTACTCCAAAAGAAGTTTTGAAACAAAAGGGACCCGCTATATGTTTTGTTTCAGAAGTTGATTCATGTATTTCTGAAACGATGAAAAACATAGCTGAGATATCTAACGTTACGGTATTGTTGACATCAAACCGAGAGAACAATCAACCAGTTCTCGATAAAATGAAGGGAGAATGGCTAGAACAATCAAGTGGTAAATTGCAAGAAGGGACGAATATTAGTTATTCGACAACTGCCGAGTTTGAAATTGTTAATTTGAAACCTTTAAAAGATGAATCGTTAACAAAATTTAATGATAGGATCGATCGAAGACGAAAAGAAAGAAAAGAAGAAGAAATAGCATTACGGAAAGAATCCAAATTGTCTGGTAGTTTTGCTCATTCATTTGGTGAGGGGCAAGGTGTCCTAAATAATGAAAATGATGGAACAATTGGAAGTGCAAATAACGACGACGATGATGAAGATGATGAAGACGATGACGACCTTATTGACATCTTAAAAGGTAAAGGTAAGAACAATAAAGTGCAAGAGATACCTATGGATACAATAATCTCATCAAATTCTTCGATTAAAAATCGAATGTTCCATTTTAAACCGGTAAAACACAAAATTGATGAGTATGGTTCGTTTGTAAATATTGATCAATTTTTACCAAAGGAAGAAGATGGACAAAACGAAAATAGTGTTGGTAATCAAAAGAGATATGTAGGAGATGATGAAGATGAAAACGGGGACAGTTATGATGCTCTAAACCGTTCAAAGAAACAGAAGAAGGATAAACAAAAGGAAAAAGAGAACGAGGAAAGAAAGAAAAAGGAAAAGATGAAGTTTGATAATCTCGAATACCTCGATGCCAAGAATCATCCGTGTTTAAGAACATTTCAAAAGGACACGGCTACGATTTCATGTCAGTTATCATTTATTAATTTAGATAATATTGTGGATCAGAGATCAACCTCGGTGATATGGCCTACATTAAAACCTAGAAAAATTATATTACTTGGTTCTAAAGATATGCAAGATGAAAATGTAATGTCTATTCTAAATAAAAGAGAAATTGAGATAGTGAACATACCGTATAATGAAAATGTTGAATTCGATACAATTGTCAAGACTTTGGATATTAGCTTAGATGTTGAGTTGGATCAGTCTTTAAGATGGCAAAGGATTGGAGAAGGCCATACTGTTGCACATGTCATTGGTAAATTGGTTAAAGAGGCTCCATCCCAGAAATCTGGTTCCACAAGAAGTAAACTAGTATTAAAACCAATAACAAATAGCAATAAAAGACACACAAATGGATCATTATCTATTGGTGATGTCAGACTTGTAGAAGTTAGAAGAAAATTGTTAGAACTCAACCATAAAGCAGAATTCAAAGGAGAAGGTACGTTGGTGGTGGATGGACAGGTTGCAGTCAGAAAAGTAAGCGACGGGGAAACCGTCATTAATGGGTTTCCTTCGGATATATTCGACACAGTGAAATCAACAATTACAGATATGCTTGCCAAAGTCTAGGTTGTTTGTAATTTTTAATATTATATAGAACACATATAGGTATGTATGCATGTATTTATTATTTATAAACATTAATAGCATTTTTTATTTGAAAGAAGTTATAGCATACTATTATCACTCCTCACGTAATTCGGAAACCCGATGAGGTACGGAAAACTTAAATTATTTTTGCTACAATAGAAACACTACTGATACAAGATGACAAGGCAGTAATTTATTAGATACATCAAGTAATAATTTAAACTGAATGAGTGTTCAGTTAACAGTTTTGGGTGTAACATTATTTCTAAATAGGTAAAACGATAATAAGGTAATAAAGAATATGACAGATCAAATAAATAAGGTTCCGAGTCACATTAATTTTTGGGATGATATTCCACTGGAAACTACCAACTCTAATAAAGAGGCACCCTCTAAGCTCCCAACAGCAATAACGGGGTCTTTGACATTTGAGCAAATGAATGCCTATGAAGCATACTTTCGAATCGAAGAAATAACGGAACTTTTGAGAAAAGACACATTATCCTTACCAAAATGGTTTACCAGAATGCCTAGTCCAAATCCTGTGTACGATGCAGAAGGTAAAAGAACTAACACTGATGAGCAAAGATATAGAAAAAGTTTGGAAGATGAAAGGTATAGATTGGTAGAAATTGCGCTGAAAATGATACCGTTTTATGTACCACCACAGGATTATGTTAGACCAACTAAGTTCCAAGAAAAATATTACATTCCTGTGGATCAGTATAGTGGTATTAATTTTGTAGGTTTATTATTAGGACCTCGTGGTAACACATTAAAGAAGTTACAAGAAGGATCGAAATGTAAGATTGCAATAAGAGGTAGAGGCTCCGTTAAGGAGGGTAAGCATTCTAGTGATTTACCAAAGGGAGCGACAAATATGGAAGATCCGTTACATTGCCTTATCATAGCGGATTCAGAGGAGAAAGTTCAAGATGGTATTAAAGCATGTCAAGCTATCATTATTAGAGCTGTGACGTCGCCAGAAGGTCAAAACGATTTGAAGAGGGGTCAATTAAGGGAACTAGCTGAGTTGAATGGTACTTTGCGAGAAGATGATAGACCTTGTTCGGTATGTGGTCTTAAGGGTCACATGAAGTATGATTGTCCAAATAGAGTTTCTTTTGCTCAACAAGTCATATGTAATAATTGTGGTCAACCAGGACACACCACAAGGGATTGTCCCTCATATTCTAATCCATATAATACTCAATCAAAGCCCAATATTGGTAACGGCGTGTTGAATAATTCATTCCAGGAGCCAAATAATAATGAAGGTAATATTCGTCCGGGAAATTCCAGATATAGTACAACAATCCAAGGTAATGTTGGTCAGTTTAACCGTGGAACATCATATCAATCTAGATTTAGTAATAATAATAATAATAATAATAATAATAATGGAGGGTCTCGCTACAGTCGATATTCTGATAACAACAATGGGCAACAGCTGCCTAACACCAGGTTTTCTTATGAAGAATCTAATGCTGTAAATACTGCACCACAACGAAACCTACAAAGCACAGCAAGTTCTAATCATGTCAACGCTTTTAACATAAAAGCACCTCCTATGGTATACCAATCCAATAACCTTCCTCCTGGATTTGAAGGGAATGTTACGGTACCTGGTTTAGACTCTTACAATGAACCACCGAGCTTAAACCCAACAACTGCTCCACCTGGATTGGACTCCGTGTCAAATGCGCCTCCTGGGTTAGATTCTGTTTCAAATGTGCCGCCTGGGTTAGATTCTGTGCCAAATGCACCACCTGGATTGGATTCTTTACAACATAATTTGAATTTACCTCCAGGATTCTCGAGTAATGGACAAAAAAATATAGGAGAAGAACCTTCAGAATTATCAGGCCCACCAGGTTTATGATGATGAAAAGAAGCGTTTATTTCATGCTTGATTTTGGTAGTGTCAGTTATTAAATGACATATTAGGTGATATATAGTAATAGATACGTATATGAATGTAAAGTAGATGTTCTTTTTATAAATATTACCTTCAAAGTAGATAGATTTTCGACTTTTAATTATTGAGTATCTCCTTCTTTCTCTTCTTCTTCTTTCCATTTCTTTGCAAACGACAGAAAACGAGATACGTTAATCTTTCCAGCAGTAGAGGAATCGTCTGGAAATACATAATCAGTGTATTCCTTTTGGATTCCGTTTTGATGTCTTACTCTTAAAACTGCCTTTGGTGCTTTCTCTGTAAGTTGTTTTTTGGTTTCTATAGTGCCAAATTTTTCCTCAAATTCTTCATAAGATTGGAACAAGATAAATCTATTTTTTCCATCCTCCCTCTCTTTAAAATACTCTAACCCTCGTTCATAAATTTTTCTGGCTCTATCAAAATTTTCCTCTGTTGGTTTAAACTCTACATCATCTTCGTCACTACTTTCTTCAGAGTCACTGTCGTTATTTCCGTATAACTCTATCAACTGAGTAGCAGTTGGCACAGAACTTTCATACATTGCATAAGAGATCCAAATTTTAGGGGCATAATTGCCTTTGCGAAGGTAAGTCTCATACAACGATCGTGCATTGTCGTACTCTTGTGCCTCCGTTTCAAACTCAATAAATTTGTCCAGTATGGATAGCTGAGACACGATGGGCATATCAGTTACATTATCTTGTACAGAAAGTTTGAAAATACCACGAGCTCGCTCTTCATCTCCTAAATTTTCTTCCAATTTCGAATATTCTAACCAAACATTTTTCTCTGAAGGTGTATATTCGATATATTTTTCATATAATTTTCGGACTCTGTCAAATTCTCTTAACTTCAGTTCCAATTTAATGTAGTTTTTAAACAATTTTTTTGTAGGGCACATCCCTATTGCCCTTCCAAGAATTCTTCTTGCTAATGGAAGGTTATTCTGTCTGATTTCGAATTCACTATACATTATCCAAATTTTACTGAAGGTAAAGGCACTATGTGGAACAATTTTGTTCAGGCATCTCTTATACAGTATTCTACAACCTTCAACGTCATTCTTATCTAATTCCATAAATGTGAAGTACCTTATCCATAAGTAGATGTACCGTCTCCATTGAGCATTTTTAACCCTTTTTTGATTCGGTATCGAAGTTGTCACAGCTCTTTCAAATACATTGATAATATCTTTGGAGTAATATTTTTGTATCAAATCAATATAAAGCATCCACGAATAATAGTTCAAAACATCATTCTCCAACTCATTTTCATAATTGATTTTTCTTTTTGCAATTAAAGTATCATTAATGTCTGATACACTGCCAAAACTTTTATTATATTCATCCTGGCTCTTAATCACTGTAGGGTCATTAGGCCATTTATCTCGAGAAATCTTATAAATAGTTGCAGCTCTTTCATACTCTCTTTCAGATATTTCCCATTGAGCAAATGATAGCGCTAGTTTAGTTATTCCTTGTTCATAATGTTCACTTTGTGTCATGGTAGATTCATACAATATAAGTGTGTCCAAAGCCATTGAATAGATATTTCTAATAGATTCTACGGAACCATATATGGATTCAAATTTCACCCACTCTAACCATGTTTCAGCTTCGGGATAAACTAATACAAATTTTTCATAGATATCTCTAACATTATCATATTTCTGTTGTCGTATTTCAAAATTAATGTATGAAATCCATGCTCCTCTTTCTGGTTCTAACGAGCACCATTTATTAAACAACGATCTAACAATCTCCCAGTTTTCTAAAGATTCCTCTAAAAATAGGTATTTATACCATAGTTTATCAGCTCTCGGTAATGTAGTGATAGCTCTATCTAAAATATTTCTAGCATGATTTAGATATTTATATTTTATTTCTGAGTCAATGTATCTAATCCATAATGGAATATGTGCGCCATTAACTAAGAGGGCTCTTTCAAATACGGATCTTGCACGTCTCATATCATGTTGTTCCAATTCGAAGGAAGCATATCGTAGCCATTGTCTCATATCCAGTCTATTCCTTTTAAGGTAAGATTCAAACTCTTTGCGTTTTCTTCCTTGCAATTCTCTAAGTTCATCTATATCTTGAATATCGATTTTGGGCTGGGTTTTAGAGGATTTCCTTCTAGCGTAAACATCGCTTAGGATGTTCTCTACAGATAACTGTGTACTATCTTGTTCTTCGCTCATTATTCATACCACCAATCTTATCACCAGATGTCACACAATTTAAAACAATAGTTTAATAGTACTTAAAGTTAGTGAACTTAATTTAACCCTTCAGTTATATGTAGGAATTTTTGTTTTATCATGAAGGTATTCGCTTTAAATTATAATTTTCCGATGACCGATTGAAAATAATAATGATGAATAAACTTCCCCTACATGAACATGAAATGGGTGAAGAGAAAGATTTAACGATCGATTATCCGTATTATTTACACATTGATTTTGATTATTTAGGGAGAACACATGTATATATAGAGAGGGTGATATATGAAATCTACATGTTCCAGCATTTCTTGATGAAATCAGTTAAATCCTTTAATTCTTGTGGTGCAACTGAATGTTCCAGATGAGCATACTCGTGGAAATCGTAATCCTTGAAATGGCACTCCGTTGTAAGATACTTCTGCGCATCTTTACCTTTTTCAATGTCGACAACTGGATCCCAGTTACCATGTCCATGGAAAATTGGTGTATCTAGATTACATTTTTTAGCATTTTCGTTGACCTCATTGTTCCATATAACATCTTTAATACCAGAGTTAATAAATCCAGACAACGAGAAAAACCCTCCAATTTTTTCCTTGAGGTTTAATGTACAACCTAAAGTTAGAGCTGCCCCTTGTGAGAAGCCACCTATAATAATGTTTTTAGCAGGAATTCCATTCTTTATTTCCTCTGTAACGTAATCTTCGACACATTGTAATGATTTAAGGTACCCCTCGGTATCAAATTGTTTCATATGTGGATCCCACTCCTTGATATCGAACCAACCAGGCATATGCATACCACTATTAGCTGTAATTGGAATATGTGGTGCATTGGGAAATATAAAATTAGTAGAATCAAAACATTTCTCCTGTTGTAATTCAGAGGCTAAAAATGTCCAACCTTGACCTGTGTCACCTAAACCATGTAGCACAATTAACACATGGTCATAGGGTTTTGTACGAGATGCTACTCTGACAGCTTGATTCATTATTATTCCTGTTATATTCGTTGTGAACAGCTTGTTTCTTGTTAAAACTCTTGTTTTGAAATCCATGTCACAAGTAATGACTATTTGTTCTCTGATGCGATGACCTTTCTTTCTCTTTAAATTGAATATTATTTGAGCCGCGCTAAACTAAAAGCGATTTCAAATTGAATAAAACATGTGAAACATAAACATTAGATCATTATTTAACAAAGAAGAAATATCTAATAAAAAACTCTTTAGCACAGAATCTTTGTCTTTGCTAAAATAGAGTTTTACAGGAAGATTATTAGTGGTCAGCTATGGACGATGAATTATCGAGGTTTGTTGCTACAACCGTGCATTTGGATCATATTACTACTGCATTGAATTGTTTAACAGCATTTGGTTTGAAGGAAGATGTTCTGATATATATTGATAGAGATGGTCTATCTTTTGTACGTGAAAATAATCATGTTATTAAGATACAGTTGTTGCTAGCTCGTGAGCTATTTATATCTTATTCGTATAATGATGCTAGAGACGATAATGATGATGAAAATAGTGAAGGGTATATGAAATTATGTGTTAAGATTAATCATTTATTGGATAGTGTCAATATAATGAATAAGAATATTGATGATATTGTAGAATGTACAATGTCATATGATGGCAATGGTTCTCCATTCGTATTGATCTTCGAAGATTCGATGATATCTGAAAGAGTTGAATATAGAACATATGTGATAAAGGATATAGATAATACCGGTTTAATATTAGATAAAGAGCATATGATGTTTGAATGCATCATTAAAGGAGACATTCTGTATAGTGCATTAAAGGATTTAAAAGAGACTAATTGTAAAGAGTGTTACTTATATGCCAAGACTATGGATACTGGTGAAAATATATTTGCATTGATATCTAAATCTACTTTGGGACTTTCAAAGATTGTTATTCCTGGTAGTAGATCAATACTTGAAAAATTAGAAGTTTATAAAGATGACTCTACGACATTATGTTACAATGTTCCAGTAATAGGGTCCTTTGATTTTGCGACTTTTGATAAGATAAGATTAAGTACTAAGATTGCCAGCAAAGTCTTATTCAGAATGGATGTTAATGGTCTTCTGAGTGTCAATGTCTTAAGTCAAACCGATGATATATTAATATCTGATAATAGACAAACTGGTAGGAATAATAATGATACGCGAAATAAATCAAAATCTTCCAAAAATAGTAATAATATGGATTTACCAAATGATTATCCAGGTATTGTCAGTGAGATATGTCTTCTTGAAAAAGAAATGGTAGAACAAAATACACAAGATGAAATTGAATTATTTATGAATGTTGATGAATTTGGTATGGTTAAGAAACAAAATATTACAGCTGTACCGAGATATATCAATCCTAATGATGGTATTAGTAATAACGGTAACAACTCAGGTTCTAATATTCCAAGTTCAAATATATTAAATTTAACCACAGAACAAACAGAATTAGTTTCAAAGAATTTCGTTGGCGGTGAAACTAATGGGAATACATCAATGGATGTGGTAAATAATAATAATAATAATGGTAACAAAGATGATGACGATGATGATGATGATCAAAACATGACTAATTCTAGTGTTACATATGGTAATGCAGATTTACCCTTATTTTTCTAGAAATTGCGATAATCTGCTTAAGTAATGATGCATAATATAAATATTTTTATAGAAACTAATGATATGAAAACATACGGTTTATAATAAAATAAATTATATTTCTTTCTTATTAATGATAATGTATATATATATATCAATATAAAAATGCAATTATATAATAATTAAAAATAATAAGACGGGTTATAATAGGGATAAAAAAGATTATTCTATATTAATCGAAATGCTAATCCATTTATTGTTGGGAGAAGTGTTCTAGGATCATGTCACGTTCACTAGTTTCAGCACCCCAGTTCTTGACGACAACAACAGAGGAACCAACGACCTTTCTGGCGTTACCTTCACGGTCGATCTTACCTAGACCAGCCCATTCACCTAATTGCTTGGCATCAGCAACCTTGATTAATGGAACCTTGTTAGCTGGGTCGTTAGCTAGACCTTCAACCAACTTGGTGATGTTAGCTTCAGTAACAGAAGAAACTAGGACAACTAATTGAGCTTCACCTCTGGTTAGAGCCTTGGTGGATTCTCTTAGACCTCTAGCTAGACCATCGTGGATCAAAGCGGTTCTTAGAACAACCTTTAGGGCATCTTCGATGGTAACTTCAGCAGTTTGTTCAACAACTTCTTCTTGGACTTCGACAACTTCTTCAACGTCAGACATTTTTAATATAATGAGTTTTTGATTGGGTAGTTTTGACTTCTTCGCTAGTGAGAAATATAAAGACTGCTCCGTAAAGATTTTCTATATAAAATGTAACAAGAAAAGGTTTAAGTTTCAAGAGTTATAACAAAAACTGTTTGTAAATTGAAAGTGTCTTGAGTTGTAATTAATATAGCAAACAATAATCATTAGACGTGATGAGGTGAAATTCATTTCGTCGCACAACCATTCCATTGAGTAAAATTGCATTACTTCTGCTACACTTTTCCAAGCTGTGGAAAGATTGTGTGCATGTGCATTGCAAAAAAAAAATTGATGTGACTTTCTCAGATATTTATCACCAGTTTTTATTCATAATTTTGAAAATTTAAATGAAAAATATTGCCATTCCTCCGGGTTTTCTCTGTAAAAATGGAAAGAGAAATATAAGATAATTCTTAGATTTGTAAAATTGAAAATATTTAAAAAAATCTTTTTCTCGTTATAAATTTATTAGATGTGTGGGTTTTGTGAAATAAAGCGATTTTGGGTGTACGGATGGTAATGCTTATTTAAGTAGTCACATTTTCCCAATTTTCATCTTGTTTAACTTAGCAGAGATAATAGTCACTGAAAGGACCTGAAAGGTTACTTATACATATTCAATCAATGTAACTAATAATTGTAATCACGCTATCGTCTATTATTTCAAAGAATTATCAATTACATATATACAGTAATATCTCTCAATATACGGATATATATATATATATATATATATATAAATAAACGAGAACCCTATCTCGTCATATCTCCATTTGCCCTACAAATTCATTAGAATCATCACCACGTATACCCATATCTACATCATCATCATCGTCGTCATCAATAGCGTTTTCGTAACTAATAGCACCATTCACTGAAGCTCCTTGTGGTACAGTATCATTGTCTTCATCTTCAAAATCAACATCAAAGAAATCATCATCACTGCCAACAATTTTTTCATAAAGAACTTTTGCAGCTGTTACTACTTCATCATATGATATCTCACTAGATGGCATTGCAGTATATATAATACCGTTATCACTAGCATTTGGAATAAATTTATTCACAGAGTTGGCTCTATTATTTAATTCATCATTATCAAAAAGAGCAGGATTCACAACATCGAATGGTGGTGTAGATGTGTATTGAGTATATGATAATTTCATCAAATGTTGTACACTTTCTCTTGGGATATATTCTTTAAATGATTGACCTAATCTTACTGAATTTACAATTGGACGACCATCTTCACTGATTTTAACAATATCGTTATTTTCGGTGATGTCATTTGAAGATTCTCTAACAATACTAATCTCTAAAGCCTCCAAAGCTGCATCTAAATCCATCTCTGCACGAACGCCACTCTCGGTGGTAGATAAATACCAAATGGAGGTACCTTGAGGACAACATTCAGAACCAGCACCTAAGATTAAAGTTTGAACGACATGTTTATTACCAGATTTTAAAGAACCTGGTGGGAATACAACAACGGCAGCTGATTCATCTTCACTGAACCATTCTTTACAATCTTTCTCAACAAGACAAACCATTCTATTTGCTTCATATTTTTGGTCAGGGATGTGTTGATTTCCTTCAGGGGCTTGGGTTGGTGACATAATGATTTTTTCTGTTACTGTAACTTTAGAACCATCTGTAAAAGTAGCAACTTGTGTAGTTGGATTATAAGAATATAGTTTTTCATTTAATTTATAAGTGGCACCAGCAACGGCAGCAGATCTACAAAACCCTTGTGAGACTTCACCTGCACCACCGTATTTAGAATATAATACAGGGAATGGACCATATACGTCATAACTAATCAAATAACGACGAATTCTATGTAAAGCTAAAGGAACTTTTGTATCAATACTACAACATAATCCAATAGAAAATACTAATTCAAAGACTTGAGGTTTATCTAATTTAAATTTATCAAATAAAAATTGTGTAATTGATTTATCAGCATAAGGTTGCCATATTTCTGGCATTTCTTCCCAATTTAAAACAAATTTTAAAAATTTCATTAAATTACGTTTTGTCATTAATGATAAATTTTGATCTGTAAAAATATCTTGTTTTGTATTTGTTAATTTTTCAAATGAATCATTTTCATAAGTATGAAAAGTTGATAGAGATTGAAATTCTAAGTATTGATGTACACGAGATTTAACTAAAATTGATAGTAAATCAGATTTAGCGAAAAGAATCTTTGGAGACAAATCTATACCAAAATCTCTTGAAGCATATTTACAAGATGGACCAATACTTTTTGATAAATATAATTTTGCATTATTATATGAAATAATATCATTATTATTCACTCTATTAACCCAATTTTTAATTTGATCAACCGTTAATGTAGCGGCACTATCGCCATAATAATCATTACAATCCACATGTAAAACAGTAGAACCTTGCCATGCTAAAGCAGCCGCTAAGACACTCTCCACTAGACCCGTCCCAGCTATTAATACATCTACTTTTTCAGGAGTAGTCTCTGGTAAAGGATCTTCGATACCTGCTAAATGAGGTACCATTAAAGTATCTATATGGTTTGAATTTCCTGAAAAATTAGCAAAAGAAGGACGACGTTCAGCCATCGAAGTACGACGTTCGGGACTTAACATTTTATTTATATCTTTATTGAATTTCTTTCAAAATATTGTGGAATATCACACGTCAGGTTATATTTTTAAAAAATATAGAAAAATACAAAAATAGGGGACTAATATCGTCTAAAAGGAAAACTAAAAATGGATGTTCAAATATCAAAACTAAATTTAAAAACAGCTTATTATAACCGACTTATAAAAGCTCAGTTTATTTTGTATCTTTATACTTGTTTTGTTGTATTATTGGTTTTTACAAAAAAAAAGTGGTAAGCTGTCAAAAATGGTAAATAGATAATTTAAAAAAAAGGGTCGCGAAACTAATTAACCAACCTATAATTATAATTTATTGAATACCGTTATCTCACACCAGTTGTCACAAGTCAATAAAACAAAATAACTGTAATTCTACTTACTAATATATATGTTAAATTATAAAAAAGAGTATTATTAAGATTAATGACACTTTATGTTTTGCCCTTTTTTATTTATTGAAAACTCTTCTCTGTGTGATAGAAAAAAAAATTTACAGATTCTTCACAGTCAGTACAGTGTGTACACCAACAGGTTCACGTCTCGTTACGTTAAAGCGCGGAAGTGAAAATTTTTTCTTTAAAAATTGAAAAATTTTCGCTTCACGGCTTTTTTTTAATTTTTTTTTTTTTTCGTGGGAACATTTGGTCGTTTCCGGTATTGTGATTGCGAATAGTAAAGAGAAGAAATCGCTGTATCTCCCTCTATCTTTGTGCAATGTGCTGAAATTATCGTCATGGTTGATAGTATTTCCGTATTCGGAACAATAACGTAACGTGTTACGGAGTGTATGAAACTGTGGGAGATATTGTCATTTAAATATATATATATTAATTGCTTTATATTTTGACTTTAGGTATTATTATATTGGTAGACTCATCGCCGGAAGAATGAATTCTAACATGGCACCTCTTAGATATATCTTGTCTGTATCACTATTATTAAATACAACACCACCAATCACAAGGACGGTGCCTTCGGACTCAATAGTAGATCCTCCGACACTGCATACAGATCTCAGTTTTTTAAGTAATTCAAAAGCATTTGGATCTACTTCTTGACCTTCATACATAAATTCAACAGGATCATCGTTATCCTCCATTAGACATTGGGTCATTAAATTAATAACATTGACAAGACCATTTCCTGTTGTTGTGGTTTGACTTTCACAGTTTGACTCATCATAATATATACGTTTCACAGAATTTTCATCCATTCCACCTATAAATATTCCAGTATACCCAGCAGAGACCATTGAATGACCGACAAGTTTTAATTCACTGACTTCAAGTACCTTTTCTTTATTTGAATTACGTTTGTCATAAGTATCTATCTTTAACCATTTCATTGTATCTAGGTCAAACCACCACATATCTCCAAACACATCTAAGTTATTAGAACCGCCATGGATCACGATCACACGTTTAGTGTCACTGTTTCTACTAGGATCAAATTTACCACTGTATGAATTCATTGATCTCAATTGATTGTGTAATGATCCTGAATTGATACTTTCATTAGTGTTTGATCGTCTTTCATTTTGTCTCTCATTAAAATTATTACTGATTGATTTGCTTAAATTTGTAGATGTAGCAGTATTGTAAGAATTTGGAGTTCCTGTTGAAACATTTGTACCACCACGTGAATTGTTTGTAGCTGTCCTTGATGATGCATTTGTGTTTATAGATGTATTTGTAGTCACTTTATCAATAGGAATATGCGATCCATGTGGAATATTTGGAAATAATAACGTTGTAGGATCATTACTGTTGCTTCCGGCATTATGATTGCCAAATAAGTTAGACTCTACATTAAATTCTTCTTCTAATCTTTTTAATAATGTATTTTCTAATGAAGTCTTTCCTTGTAAGATTGTGTCAGGTAAACAATATGCAAAGAATGCTCTTGCGTTAGGTATCTCACCTTCTTCCCCTATGACAGGAATATTTGATGCCACAATAGAATCAGCAAATTTTAAATAACCTTTTTTACCACGAGCAACAATGTTTACATCTAACCTCCACATGTCATCCAATGCAGTATATTTATCATCAACCGTTTGTCTATAACCACCATATATCAGTATGGAAAAAGCATTGTTGGCATGATGAGTGTTACTAGTTGAAGTATTATTTGAATTGGAATTATTGGTAGCATTAGCATTGGAATTAGTGGTGTTAGTGGTGGCATTACTAGGGGAGCTTACCATTGGTATAGAATTGGATGGTGTTGTACCATTAGCATTTCCGTCAGGTTGTGGATCAATATTTGGTGAATCATCCTTTTTCATTGAACTAGATACACTTACAGCCAAGGAACTGCTGCTCTCCCTTAACCCAGAACTACAAGACATATCTAAATCAGAGCTCTTTATAGCTATTTGCATATGACCAAATCTAGGTGTAAACGTTGTCGACGTGCCATCCTTGAAAGATTGTGTATTAACTTCAATCTTGGTAAATTTAAATGATACTGTATCCAGGATATACGCTGTATTATTTAGAAACGCTCTTTTCTTGATGAAAACCTTTCCAGTTGGATCGAAATTGGTCTCAGTTTTAATTTCTATACCACCATAAAATAATAAGTATCTATCTGTTAATTTGGTAGCTGTCATACATAACAAAGGAGGAGGTATTTGTCCCGATATGTTAGGTCTCGATAATCTTGAAGAATTAACATAATGCACATAAAGATATGGATTGTTGACCATTGTTGGGTTATTGATTACATCTTGTAATAATGGAGGAGGTAAATTCTTAATTCCATCAACGTAATAATTCTCGACATTTGGAATTTCATTATCATTTCTATAGCATGCCATCAACCCACCTAGAATAAATACTTGACCATTGAACTCAACTGTAGTATGATACACTAGAGATGGGAGTTTGAATTCAGAAAAGATGGAGGGTAATATTGAATGGCCTGCATGGAAATCGTATAAAGAAGGTAAGGCATATGTTGCAGTAATAAATAATGGACAAGTTTTATCCTTGTATATATCATCGTTATCTTGTTTTTCGCCAGATTTAAATTCCGTTAGAAACTGAGTATGATCTTTCCTCACGGTAGGGACCCATAAGTTATGTTTCTTTAAGATGTCGTAGTCTTTTAAATCCACCGTTAATAATTTTTTATAATACTTATAATAAGGATTTGCAAAATTTAAATTTGAAAACGAATGAGAATCCTTTTCTGCATCGTCTGATAGATGGGTGTCATTGTATAACTTACTTAATCGTAAACCTGAATGAGGATTAGGAATATCGTCATATTTTTTCAACGAATCCTTTAATCTATATGGGTCAATATTATTTTCTGCAAATGACAGGAAATTATCAATGATAGAATTAATATTTTTGTTCCTATCACTTTGAATGATGGAAGAATCAGATGTACTTACCACACTATTTTGCCTTATTGTATTACTTGTGATAGGTTTCTTATATTCGTAATATTTTGCCAATTGTAATTCATTATTTAATTTTATATTTTGGCTTCGAAATTCATCTAATGTTGTACTAAGGATAGAAGTATAGTTTGAGATATAATTAAATGTTTTAAAGTCGTTTTCAAAATTTGCTGAGGCGCTCAATAAAGAAAATGCTGCCGATACTGGAACAGAAAGTACAGGATGTGCTTGAGAATCATTCGATGAAGTTCCAGTTCTATCATCTGTAGTAAGGTATTTATCTAGCATCGAGGCGTTATTTATAAGTATATCACGGGCATCCATCTGGCGGAGGTATATATGTGTATTTTCTCGAAGTGTTGACGTAATGTTATAATGTTACACTTTAAATATTTGAATTAAACAAATCTAATTTAAATGCAGCTGAATATGTCAATTTTGCAAAAGCGTTGGTTTGTTCAATTGCAATTAAACCAGATTCCGAAAGAGGTTTGGTATATTTTCGAGCTTTCACGATCAATATATATGTAGGCGTGTAATTGTTTTGTGCTTACAGTTAATTATACATATACGTTTATTTAGATATATATATATATATCGTTTCCTTTCTTATTTTGCTTTTGCTTTTATAATCCCTTCCTTGTTATGAAACAAAAATCATGAATCCCTCCTACTATGTATGTATTTTATTTTTCACGGAGCCATCAATACAGGAAACCAAGAGGAAGCGTAGCAAAAGAAATAGTTTGTCCGATTTCAGTACTATAAACAGAGACTTGCCGATTACGTAGGAAAGTTCCAGAGTCAGTATATTAATGTTAATGTTAACGGATGTAATAAAGTAAATTCTAGTAAATTATGCCATGAAATATGTATTAAATTGTATTGTATTTATTATGTATTTTTGTATATACATATGATGCATCCGTTTTTCCCATGTTTTGTACCAAGTTTTCGTTTCTTAGAACATATCATGGAAAGTCTCATTAGTGCTCATTGAATTCGAACGTCTTGCTTTTTGCAATTTACCGTTCCCTTGTTTGGTATTAGAATTGGAATCATGGGATACATTCATTGTCTTTTTGTCTTTAAGCAAAAGTGATTGTGTCCTTTTAAGTTTGTTGTTTGTTTTTTTATGGTCTCGTTTGTTACCCTTTGGTGACATTGGAACAAAACTATTTGGTTCATTAAATTTATTTATGCTAGAGACAAACACTTGAAATTTAGGTTTCTTTGGTTTAGTCTTTTTAACTTTTTTTACTTTAGTGGAATTATTTCTTTGTTCGATCGACAAAGCCAAAGTTGAAGTAGCATTTGATAATGAAAGTTTATTAAACTTATTATTTTGTTGAGTTGAAGAATCAGATAAATTTGCTGGTAAAGATATTGGGTTATTGGAGTCACTCTTAAACGATCCCATCTTTGGTAATTCCGGTATCTTTAATGTATCAATATTGAGTTTATTACTCGATGTATATGATTTTGGGGTAGGTGATAGAGGAATATTCCTAGGGTTTAAATCAAATAATTTGTCACCAAGCCTTTCATCTATCAATTCAATATTCTTCAAGTTCGGTATTCTGTTACTTTCAAGCCTTGAGATAGATTTTGTAACGGATGAATTCAACTGTATGGTAGTTGGAGATGAGCCATATGCGTTATTATCACCATCGAAATCATTTTCAAAAGTATCATAGCTGTTATTATTTTTTTCATAAGGCAGTTTTGTATTTGAAGTATTCTTCAATATTTGATTTTTATTGTCCTTGTATTGAATATGATTATTACTATTTGAAGTGTTGCCATTCTTATCATTTTTCTTGTTTATTTTCTTTAAGTTTTTCCTCGTTAGTTTTGCATGAGAATTTTTATTTTTGTTACTGGGAGTTAGAGTGAATTTGTTTCTAAGTTGTCTACCTTTGACTATATTTTCTTTATCATCAGGTGTACTATGCAATTCATTATTACCATTCACATTGCTACTACTGTTGTTATTAATATCCTTTCTCGCTCTTTGGAAATCAACTAACGCACTATTCGTAGAATTTAAACTTCTAGTGAATGGTGTACCCATTTCATTTAATATTCGTCTACCATAGGGTGTTAAACTCATAGATATTTTTTTAGAGGGAGACACTGAGTTAGATAAAACATTTGATTGATTAAACATTAAGTTAATATCAATCTTCTGTAAAGGTGTTCTACTTAAAAAGACATCTTGACCATTGTTCATCATTCCAAAATCACTGTTTCCTCCCATTTTATCTTGATCATCAGTCTTATCATTACCGGATGTAAATAAATGAATTAGGTTTGAACTAGAAACTGATTTTGTATTTGAAGTCAAATTAATATTCATATCCTTAGAGTCGGTGACGAATCTTAATGGTGTCTTTGCAGGAGTCTTGTGAAACAAATTGAAACCACCTGGCGATTCAAATAAGAATTCTTTCAGTTGTTCTGGCGATGCCAACAGAAACTCATTAGGGAAATTATTACCAAATTGTAAAACTGTAGATGGTTGCATATTCATATCTTCTAGGGTATCTCCATCGTTATTCATTAGATCTACAGTTGGTTCGGTATTATTTAATGAAGAACCACCACTCTTTGACACCTTATTAACACTTGGCTGTTGAGAATTACGGCCAACATATAAACCTGTATTAATACTATTTTCTAAGACGGATGAGTCGATAGAATGTTGCTGTTGACTTTCAGAAGATAACATACTAGTATTGTTATTAATAGTATTCGTATTATGGTTGATATTTTTCTTATTACGATTGTTATTTCTATTATCTTGATTTGAAGAATAAGGAGTAGGGAACTGTGTATGAGGAATCGGACTATTAATTGAATATTTCAAATTTTGTGTTAAATTCTGGAAAAAATTTGTTTCTGTATCTTCATTATCATTACCTTCTGTGCTATGATCTGCTGTTAAAATCAAAGATGGAGGTGACATCTTTAAAGGTGATAAAATTGGCATTATATTGTTGTTGTTATCATTAATATTAAATTTTTTCTTCGATAAAATATTTAAACTATTTTGAGATTTTGCTAGACGATGTTTTTGAGGTGAAAAGATAGGTCTCTCTGTTGCATTGGAGTTAGACCTGCTCATTGGATATATATTAGCGGGGGTAATGTTTATTGAGTTTTGGTATGTGATGTTTTGCTTTTTTGAATGTTGTTTTTTCTTTCTCTCCACTATTAAAAACTTTTGGCTAAGGAGTGTTTAAAGTAAAACTTGGTTATGATCTGTCTAATCGTACAGTCAAAGTTTCGTCTAATAACTTAAAAGGCCTAAACTTCCTTCTTATTTTAGTTATCAGCAGACAACAGCTTAATAATCTTGTTGTGTTTTAGTTTGTTTGTTTGGTAATCTCTAATGAGGATAGTTCTCAATGTTGCTAATGTTAAACTATTAAGTATACGCACTTTACCTCTCGATCCTTGTTTCTCGAGTTTATGTTAATAGTTGTTCAAGGAGAATGTATTAAACTATATGTATTTCCTTTGTTTTGTTCTAATTCTTTTTGTATATATCGGGGAAGAACAGCTTCAAACCTTTTCATTGTTTATTTATTATTGTCATTATTAATTTGTTTTGTTTTGTTTTCGTTTGTTTTTTTTGTTGTGTCTGGCAATTCGCGATTTCCTCGCTGTTTGTTGTCTTTTCTCTCTCTCTCTCTCGCTTTTTTTTTTTTGCCCTCTCCCCGCCTATCCCCTGTACGAGAAAGTGTTACTGGGGAAGAGATATAGTGAAGACTGTCGTGTCAAATGATGAGTCGTGGTTGATTTTTTTGGGACTTTTTCATTTTTGCACTGTAATACCCGTAACTAAAACTGTAATATGAATATGTGAGAAAATTCGTGTTGTGAGGGTAATCATTTCCATTGGATAAGCTAAGAAAATTGGAAAATTCATTTGTTTACATTTCGAAGCTACATAGTCAAAATTGTAATTCATGATCAATGGGAGAACCCAGATATCAATTCTTTGTGATTAAAGATAATTATTACATTGAGCTTATTGAAAAACAGGAAAGTTATTTTTTGGTAAGATATAATAGTTGTTTTATTAAGTAGATACTTAGGCAGATACTGTAGACGAAATTCAAGAATCATGGGCTCAACGTTGGACCAACCAGGGATGTTTGCTGGTATAGAATATAATAATAGCGATGAGGTATACAATGGTAGTAGTCATACTCAGAGTGACGACATGAGTGATTCATTAGGGGCACTATCTGATGAATTAGGATCATTTCATATTAGTCAACCAACAACGTATGCTACAAATGCAACAACATTAAACAGTAAGATTTCAAAACCTTTAAAAGCTTATCAAACAAACAATAGTTTTTCTGAATCTGCATTTATTTCACAATTCCATGATGACAATGATAAAGATAATGATGACATAGAGTATGATAGTTCTGTCTCGCCTTCATCTGTGCTTTTGAATAAGGATCTCGAGGAAGAAGAAACTAATGATAATGATGATGACGATTATCATGAACATGAGAGTATTATGGATTATGGCACTGTAAATAGAAGAACACAAAAATCTACTAGAGGTACTACAATGGAAATTTCACCTCCTCAGTTTATACCTTATATGAAATCTCATATGAAATCAACTTCACCTGTACAAAGATTGAATTTTAGTTATAATAATGATAATGGAGAACTCCCGCTAAGTTCAGAAGATCTTAAAAGTATGATAGAAAATGAAGATGGGCTAATTGCACTTAATAACAATAATAAAAATAATAATAAAACTGGATCAAGGACGAGAGAACCAGAATCTGCTCTAATTATTAGGGATATCGGTGAATTGTCTGGTCAGATGATGAATACGTTCAAGAAGAAGAACGAATTACAACAATCTAGAATATATCATGATGAAACTACCTCTGAACCAATATATAATGACGAGAATAATGAAAATAAAACGACAAATAACAGTAATAGTAATGATGATGGCGTAAATGAGTTTGCTAATAGTAGTGTGTTTGAAGATGAAGATCCCGCATTGGCTGCCAAACAGGTTTATAATAATTTATTGAGGACACAGGGTTCAAGGTTTGATATGAAACGTAATATCACGAACCGTACTATTTCTACTAGAGGTAGTTCTGTGAGTGGTACTAATCATAATAATAGTAACGAACTAAACCTGATTACACCTAGTTCCATTGGTTACAGATTTAAACATTCTAAAGGTATATGGGTACCAGAGGATGAATTCCAAAATATATCTACTAGTCAAGTCGAAGAAACAACTGCCACAACTACAACAAATACAAGTAAGATGAACCATTCATCGACAAAGAATACAACATCAACATTTACGATGGAGGAGGAGGAGGAGGAAGAGACACAGGATGATATTGTAAACTCAACTACACCCTTAGATCCACCTCGTGTTGATCAAGAAACTTTAATAAAAAGTGTATTTTCACAAGGTAGACCCAATAATGTGACTGATTTGAACCAACGAGAAGCATTAAAAGATACTTCTAAGTTAAGTGATATCCCAGAAATGTCATTCAGTGGTAATAAACAACAAACGGTATCTTTGTTACTGAGTGCATTGGAGTCCACAGTACCACATCCAACCAATTGGGAACAAGTACATGATTTGAAGATATCACACCAGAGAACACTGCGCAGCGTAGTAGCATTAGGCACATATACCCCAAATTTGATTAAATTAGATGTCAGTCATAACAAAATTGGAAATGTGGAGGGACTCCCGATAACACTAAAAGAACTGGGTTTAAGGGATAATGAAATCAACGACACATTTTGTATATTCGCAGAAGATAACAGATTACACATATTAGATCTATCACACAATTTACTGGCACGTAATTTGCAAATACTGAAGAGTAGTCATAATTTATTGTCGGTCGATGTAAGTCATAATAGCATTGTTTCATTGGCAGAATTGGGAGATTCTATGATTCGTTCGTTGGATGTATCATATAATTTACTTAGCGGTATTATAGACTTTGAGAAGGTGGTATTACAAAATGATAACCGCCTTGGTGGATGGCTCACGTTAGAGAGCTTAGATCTAAGTGGTAATACTCGAATTACTGAATTGCGCCACTTAGAGAAATTACCTTGTCTGAAAATGTTACGTGTCAATGATATCTCTGGGTTAATGATCACACATACTGAAAGTAGTGCATTACATGAATTGGAAATTATATGTAGTTATAATGGTAAGGAAGGAAATAGTGGTGAGATTCTGGATTTAAAAGGGTTTCCATATTTGAAAATACTCTCTATAGACAGTGAGAAAGTTTTTGGTTCGGCTATGCCACCTACTCTTCGTACAGTGACGATAATGGGTGACCAAAATAGAGAGCAGAATAGTAAGCATTTCAGTGATACATTAAGTAAAATACCGAGAGAGATCTGTTCTTTGAATATAATCGATTCTCTACAGCTAGATCCTCTATCTCTATTAGATCCAGCGTACTTCAACGGATTACAGCAATTGTCTCTCAAAGGTTGTGGTGTTGGGAGTGCATATGCATTGTTATCACGATTACCATCTCCACAAACACTACAAAGGTTGGATATCAGTGGTACACCACTAGCAAAACGTAGGATACTAGCTGTATCCTCGTCGGTTGATGGTCGAAATCAGTTTAAAAAACAACTAACTGGGCTTGTACGTGCTACTTGTCCTGCTCTTCAACAGCTCATATTTTAATATTTATGTTTTGAAAGGGAAATATAGACATTATATATATATATATAATAATAATGTGAATTACACATAATAAAGGTAAACATTGACATTCTTTTATTTTTTTCGGTACATATAATTTAAATGGCATTGCGTTAACCAAACTCCGTTAAATTGGAGTCGCAGAGAACTGATCTTGTTTAACAATTCAAATTATGGTTTCTTTAAAATAAAATCTATTGAATATGCAATATAGTTGTTTGGTAAAGTACTAAAACAGATTCTTATAGTACTTTAAACTTTTTGACATAAATTTTTTTTTGTCACTTTTAATGTTTTGTTTACCGGACGGCACATATTGTGACATTTTGCCAGTAATTGAAAAGTCATAAATAAAAATATATAATTTAAATTGTTACATGCCAAAAAAAACAAAAACTATTTTAAGAAAAACTTAGAAACAAAGATTTATATTTTTGATTACAACTTATATCCAATTGCATGGGTTTGTTACTAAGTTGAACTCGTGTGTAGGTTTGACTATTTCAAAACTTTTGGAAAATTTTGCTAAGAATTACAAACAACTGAATTTAAGATATACATTAACACTTATATGAATACAAACGAATGTTAGTAACAATTTAAGGATTAACCAAAACTGTTCATTGACCTCTCTTATTTTAAAATTTATGAGTTTACTATATTTTTTTGTAAATATGTACACATGTACGATTAAGTTTTAAATCTCAATAATACTAAGATAAATGGTTCATATTAGGAATTGTAGCATTAGTTTTAATTACATTATAATCATTCAAAAATAATAGCGTCTTTTATGAAATTAAATGATGGAGAAGAAATTTCTAACAAAAAAGATTCAGTATTTTTTAGGAAACAGCATCAATTTTTAACTGTTCCCAATCTGCAATAACTTCTATCAGAAAAGAATAAAATACATTCTGATGGACTAACAGGTTTGCCGTACATATCAAACATCATTAATAAAATATAAGTGGCTATAACCATTCAATGCAACTACTGTGTAATTTCACTACATCAACTTTCGATATATTAAATACACACGTACACGTACGTTATAGTGGGAAGACCGAATCCATCATGAATCTTAAACAATTAACTTGAAATTATGTAAACAGATGAAGGCTTAAAGAAAACACAATGAATTGCGTCGAAGTTATCTATTAATCAATGTTTTATTCACTTGCCTTTACTACCCACTTCTCTCGATACGAACCACCTCTACCCCTACTCTTGTAGTAAAGTTGTATAAAGGATCTTACACATATTAAACATTTGAATTGATCAAATTAAAGGAAAAGAATGGCTGATGTCTCAAAATAAGCCAAGAGTTATTGATAAGAGTATTCTATAATATTCTTTTAATAATTGTACAATCTTACACATAAAAGTATCGTAGTTATTAGATACTTTTATCATCCCGGAGATACGAGAGGAACTTGGAACTAGATGATACATGTAGAAATTTTATTTGAACTTCGGACCCGAAAGTTCATTTAAATCAAATTTACCGACGGTTTAAGATGAAGAGCCGGAAAAAACTTTCGTCCGAGAATCATTATTACCTCGGAAATTAAATACCATATTAATATTAGTTAAGACTTTCCCAATTAACAAAAGGGAGAAGTAGTTAATTTCGGCCGAAACAGGAAGCTAAGATTAAAAAAAATAACTACAATATCATCTTCAACATGGGTTTCTAAATATGACTATGTTGCTCTTTAGAGTACAGACATAATATTTTTGTTTAAATAGCAGCGACACTTCATCTCGGCCGAAACCTCAATAACCATTAAAGACAGTAAAACTTCTAAGGGGAGAAAACAGAAAGAAGGGAAGGGGTTCCAAGTTTATAGTTATTGAGTACTAACAATTTCATGAATAACATAAAAACCAAAATCTCATTTTAATTGACATATATAAACAGACAAATATTTTCAAATAATTTTAATAATTTTAATTCAATTACAAATATCTTTTTTTTTTAATACATAAAAATGGTCATCTAACTCCCTCAAACAAACAAACAAACAAATTATCAATTATATTAAATATGTCTTCAACATTAGCTAAACAACAAAAATTCGGTAACACTGGTATCAAGATTTCACCAATTGTCGTCGGCTGTATGTCTTATGGATCTAAACAATATTCTTCATGGATGGAAGAAGATAAAGAAAAAGTATTTAAAGTTTTAAAATACTGTTATGATCATGGACTACGTACTTTTGATACAGCAGATGTTTATTCAAATGGTGCAAGTGAAAGATTATTAGGTGAATTTTTAAAAGCTTATAATATTAAGAGAGAAACTGTTATTATTATGACTAAAATCTTTTTCCCTGTGGATGAAACTTTAGATCCTAATTTCCGCCGTAACTTAGAGGACAAGTTAACTGTATTAGAGATAACTAATCAACAAGGTTTATCACGTAAACATATTATGGCAGGTGTTAAAAATTCTGTTGAAAGATTAGGTACTTATATTGATATTTTACAAATTCATAGATTTGATCCAAATACTCCGATTAAAGAGACAATGAAAGCATTAAATGATGTAATTGAAATTGGTGATGTTAGGTATATTGGTGCGTCATCCATGAGACCAACACAATTTGTTGAAATGCAAGCAATTGCAGAAAAATATGATTATCATCAATTTGTTAATGTTCAATCATGTTATAATTTATTATATAGAGAAGATGAACGTGATTTAAATTTATATTGTCAAGAACATAATGTTGCTTTAACTCCATGGTCACCAAATTCTCAAGGTATATTAACAAGACCAATCGGTACACAAACTGAAAGATTTTCTAAAGATGCTATTGTTAATGCTTGGGGTTTAAATAAGTTACCACCTGCTGATACAGAAATTGTTAATCGTGTTGAAAAATTAGCTAAAGAGAAAAATATTTCAATGGCAACATTATCAACTGCATGGGTTTCAACAAAGGGTTGTTTCCCAATTGTTGGGATGAGTAAAATTGAAAGAGTTGATGACGCATTAGCTGCATTAGAGGTTACCTTCACTGAAGAAGAATTAAAATATTTAGAAGAACCATATGTTCCAAAATCCTTCCTTTACTGAACATATAAACAAGAGGTTACGTAATATTATTTATCTAATATGTATAGATTAAACAATAAAAAACCAAAAAAAAGAAAAAAAAAAGAACTGAATTTAGTAACCGATATAGCAACTAATCAAAAGACGGCTGTTAAAAAGAAGATTAAAAACTTATTGCAAAACAGTAAATGATTATGTGTAAAAAGAGAGCTCAATGGGACAAAAATTTAATTAGTCAATCATTAACCGTTTACATAATTAAGAGACTGACCCATTGGCCAAACTCCGCACTTTTTGCTAAAAAAAACAAACAGACAAACAAGATAAGCTAATAACTTTGGCAACCATCAAAAAAGCAGAAAAATGCTGCTTTTTCTTCGCCCCTCACAAAGAACTTTGCGAAAAACGAGAGCCACACCCAAAATTTCGTCTTTTTCCCATATTAATCAGAAATTGGAACATCCCTCGAAAAACAAAACCAATGGCGACCGCGCGGGACAGAAAAAAAGAGAGGGGCAGGCAATATTTAGCAGAATTGATGCGGTGGGAGACGCAGAAAAAGTGGGACAAAAAAATTATATAAAATATTTTGAAGGCCATCTCTCTTGTGGGAACGGTTAAAACCAACGGACAAATTACATGCGGCTATTATCTCCGTTACGACTTAATGGGACAAAAAAAAGAATTTCTATTGTATTCCCGTTCTTTCGGGGAAGAGAATGTATCCATCCACCCATCTCATCAACTAATAAAAATTGATGAGGTCAAGTTTCTTCTTCTTCTTCTTCTTCTGGGGAGGATTTTGTCCCCTTTTTATCAAATGAATTGAGCTAACCAACTAACTATGTGTGTGTGCATGAAATAATCTTTGCGTTATGAGGGGAACCCTTTTTTTGCTATAACTTCGGAGAAAATGGTTAGTATAATGTGATAATATAAGAGATGGATGGTTGCAACGTTAATAGTTTGCGGGGAGTGATGAATGGGCATATTTTGTGAAGAAAAGAGGGGGGAGGGAGATTGGAGATTAGGCCATTTTTTGCTTCTTTCTGTTTGGGGGTCTTCAAACAGGAGTTCTCTTCTCTCTCTTTTTTTTTATTATATAAGTAGAGAGAATAATTTGTAAATTGGAGAAACGACACTTTATTGACAGGTTTGTTTGTTTCTTTTTCAATCTCGTTCTTTAGTAAGTAATAATACTACAAGAACAAAAAACATAATAATATATATATATATATTTACACTCATTACAATGTTTTCTGTTAGATCCGCTTTATTAAAATCGTCTACTTCACAATTAGGTAGACTACAACTACGTTATTTTTCACATTTACCATTAAATGTACCAATTAAATTACCAAATGGTTTAGAATATGAACAACCAACAGGTCTTTTCATTAATAATAAATTTGTTCCTTCAAAACAACATAAAACTTTTGAAGTTATTAATCCTTCAACAGAAGAAGAAATTTGCCATGTTTATGAAGGTAGAGAAGATGATGTTGAATCTGCAGTTGTTGCCGCCGACACAGCATTTAATAATAATTCATGGTCAACAATCGATCCATTAGATAGAGGGAAAGCTTTATGGAGATTAGCCGACTTTATTGAAAAAGATAAAGAAATTATTGCATCAATTGAATCATTAGATAATGGTAAAGCTATTATGAATGCAAGAATTGATGTTCAATTAGTTATTAATTATTTAAAAGCTTCTGCAGGTTATGCTGATAAACTAGATGGTAGATTAATTAATACAGGTGAAACACATTTTAATTATACTAAGAGAGAACCATTAGGTGTTTGTGGTCAAATCATTCCATGGAATTTCCCATTATTAATGTGGGCTTGGAAAATTGCCCCTGCTATCATTACAGGTAACACAGTAATTTTAAAGACAGCAGAATCAACTCCTTTATCTGCTTTATATGTTTCACAATATATTCCACAAGCTGGTATTCCACCTGGTGTTATTAACATTGTTTCAGGTTTTGGTAAGATTGTTGGTGAGGCTTTAACTCAACATCCAAAAATTAAAAAAATTGCTTTTACTGGTTCAACTGCTACTGGTAAACATATTTATCAAGGTGCCGCAGCAGGTTTGAAAAAAGTTACTTTAGAACTTGGTGGTAAATCTCCAAATATTGTCTTTGCTGATGCTGATATTAAAAATGCCGTTCAAAATATTATTACAGGTATTTATTTCAATTCTGGTGAAGTTTGTTGTGCAGGTTCAAGAGCTTATGTTGAAGAATCAATTTATGATGAATTTGTTCAAGAATTAAAGACTGCAGCAGAAAATGTTAAAGTTGGTAATCCATTTGATGAAACAACCTTCCAAGGTGCTCAAACTTCTCAAATGCAATTAGAAAAAATTTTAAGTTATGTTGATATTGGTAAAAAAGAAGGTGCTACTTTATTAACAGGTGGTGAAAGAGTTGGTAATAAAGGTTATTTCATTAAACCAACTATTTTTGGTGATGTTAAAGAAGATATGAGAATTGTTAAAGAAGAAATTTTTGGTCCTGTTATTACTATTACTAAATTTAAAACTTTAGACGAAGTTGTTAAAATGGCAAATGATTCTGAATATGGTTTAGCTGCAGGTATTCATACTAAAAATATCAATAGTGCCATTAAAGTTGCTGACAGAGTTAAAGCAGGTACTGTCTGGGTTAATACATACAATGATTTCCATCATTCTGTTCCATTCGGTGGTTTCAATGCTTCTGGTTTAGGTAGAGAAATGGGTTCTGAAGCTATTGATAACTATACTCAAACAAAGGCTGTTCGTGTTAAGTTGGATTGAAAAATAAAATTAAATCCATAAATAAGTATTATTACATTACTACTCAAAAAAGAAAAAAAAATCCAACACAAAAGTCCTTCACACTTGCATCTAATGAACGGTAGATAAATTACCTGTTCTTCTTTTAACTATATTCAAAAATTTGTCCTTTTTTTTTTCTTTTTTCAAGAAAAATATTTATATTTATCTCTATATAAATCATAAAATGTACTAAAAATAAAAATTATTCAAAAATGTAATATTATATATTATTATTATTGTTATCATTTATTAAAGATTTAAAAACAATTTTTTTTTCTTTAAATGGTTCGTACCATACTTGATACATGAAAATCTCTAGAGACCATAAATGATTCTTCAAATCCAGAACTTTGTAATTCACTCTTCTTTTGAAGAACTCTATCTAATTCCACAAATCCTAATTTTTTTTCATAATATGATACTAATTCATGTTCAACAATAACTTTAATAATTAATTTTTTACAATTGTTAAATCTTCTTTTAAAATCTGAAAGTGTAATTTCAAATGTCTTTAAACCACAACCTTTACCAAATGAAGTAAAACCGGTAATTTCATAAGAATTTGGATATTTATCTTGAGGTAATGGTCTATAAGCTAACGTGGATTTAACATTATCAGTTGAAAATTTAAATGGTAAAGTCTCTTTAATGTCATACCATTCATATCCGTCAACATTCCCGGTTGAAATTAAACCTTCCATGACATCATTCACATTATCAACCATAATATACATGATGCAATCATCAATATCTAATCCAAGATCTCCAAAAAATGTATTGACTTCATGAATTCTTGGTGTTTGAACAATACCATATTTGACAACTTGCTTATCGTAACCATTGTTAACAATTTCCATTAGATCCATTATTGTTCTTTGAGGACATTTCTTAAGTAGATTTACTGGGATGGCTAATATACTTCTTTGTGGGCTTGTCATATTGTCTTACTGTTTGTATTTGAGAACTTAATTTCACTTTGATGAGCAGTTACGAAACTAGAGAAAGTCGTGACAAGAATATGAACAAATAACGTTTTGAACAAGCAAGCAAGACGAAACATACATATTTCAGCTACTTTTATACAGTTTTTCTTGACACGATGAGACTCAATCTATCTTGGCTGCTAGGACAACCAAAAGACAGATCCAATACATGAAATCTGGAAAATTTCGAAGAAATTTTTTCTCAATGAGTATAAGCATTAAATTAAGATTTAAAATAGACAACAGAGAAATCCCGTAGAAAACGAAATGAGGTATGTATGCTGGCAAGATTTGCTCCAAAAAGAAAATTACTGATATTATTTCTTTGCACGGCATATTGTAGTTGGTCTCGGTAATTATCCACGCCTAGGGCTCTTCCACTGGTGAAAACAATTAAATTTGAAATTTCGTGACATTTTTTTTTTTAGCGGAAGCGATTAATTCCGATGAGCCTCACACACATATATATATATATATATTTCTAAATAATAAGACCATACACTATAGACTTCATCAAACCTAACGTATTCGTATTCAAGTTGATATGGAAAGACAAATAATGGGGATCAATTCCAATAGATGATATCAATGCGAATGAAGATAAGAGTGCACCTTCATAAAAGGAAGCAATTTTTAGTTGTGGTGACGTTGTCCGTAATTTTAATAATACTATGTTTGTTTACATTTAAATCACTACCAACTGGAGTCAAATCGGAATTAAAACAATCACAGAAGAACGTATTCGAGTTTGGTGCATTTAAAAATGGATACTATGTTGATCCAGATTCAATAACATTAACCGATGAACCTGAATTTGATCTCGAGAAAACAGATACCAAGTATTCGTTGTTTAATGACAGTATATTTGCCCAATTGAAGGATCTTGATACAGTGGAAAAATGTAACAAACTTGCAAGGTCTTTAATATTGAATTCTAGGTCTGACGTATTTGATATAGCTGGTTCCATGGAGTCATTAATTAGGAACGTAGAAAGATTTAGAATATATGATCACTGTTTCTTAAGAGGTAATGTGGAATTAAAAGATATATTTGTTGATGATTTGAATCTAATGACGCAATTAACACATACGTTATTCCCATTTCTGAATATACAATTCACCAATGAATATCAATTTAATGAGATTTTAATCTCAGATTTGACTACAAATGAAGAGAAAACAGTGGTGTTTCATAAACATATGGGTAACCCCTTTGAACATTGGATAAAGACAGCAAAAGGGAAAGGTATTGTGACGACAATGTCAATAAAAGAAATAGATTATTTTTTGAGACTTACCAAAGTTCTTGATAAGTTGGGAAATAAATTACCAATCCAAATAGTTGTTAGTAATTTAAACGATTTTTATATTATTAAAAATACTTTAAAGAAGAAACTTATCAATTCAAACCAAAATGTAATGGTATTAAATGTATCTCAATTACTTGATACAGAATTTACAAAATTGAAAGTTAAGGGTTACATTAATAAATGGATTGCTACTTTGTTCAATACATTCGAAGAATTTATATTTATGGATGTAGATGTGGTACCATTTCAACAAATTAATAAGTTTTTTAAGACTTCAGAATACAAAAATCATGGTTTCTATATGTATCGTGATAGAGATATTGGTCATGCCAAACTTGAACCTCACTGCAGAGCAAATTATTTCAATTTAGAACCTACACCGCAAGAACATCAGTTAATTGGAACCCAATGGGCCTTTAATTTAAAATCAAGTAGTTCACAATCGTCTAAAGTTAAAAGCACTCAACATGAGGTGTATCATTCCTTTTTCAATAATTTAATTATGCATCAAGTTGATAGTGGACTAGTTTTAATACGAAAGACTGTTGAAAACTATAGCAGTTTATTGATGGCTATGCAGTTAAATATGGCAGATAGCTTAGAGGATTGTGTCCATGGCGATAAAGAGTACTTCTGGTTAGGCCCACTAATTGCAGGTCACACATATTCTGTTGACCCAACAAGATGTGGAGCTGTAGGCTCATTATACGAAGAAGAAGAACAAGTAAACGATGGCGAAAATATTAAGAGAGTTGGTGTATGTTCTACACAGATAGGCCATTGTAATAACAAAAATTCATTACTCTGGTTAAATGGTGGTGCAAAACTATGTAAGAATCCAGAAGCTGCAACGAACGATTTCAAGAATTATCCAGAATTCATGTCAGAAAGATATGGGAACGTGGATGAATTATCCAAAATATACAACTCGGGACTTAATATTGATGGTATGGTTATTCCTGATAGTAAGAAAGATACTATGACTTGGATGCAAACAAGAGAGTGTTCCCAATATCGATTTTGTGCGTATGTTGACATTTCAAAAAAGACCCACCCTTCGAAATCAGGAAATTTGATCCGATTCGATCATAAACAAATTAAAACTTACAATGAGATATCCGCCATTTGGTCCGAGGATATCGGAGAGTAAACTAAAACAAGAACGTTCAAATACTCATTTATCCTATCCGTATTCTTCTTGAAACCTTTCTTCTAGTTGTTATATCCGAAGCACCATCCACGTGTCAAATAAGGCACCGTTTACCGTTTATAGGCATAGTGTATCTTTATTTTTCTGAAAAGTTTCATTGTTTTAACAAGACAATAGAAATATCTGAAAAAACAGAAAAAAAATCAACTTAAGAATACAAGAAGACGAGTTAAATTCCATATCTACGAAAATTGGGCGGCCCTATTTATTTTTTATTTTTCTTCTTACCACTATTATTTGCAAATTCAACTGCCGTTACATTATTGTTTAGGAATCCGTTAACTGATGATATCATAAAAATTTTCCGAGTTCCATTGATTACTTACAAGATGACTCAAGCAAAGTGGGACTATTTCTCTGTCTTGTTTTGTGTTCCCTTTTCACCTTGACGTCCACACCGAGAACGTGGCGTGCGCCTGAAAAACAGTAACAAAGAGCGAAGTTCCCTTGAGGGAGAAAGTCATTGAGTGGATGGGCCCTTATTATTAGCCGAAAATATAAGATAGATATATTATGCCAACAATCAATTATTGTATAAATGACATTTAGGGGAGGAATAATGCTCGTTTTCGATGTTAATATAATACGAGAGTTCTACGATATTTTGATATGAAATGAATATTTTAAATACGAGGTGGAGATAAATCAACATGATATTGTAAGAAGGGATATGTCTTGAAACCGGAAACAATATAATGTTTACCCCTCAATAGAGCTTTTGAGAAGGTACCCTTTTTAGAAATATAATAATACTCATTAATTTCAGTGTATTTATTTTTAATTTTCTTTGAGCTTGACTAAGTTAGTGCAATCACGTGGATATTGTTAATATAATATAGTCATTTAGTCTTTACGATGCTGATAGCTATTCCACGTGCGATGAAGTAAACATTATTATCTTACTAGAGACTCTATTAATGAATTCTATTCAAACTATTACAATTTTGCTTTATTATCATGATTTCCCAAAAAAGGACTTTTATCAACTTAGACAAATATAAACAGTTTCATAAAAAGTATATAAATAAGGGATACTTATTTAACTATCTGTTATTAAGTTTTTCTCTTTTCTTACAATATATAATTTCAAGTCATAAAGTTATCATCCTAAAAACCACTGAGACAATCAGTTGTATATATTTGTTAATAGATTTCCATTAAGAATGCTTAACCAGATCCTAACTTTAGCTTCAATTGCATCCACAGCTTCCATCGTTCGTGCTGTTGCCATCGACTCTGCCTTCCTTGAAAACGATTTCTCTAAGATCGGTTCTCAAGAAGATATCTATCAATATTTGTATGGTAGTGCTCCTCACTTCTCATACCCTGTCAACAACAGTATCTCTTTGGATATCCCCGAAACTTGTGAATTGGTTCAAGTTCATTTATATGCTAGACATGGTGAAAGATATCCAACTGCTGGTTCTACTGCTGATGGTATCAACAATATCTGGTACAAATTTGGTAACTATACACAACAATTTAATGGATCCCTTGCCTTCCTAAATGAGAACTACCAATACCCATTTGCCAATTCAAGTAACTATGGTTTATTAACAACTCCAGATAATGTTGCTAACCCATACAACCCACTCCTAGGTAGTACCACCGGTACTACTGAAGGTCTAGAATTCTTAGAACTTTACTCTAATATTCTACACAAACACGAAAATTTTACTGCTTGGACTTCTAACTCCGATAGAGTTCATGCCACTGCTGAATACTTTATTAGAGCTCTAGGTGACAAATTTAACGTTAATTTGCAAACTATTAGTGAAGATGCATCTCAAGGTGCTAATACATTGACTCCAATTAATGGTTGTCCAAACTGGAATGAAACTGCTACCACGGCAATCCTAGCCAAATATGATCAAACTTTCTTAACTGATATCTCCAAGAGATTGAACGCCGAAAACGTAGGTCTAAACTTAACTAAGACCGACGCTCTAAACATGTTCAATTGGTGTGCTTTCGAAATTAATGTCCGTGGTTACAGTGATATCTGTGATGTTTTCACTAAGGATGAATTAATCAAGTACGGTTACTATGGTGATTTGATGACATACTATGATGAATTTATTGGTAACCCATTGGCCAAAGCTGTTGGCTCCGTACCAGTTAATGCTACTTTAGCTCTATTAAACACCCCAGAAGATAAATTAGACCAACAAGTTTTCCTAAGTTTCACTCATGATACTAATCTAATAAACTATGCTGCCGCTCTAGGTATTTTCACCGACAATGCTCCAATCACGCCCGAATCCATTGATTGGACCACTGATTTCCACAGATCTTGGTTAGTTCCACAAGGTGCTAGAATCCAAACTCAAAAGTACAACTGTAAATCCCCAAACAATACTTCCATCTCTTATGTTAGATTCATTGTTAATGATGTTGTCAAGCCATTAACCAATTGTAGCAGTGGTCCAGGTTTCTCATGTTCTTTACCGGACTACAACAAATTTGTCGAAGATAGATTCCAGGATGTAGATTTCTACACTCAATGTGGTACTTCCAAGGTCTCTAATGTAACTGACTTGACCTTTTACTGGGATTACAAAACTCATGACTACAATGCTCCATTAGAAATCTAATTGGTTCCGGAATTCAATTCTATTAAGTACAATATCCCTTCGATACCTTTGATTTCTGCTTATTAATAAAGGATGATATGGTGTTTCGGAACACTATTTCTTCAAATGTTTTGATCTATTTCAGTTCGTAGTCTCTATTTTCTATTTCAAATAATATTATCTCGGTTCACTTCCTGTTCCGAACAAGAAATTGAACTTTTTACATATAACCATCTAAATTACTAAAAAATATAACAATACCATACCTACCTATATTAATTGACAGTGTTATTGTGTTGCGTTTTACAACCAATAGAGTATAATGACACATAAAAACTATACATTTCCTAGTCTTTTATAAAGGCAACCTGCTCATCCCTCTGTCTATATATCTATACCTTACGTAAGTATGTAAATTTATGACATAAACTTTCCGCGGGTTCGGCCGAATGATTTTTCCTCTATATCAATTCCGCAGCAGTTAGTTACGTAATCATATAGATCTGCATTCTCGAGATCGTCTATCATATTTACAAAGAATATAGTTTCTATAAAAAGTATATGACCCTACTTCTTACAAAAAGTATATAAACCACCAAATATTGAGTTTTGTTTTATTGGTGTCTGTTACTATGATAATTGAAATCGAAATATCAGATTCAATAATACAACAATAAATATTAACCAAAAACAAAAAAACAATGAAAGTTCTAATCATCTACGCTCACCCAGATAAACAATCCTTAAATCACTCCATGTTGGAGTTTACAACCAACTACTTAAAGGAAAAAAATCATGAGGTTAAAGTAACTGATTTATATGCCGAGCAATGGAAGGCTGGTATTGATGAGGATGACTTCTTAAATCATGAAAAGGGTTCCAGATTATATGCAATGAGAGACTCCGGTTCAGCATATTTGGCTGGCATGTTAAGTGAAGATATCAAGAAAGAACAAGCTAAACTAGAATGGGCCGAATTAATCATTTTCCAGTTTCCAATGTGGTGGTATTCGATGCCTGCATTGATGAAGGGGTGGATTGACAGAGTCTTAACCCAAAATTTCGCTTACGTAAGTGGCAAAGAGTTTGAAAATGCACCATTAGCTGGGAGAAAAGCTTTCATCTTATCTACCGTTGGTGTTCCAGAGGAAATGTTCACCAAGGGAAAACTTGGTGAAATAGATGAGGTGTTTTTCCCAATTCAACATGGTACCTTTTCATACGCTGGGTTTAAAGTTTTACCCGCTATTATTGGTTACAGTGCAGACTCTAGAAGATCAAACTGTTTCGAAAAAACGACTGAGGCTATCAAGGAACGTATTGATAACATCGAGAACATCAAACCTATTTATTAAAGGTACTATCATACTGAGTAATTTTGGTATTTTAATTAGTGTTTGATAACATACTAATATTGTGTCGAAATAATTATTAATATATTATTTATTATACTTTTATTATATATATTTCTTTAATTCTTATACTCTATCATACAATATACCCCATTTAATTGGTGTAACTACAAATATAGTGTCTACTCAAACAGCAGTAGTAATATATTAGAATTCCTTTCAATTCAATTTTAGTGGAATAACCATTGTACTATCACGTTTTAAATATCCAAGAAAACAAGTATGTTAAGTCTTTATGAACAATGCCAGTTTCCGTTTTATAGTGATATATACGTAATCGTAATTATAGAAAAACACCCAGTAGTCTGATTACAAAAAGTTCCTACTAGTAAACTCGGTCGAACCGCGTCAAAATACCCATTTAATCGCTGTCTGCTGAAGTTTTAAGGCTGAACCCTAGATGCCGAATATGCCAGCAAGTTCAAAAGGGCAGACTCAAAATATCAATAAAATTCGTGTTCTGATAAAAAAAAAATTAGTTAAGGTTGGGAAAACCATAAATCAAACATCACAACAGAACCCACGGTCAGCAACCCATATAAAATAACTTCTACAAGTAGCAGTTTGCGGACTTCATCAGTAGGCGCAAATCTGGGTGTTATCGCAGAGATTTACAGTAAACTGAAGTTAGCACTTTCAAAATAAAAACAGATCCTTCGTTTATAGATTATTATAATTTAGTTCAACCCTTTAACCTCCTCATATTCTTCTTAACATCTCTATGTACTTTGATTTTCATTGTGACGCATGATTGAGTGTCCTCCATTGCATGCACTTCCATAAATCTTGAACCTTGATTATTTACTGACACTGTGCGCTTCCAAATACTGAAAATTTTTTTTTAAGCGAAGCGATGAGCTTTTGCATTGAACATCTCTTATTTAAAAAATTACAAAATTTAAAACAAGTCTACAGAATACTTAATTATCGCCAATAACTAAGTTACAAAGACCTCAGCATTCGCACATATACACCGTAAAAGCTACATAATGAGCAACAGTAATTCTGATATTGATGACTTCTCATCCGATGAGGAAAATGACAATCCACTTCTAATAACTTCCAAAAAGAAAGTGTCTACCGCAACCGATGTTTTTGACCAAGATGATGAAGGAAGCGATGAGAGTGACAATGAAGTTACTCCTTTAAAATCTAGCAATATAAAGGCCAACGATGCCAATGAGAATATGACGGAAGAAAAAGGAAGTATAGAGCCTGAAGAAGAAGAAGAAGATAATGAAACAAATCTAGCAACTACAAATAAGCATAGCGAGACCCTAACGAAAGAGGAGAAGACTGCCAGTTTAAAAAAGAGATTAGCCCTCGTACAACATATGCGTAAAAATTCAAAACACAAGACTGGTGTCATATATTTATCGAGTATTCCTCCATATATGAAACCTGCTAGAATGAGACATATCCTATCCCGATTTGGCGAAGTAGACAGATTATTCTTAAAGAGAGAGACTGATGACAAACATAAGAGAAGAGTTAGAGGTGGTGGTAATAAAAAGACAATGTACGAAGAAGGATGGGCAGAATTTGTTAGGAAGAGAGATGCAAAATTATGCGCAACCACTTTGAATGGTAATATTATTGGCGGTAAAAAGGGTACCTTCTATCACGATGATATATTAAATGTAAAATATTTGCCTGGGTTTAAATGGTCAGACTTGACTGAACAAATTGCTAGAGAGAATGATGTTAGACAAGCAAAGTTGGAGATTGAAATATCACAAGCTAATAAATTAAATGCTGATTTCATCAAGAATGTAGAACAAAGTAAGATGATAGCAAATATAAAAAACAGCAAGAAAAGAAACTCTACCACTGAGGATGATGGTACTGAAGAAAGAAGAAGAAACTTCAAACAACATAAGGTCGCAACAAATAGAGCTAATGCTCCGAAGGCAATTAAAAATGACGGCAACAAGAAGTCAACTAACCTAAACAGTGTTCTATCCAATCTGTTATGATCACTTATTTAACACTCGGCATATACTATAATCATATATATCTATATCTATTACCATTACTATTAGCAATTCCAATTTATAGAGAATATAGTGGTAACTGTTGTATGAATTGTCTCCACTATAATATCGTAATACACGTAACGTAAAAATCACGTGCTGAAAAACTCACAATTTTTTTTTCCTGCGAAAACGAAAAATTTTCTCTGTCGGATCGATGAGCATCGCTAGAATCGGAATGATAGATGAAAACGTTTAGTAATAAGAGTTGTAATATTTGAACAAATATTTCTGAACAATAGTTAAGAAGGTTTGTTATAAAACATACTATAAAGTCTACAACTCCATTCATAAGTACATAATACGATATGGGTAACTTTAAGAAAGAAAAATCCAGAAGAACCCGTGAGGGAAAGACTAAAGATGGTAATCTAAGAGTAAAAGGTGAAAATTTCTACAGAGATGGTAAGAGAGTTCAGTTCTTAAACATGTACACCAAAGGTGGTGCTGTCAAGAATAAGAACGGTGACTTGATCAGAGCTGCTCCTTTACAAGATGCTACTATTCCAACAGCCAGAGTTCAACCTGATCGTCGTTGGTTTGGTAATACCAGAGTCATCTCTCAAGATGCCCTTGAACATTTTAGAGGTGCTATGGGTGAAACTCAAAAGGACACTTATCAAGTTTTATTAAGAAGAAACAAATTACCAATGTCTTTGCTAGAAGAAAAAGATACAACAGAATCCCCTAGAGCAAACATCTTAGAAACTGAATCTTATAATCATACTTTTGGCCCAAAGTCTCAAAGAAAGAAACCACGTATTGCTGCATCATCTTTAGAAGACTTGGTCAACGATGCTTCTAATGATTCCAAAGTATTCCAAGAAAAACAAGAACTTAACGCAACTCTAGGTCTAATGGGTGGTGAAACTGACGAAGATGGTTGGACTCAAACAGCCAAGGAACATATCTTTAGCAAAGGTCAATCAAAACGTATTTGGAATGAGCTTTACAAAGTTATTGATTCATCCGATGTTGTTATCCATGTTTTGGATGCTAGGGATCCTTTGGGTACACGTTGTAAATCTGTCGAAGAGTACATGAAGAAAGAAACTCCTCACAAGCATTTAATATATGTCTTGAACAAGTGTGATTTGGTCCCAACATGGGTGGCTGCTGCCTGGGTCAAACATTTATCAAAGGAACGTCCAACTCTAGCTTTCCATGCCTCTATTACCAACTCGTTCGGTAAGGGTTCTTTGATTCAATTGCTACGTCAATTTTCTCAGCTACATAGTGATAGAAAACAGATCTCTGTTGGTTTTATTGGTTACCCTAACACTGGTAAATCATCAATTATCAATACTTTGAGAAAGAAGAAAGTATGTCAAGTGGCTCCTATCCCTGGTGAAACGAAGGTCTGGCAATATATTACCTTGATGAAGAGAATTTTCCTGATTGATTGTCCAGGTATTGTTCCGCCATCAGGTAAGGATACTGAGGAAGATATTTTATTTAGAGGTGTCGTTAGAGTTGAACATGTTTCCAATCCTGAACAATATATACCGGGCGTTTTGAAACGTTGTCAAAGAAAACATTTGGAAAGAACCTATGAAATATCTGGTTGGAATAACTCTACTGAATTTATAAAGATCTTAGCAAACAAACAAGGTAGATTATTAAAAGGTGGTGAACCAGATGAATCAGGTGTTTCTAAACAAATATTAAACGACTTCAACAGAGGTAAGATTCCTTGGTTTGTCAGTCCGCCAGAGAAGGCCTCCTTAACCGAAGAGGACAAAACAGATAAGAAGAGAAAGGCTGATGAAGTTGAAGAAGAAGTAAAAGAAAAAGAACAAGAATCTAAAAAAGTCAAGAGTGCTTAATAACAGATAATTGAAAAACGTTTGCATAAAGAGTTCTGAATTTTCTATCATCCCGACTATCGAGTATTTTTTTTATTTACATAACGCTCGTGGCTTTTCTAAGAATTCTTTTTCAATTCACGATTGAAAATAGTGACTAATCTCCATTTCATATATTATATTATATAAATATATTAAATATAAACTGTACATTAATAAGAAAAAAATACAAATTTTAAGGATTAACAAGAGGTTACTCAAAGTTTTATATCGAGAAGCGAGATTGTGGGTTAATCTTGTATATTTCGTATAACACGATGTTTTTGTTCAAAAAATCACTTAAATTTCAAAAGTGGAAAGGAAAAGCCGTTGGCGAAAGACGTTCTGGTGTCTTCAATAGGACACTGTAATCTATGGCGACATCAAATTAAAGGTAACAAAGGTTGAACGTTTTGTTAAGTTTGATATAGAGATCGAAAATCGTCAATATATATATGTTCATTATTTGATAAGTGTCATATATACGTTATTTCAGATTTTTAAAACGACATTGTTTACTGAACAAAATAACAAGAGTAGAAACGATTGAGAACTAGACACATACAGAGAGAAATCTTAAAATGCAAACTTTACAACCTCAGGGCATGGCTATGCGTGACCATCAATTCTTTAATCAAGGCAACGAAAAGCAAAATAATAATACAAACGGAAATATAACGATGGGTATTCCAAATAACGCATTTGGTTCACAAATGAATACTAATGGATTAATAAATCAACCACAACAATTACAACAGCAACCTGGTCATTTACCAACATTACATGGCTTTAATCAACCACAGGAACAAGGAAATGTATATTTAATGAATCAAAAGGGTGGCCCATTACTTCCACAACAGCAGGACTTTCAAGGAATGAAGGCACAAGTACAACAACAAAAACAGCAGCAGCAACAACAGCAGTCTCAACCGTTTAATAATAATGCGAATTTGGGTGTTCCAGGTCCAATACCTAATAATCTACCACCTGGACTGAACGTTATGCAGCAACCGGGCGTGAACGTTAACGTAAATAGACCGGTCAATATTCCACTAGCTCCTAATATGAATGCTCCCTCTGGTGGTAATACGGTAGGCAATTCTAACATGATGCCTCCAATGATCCTACCACCTTTAATGCATTTGTTTGTCCGTGAAGTTTGGAAGACAAACCTCCATAGCGAATTTGTTGCTATCAGAAGGTTGGCTACACAATATAATTACATTTCTGTGAGTACTGAATTTATCGGTACATTAGCAAGACCAATTGGTAATTTTTCATCAAAGGAAGATTATCATTATCAAACCATGAGAGCTAATGTGGATATTTTAAACCCTGTTCAACTTGGAATTTCGTTAAGTGATGCAAACGGTAATAAACCAGACAATGAGCCTTCAACATGGCAATTCAATTTTGACTTTGATACAAATAAAGAAATGATTTCTGCTGAATCATTAGAATTATTAAGAAATTCTGGTATCAATTTTGAAAATCATCGTACGGGAGGTATTGGCAAATTCGAATTTGCTCAATTAATGATGGATTCTGGTCTGATCCTAGATACGAACACCACCTGGATTACATTTCATGCTGCTTATGATCTTGGTTTCTTAGTACATATCCTAATGAATGATATGATGCCATCCACCAGAACTGATTTTGAATGGTGGGTTCACAAATTTATGCCAAACTTATATGATCTAAATCTAATCTATAAGATGATTCGTGATTTCAAGAATCCTCAGCAACCACAATCACAAGGCCAACCACCAAAATATTCATTAACAACAGTTGGTGACGAAATTGGGATCCCTCGTTTCCCAATATTTACTACGGTCGGTGGTCAAGCTTTGCTAATGCTTCTTTCATTTTGTTACTTGAGCAAACTATCCATGCACAAGCTACCAGATGGAACGGATTTTGCTCAGTACAAGAACGTAATCTATGGTATTAATGAGGACCAATTACAACAAGCCAAATAAAATTAATGAATAGGTTTTCTTCTTCTGCTCTCGTCAAGAATGAACCAAAAACCTTAATGCACTATCACATACAAACCAGCCCGAATTCACAGACATAACTATATATATATATATACATACAATATATACATATTTAATACGCAATAGTCATACTTCATCAAATGTAATAATTCGGTCGTCGTCCAGGATACTCAATTAACTTCCAGGCTTATAGATATTTCTTGTCCAAAGCAGATCATTATCACGTGCTACCTCCAAATTGGGCGCAAATTTTTCTGCAAAAAAATTGTTTTTGACGTTAACTTCTTAATTTTACAACGATCGAAGCCGACCGACAAAAAATTTTGAAAGGTAGAGAGGAAAAAATTGCCACCTCAAAGGATTTGGACGTTTAGAGAGCTTCAACAGGGAGCAACCTTCTTAGAAAAAGAATCATATTTTTGTGTGAGTCTAAATGGTATTAATTCTTGAATAACTATATATATAGATATATACCCACCAGTATTACTAACACGTTTGTGAATCACCAACCTTGGTGTACCATTATTATTCAGCTGCGACTCTTTGGCAACGAATTGAAAATTTTAAAAAAAAATCATACATAAAATCTCCTGCTTTCATTAGTAGATAGAGACACAATATAAACCATTCACAGGAAACACATTTCGTACTTTTTAAATAGTACATATTACTAAATTCGAATAACCTTCCTAACTCCACAGAATATTCATTTGTAAATAACAAATCATTCTATTAGCATCTTTGTCCATTCTTTTTCATTTCTTTTAAAATTTAACAAGAAATTACTTTTTATTGACTTTATTTTGGCAATTGCATCAACACATATATCAAAATTACATTTTTCCATTCATTGTATTATAACTTCTCCTAAAATTATTCCCATTTTTTTTTTAAATTTTATTTTAGCTGTAATCAAATTATAATATACATTTATTCATTAAGATACCAAAAGCCATATCCACTGTAACGTTGAACCATTTTATTTCCATTATTTCATAATTATTTTAATTTTGCCCATTTTAATATCATTCACGTACAGTCATATTTATTCACGATTATACTACTTTTCACATCATTAAATATCTGAATCATCCTTCATTTTTATATACATCTTTTTCAAATTAAAGAAAGAAAAGACTGAAAAATAACAACATTTAAATTTTAAAGAGTAATAAACATTACTTCATTTTAGAAATATTATCATTCACTAAAACATTCTCTTTTTTATTTTTTTTTGAAAAGGGTAGAACCAAATTAAGCATAACTATCTGAATTCTTTGAGATACCACTTCGTAAACCTTCTGTCTCTGTTTTTATCAGGCTTAGAAGAAATACAATAACGACAACTATTAACAACTTTAAATCATGGGTTCCAGCGTTCAAGATATTGCATATGCATTCTTACAAACTTACTATGAAAGGATGAAATCAAATCCTGGTAAATTATCCAATCTATATTGTAACACCGCCGAATTGACACATATCAATTACCAGCAAATTGATTTTGACAAAACAACTTCAACTTCGACAAATACTTTATCAACTGTTAAATTAACTGGTAAGGATAATATAAGTAGATTTTTTGCAAGAAACGAGGAAAAGGTTTGTGATTTAAAATTAAAATTAAATTCTTGTGACTTTCAGACTACTGGTATTGCCCATAAAGGGATTATAATAATAGTCACTGGTGAATTATTTTGGAGCCAATCTCCAATATATAAATTCTGCCAAATGTTTTCACTTTCACCAATCAGTAGAAACAGTGAAGTGTATGATATAACAAATGATATAATAAGGTTTTTATCATTTGAAGACCAATCTGAAAGCCCAACTCCAACCCCTCCAAACGAAAAACAAGAAAATGAAAAAACAATATCCGTTAAAATCGAAACTCCGAGTGAGAAAACTTCCGAAGAATCAATAAAAGAGACCAAAAAATCCACAAAACACAAGAAAGATTTATCTTCACCCAAAGGGGAAAGTAAGTTAGTAGAAGATAAGATTCCAATCGAGACTAACGAAGAAATAACTTACGAGAAAGAAACAACCCCAATTGACAAGATAATAGAGGTGCCAGAAGTGCCAAAGATAAAGAAGGAAATCAAGAAAGAAGATTCTCATGAAAAGAAGGAAGCCAAGAAAGAAGATTCTCATGAAAAGAAAGAAGTCAAGAAAGACGATTCTAACGAAAAGAAAGAGGTCAAGAAAGATATATTAGTTGAAAAGAAGGAAGGCAAGAAAGATACTTCCAGCGAGAAGAAGGATACTAAGAAAGATACCAAGAAATCCAGCTCTGATGAAAAGGGAGAATCCGAAACTCAACCTGATTCTACTGAAAAGTCTAAGGATAAGAAAGAAACTAAAATTGAACATGCTGAAAAATCAAAAGAAAAACACTCTGATAAGAATATTCCAAAGACTGAAGTCACCCCAACTGTTGAAACCTCGAACAATAAATCTGCTGACGTCTCTCAATCTGATGTCAAGACCACTGCTGATGCTGATGACAAACAATTACCTACTGAAGTGAAGAATCCAACGGAAACTGTTGTTACTACAAGTAAGGAGACTACCGAACAGACTACTACCGTTAGTGCTGTTGCCGCTCTTCCACCAAAGAAGATGTCATGGGCCTCAAAAGTTTCACAACATGATGCAGTTCCAAAGGAAAGCAGAAAAATTATTGTACCTCGTGAAGAGACTCCAATGCCACGTAATGATTCCAATCGTACTAAGAAAAACAATCGCAACAGAGAAAATGACCGTAAGGAAAACAATTCTAAAAATAACAGCAAGAGAAGGACCAATAATAATGTTAACAGAGATGGATATTATCCAGTATATATCAATGGTACTCAAAATACAAAACCTGAATTAATTAGAAATAAATTAATTAAGGAGTTTGGCCCTGTTATGAAAATGAATACTGGCGATAATTTCATTGTTATTGATTTCCAATTGGAATCAAGTCAAAAGGAAGCTATTGATACTAAGAAAATAACTGTAGATGGTACAGAGTTCACATTGGAAAGAAAAACTTATAGAAAAGGTCAACCTGCCGGTCCTATAACGTCATCATCTACTCCATCTTCTTCGGCATCTGCATCTTCGTCATTACCATCTGAATACACCAATGATACCAGAAGTCACAAACGATTCAATTCTAATAAGAAGTCTGTATAAAGGAAACTATCATCGTTAAATATTGTAAACTAACAAATTCAAGATAAAAACAAAAAAAAAAAATAGAAAGCAAAAACTCTCAAAAACTCGATGAATCCACAAAAACATTCTTTAATGAAATCCAAGAATCTAATGACCATGTATACGTATAACTATCTATATAATAATAATAATAATAATAAATAATATAAATAAGCAAAAAAAAAAAATTAAAAAAATAATACGATGATACAACCCTTAGACTTTATCCCGCTATATTTAACAATTTTTAACGAAGTAGGGTTATGTCGATATTAAAATATTAATTTGTATGGTAGATCAACCCTAAGTTGTCTTAAAGATATCTACGGGCGTTATTACAGTATATATCGTCTCTCTTATACCAATTAAGGGATTGCAAGGTTTGTATTAAGTATGATGTTTGTGTGCGAAGAAATGTAGTTCACTAAGGTGATGCTATTTCCTCCTAAGGATTGCGATCTACTTAACCTGATTTATGATGGTCTTTTTCTTGATTAGACTTGATTGGTGTCTTTCGACTGAAAGACAGGGATTCAACAATGGGAGATATTAGAGTCTTTATATACAAGTGCTCTCTATCTCGACCGACTGTTGTGGTGTCCAGAAAGGCATGTCCCTCGTTGCTTAGGATCACCATACTGGTGTGTCCTATGTGTAACTCAGTAACTAACGACCGTTAACGGCTTAGTTGGTTTATTTGAAGAGTCGTAGGTATTTTCTCTACGCCCCTTTCTAAGTGTTATGCTCATTAAGCTGTCCTTGTCGCTAAGGATGCTAATATCGTTTGATAAAGTGTCAGTAATGCCTTATCTGGTTTATTGATCCTGTTCATGTGATAATTCTATTTGTCAGATGTTATCATCAATGAGTAAAGGAGTTACAAGGGTTATTCGATACCCAATTTGTCATATTCGACGAAGCTAAAGGGCTAACCTTGTTACACAATTAACAAAAGATTTCACATGCCTTCAAAATGGAATGAAAACAAAGTGACCTTTCACAAGGAAAAGTCGTTTCACCCCACTCTGTTCCTACACAACACCTTCCTCCCGAGGGATTCCAATGTTGCATAGTAACATGTATTTAACTATAAGGGATTCGTTTACCACAACTACCTTGATGGCGTCATAGATATGGAGATAAAGTCCCTTACTGAGTTAAAACATAAGAAAAACCAGGAAGTCGTAAAAAACAAGTTAAGAAAGAAGAATTAATTGAAAACAATATTTTATTCTTCACCTCCCTTCCTTCTTTATATTTATATAAAATAAAATATTACGCGCACCAAGTCAAAATAGCGTGCATTTTTTTCTGTCTTGATATTTTTTTTTCACTTCGGTCTCATTTCATACAAAAAAAACAAGAAAATTGGGTCGTGCCGTATACTATGATGTTTTAAACCTCTTTCTTTGTTAGGGCTTTCTGATGGAGTGCAACATGAAAAATAAACTGTTTTCATCTAGGTGAAAGAATAGAAGAAATGTGTTGCGGATGAACACTCTTCCAGTGTGGCCAGTTGATATTTGTTAACATTTGATATTCTGAGCAATATCATGTTCGTTTTTGCAACCAGGACCAACAAACGAGAAAATAAATCCACGCAGCATATGTCAATATCTTAAGAGATAAATGAATCATCGAATTCGTCATCGAACGTTAGAGAGATGTTATTAAGTGCTAACTAACAGATATAAATGCATATATTTTTATTGTTGAATCAAGCTAATATGACTAAAAAATGTCAGTCAAAGAGCAAAAAAATAATGAGACACAAATTGGAAGAGCAGTTTATACGGCAAGCTTGCATAATCCCGCCGGAAATTGAGCATTTCCACTATGCACCCAGAATTCCGATGGAAAAAAGGAAGAGCGAAATATTAAAAACGGAATTTTCTCATTTTTTCTTCATTTTTCTATGTGGAACCTCCGCTTAAGTCATCTCAATGAAATGAACAGCAAATAAATTAATATTAGAATTCCCTTGGGATACAACGTTAAGGTAATTGTCGTGGTGCCATTTTTTTATCACTGTTTTAGCAGTAAGTAGTAGCAAGGATAATATGCTACATAATCGCTTGGTAATTCAGTCCACCTTTCTATGACCCATAAATTAAGTCTTTAAGAATTACCTGAGTAAAGTGAACCCATTATAATTACTGTATCTATCAATAATTTGGAATGATTGCTTAAATTTAAAAGTGAAAAATTTCAATTCCTTTTCTTTTGACATTTAAAATATATATACATATATAAGGATGAGATTCATACACTTTTTTTGTAATATCAATCATCATATTTCTTTGGTTCTTATTTAGTCTACTTTTTTGTTTTGTTTTCAATAATAAGAAGATAAGTAACTTTTATTGTTTGACGTATTACAACTAAAGCAAAAAAAAGGAAAAAGTATACTAATAAAAATATCAACACATCAATATGACTAAGAGAGTTCTATTGTTAGGTTCTGGTTTTGTTGCCCAACCTGTCATTGACACCCTATCTGCCACCGAAGGTATTGAAGTTACCGTTGCTTGTAGAACTCAAGCTAATGCTGAAAAATTAGCTAAACCATCTGGTTCTGCTGCTATTTCCTTAGACGTTACCAAAGATGATGAATTAGATGCTGCTTTAACTAATCATGATTTAGTTATCTCTTTAATTCCTTACATCTACCATCCAAATGTTGTTAGAAGTGCTATTAGATTAAAGAAAGATGTTGTTACATCTTCTTATATTTCCCCGGCTCTAAGAGAATTGGAACCAGAAATTACTAAGGCTGGTATTACAGTTATGAATGAAATTGGTCTAGACCCAGGTATCGACCATTTATACGCAGTTAAGATGATTGACGAAGTTCACAAAGCTGGTGGTAAGATTAAATCATTCTTATCTTACTGTGGTGGTCTACCAGCTCCAGAAGATTCTGACAATCCATTAGGTTACAAATTCTCTTGGTCTTCAAGAGGTGTTCTATTAGCTTTGAGAAATTCTGCCAAATACTGGAAGGATGGTAAGATCGTTAACATTGCCTCTGAAGATCTAATGGCCTCCGCTAAACCATACTTTATTTACCCAGGTTTTGCGTTTGTTTGTTATCCAAATAGAGATTCCACTCTATTCAAAGAACTATATCACATTCCAGAAGCTGATACTGTTATTAGAGGTACCTTAAGATACCAAGGTTTCCCAGAATTCGTGAAGAGTTTGGTTGATATTGGTTTCTTAAAGGATGACGCTAATGACATCTTCAGTAAACCAATTGCATGGAAGGATGCTTTACAACAATACTTAGGTGCTTCTTCTTCTTCGAAGACTGACCTAATTGCAAAGATTGATTCCATGACTAAGTGGAAGGATGCTGATGACAGAGAAAGAATCTTGGGAGGTTACCAATGGTTAGGTTTCTTCTCCGACGAAAACATTACTCCAAGAGGTAACCCTCTAGATACCCTATGTGCTCGTCTAGAAGAATTAATGCAATACGAAGACAACGAACGTGATTTGGTTGTTCTACAACACAAATTCGGCATTGAAAATGCTGATGGTACTACTGAAACCAGAACATCTACTTTGGTTGATTTCGGTAAGGTTGGCGGTTACAGCTCTATGGCTGCTACTGTCGGTTACCCAGTCTCTGTTGCTACTAGACTAGTTCTAAACGGCACCATCAAAGGTCCAGGTTTAGTTGCTCCATACTCTCCAGAGATTAATGATCCAATCATGAAGGAATTGAAGGATAAATACGGTATTTACTTGGTCGAAAAGACCGTAGGTTAAATTATCTAACCTATGTCAATAATACATTTCCTCGAATTCCTCATTTCACGAAACAATAATTCAAAGAACAAACAAACAAACAAACATTCAGCCCCCTTGGAATGATCTATAGAGTACTATTCAAGTTATACAGATAATGTCATCATTCATAAAATAAAGTGATTTATCTAAATAGCGGACCTCTATATGTATATAGAATATATATGCATGGTCATATATATGCCTGTGCGAGAATCAATTTCTAATGATAAATAAATAATTAAGAATTAAAACAAACGAACCTTTCCCCGTTGGAACATTCATCGAATTACCGGCTCAATATAATTATTGCTCTTGAATATAGAGTTCATTCTATGTCGTTTAATTAAATATATACGCTTTACTTCAATTAATTGTATGTACACCCACACACCTCACACTACAAAATACAAAAATACGCCAATATTCCGAATAATCAAGGTTAGTGAATTCGACAGTATCTCCTTTAAAGGTACATCAGTGAGTTGCTTGACACTTCTAAGTAAATCCAAATTTACCGACTGTTAATGGTGTCTTGATAGTTGCATACATATCTAGAGTAATATAACATATTTGAATTCAATTTAAGGTAATACATATTTAAGGTGAATTCACCAAAACACCATTCCATTTTCTTTATTGTTTCACATTCCCACATCGTTATACACCACAAATATGTCATCTGCAGTCCAGGGAGAATCAGGTAATTTTTGGAATAAATTCAAAACATCTACAAAATCTATATCTTCGTCATTTTCTCAATTATCTGTAAAATCAGAAGTGGATGGTGACTCACCAACATCAACTATAGTACATAAAGCACTCGTAAAATACTACAAGCATCAAGAACCTTTTACAGGATTCCCATCATGGTTAGGTCATAAGGAGGACTTACCTAATGAACAACATATCTTAAAGAAACAAAATGAACATTTAGAAAAGAAACAAAGAGAACAGGAGAAACAGATGAAGAAAGAACAACAGCCATCTGGGTTTACTTCATTGAGAAGAGCTGCATCCAGTGCAACTGAGTCAGTATCACACCCACACGACACACAGCGAAAATCAGTTGGATACGAAAGACGTGCAAGACCTAGTGATGCATTCCAGGGCATATACAACTCTGAGAGCCCCGAAGATTATGCTAAAAGCAGCAGTACAACATCTGTTAGTAGTAGTGACGGCCATATACCGTCAAGGTCCTCCTCAGGACGTGTAAACCGTTTAGGTAGACCAAGTTGGTCCCAGAATCCTGGTGCTACTGGGAACCAAGAAAATACTAGACCTGAGTTAACGTCGCAATCATCATTATTAATGACAGAACGACTACGGAGAAAGACAAGATCCTAATATTAAAAGTTATCCCCTTTATCGTCATTACAGGTAATATAAATGCCCTAAATCAATAGATTGACAAAGTTAGGACCCTCAACAAGTGATAAAGAAAAAAAATGCAATATATATATATTTATATATAACTCCTTTTCATAAATATTTGTCAGATATGCAAAATATGGCTTATATCAGGTAAAAAATGTCATCATGATCAATAGGTATAACATAGCTTACAAGATTTCTCTGACAGTAAATCTCGTATTCTTCTGAGTATCATTTATCCTTCCAACAGAAGGAGTAGTACTCTCTCTAGAAATTTCTGGTTCTGATAGACCCATCAAAGGCTCGGCGGGAACGTTGCTTAAATATTGGTGATCCTCCAATTTTTTTGTTTGGAATATAATGTTCAACAAGAATATTAACGAAAATAATACGCATATACCTGCTACCATTAAATATACAATCCCCAACCAGATATTTTTTGCGCCTATAACACTATTAGTTGTTAGAACAAATGTTTTTGTGCCGTTAAATGAATGCACTGGATAATTAAGAACAATATCTATTGAATAATTACCATTTGGTAATGGTGACGATTCATTTTGTAATATTTTCTTATAGAATGTCGGTAATGCTGCATTTCTCATCCAAACTTGGAATTCTTGCCAAGTATGTAAATTAGGTATATTTGTTTCATTATAACCATCGGGGAATCGTTTAGCCCAATTTGGAGGCGGAACAATGTCAGATGCATTATATTCAGTCATCCGATATCTATGCTTATCGGTGGACGAAGCTGTATTATTGTTTGTCAGAATAAAATCTTCTGAACCACTAATCCCTCTTAATATGGGCCCGAAGGTATCGTTAAAGAGTGAGTTTGCTACAAGTCCACATGGATAAATCACTTTCCCTGTAACATTATCTTTCTTAAGTGGATCACAGTTTTTGTCTAATGTACTCACATTGACTGCCGACCCCTTCAATTGGTCCAAATCATAAGATTCTATATACACACGATGGTTCTGATAAAAATTAGTCAATTTGTAGTAAATGTATATCGGCGAATTCAAAATATTCGGTATTTGGAAGTTTAATCTACAAATATCACTTTCATCTGTGGCGCCATTCCCATTTATTAACATCCATCTAGGTTGGTAATCCAACTTTGTTTTGAAGTGTGTACTAACATATTGCTCTGGGATAGTGGTGAATCCATTCCCGTTGGCAGTCTCTTGACATTTATCGTATCGTATCGTTATATCCTGGACGTTGATTGCGCTGATAAGAAGACCGATCCCTATGGGTACAAACATCGTTATAAGAACGATGAGCATAGGTAAGGCATTCTGTGGAGACAATGTTGGTTGCCATGCTCGAAGCCTTTGTTGACGGAATGATGTATTAAGTGGTCGCCTCGATGCAGTATCCCTTCCTGTTAATTTCTTCCAGAACGAGGAAGCCATGCTCTATAAATTATACGGGGAGACAGAATATCACTATAATTTGCTACAAGGTACTGTTTCTTCAATACTACCATATATAATATTGGGTAGACTGACCTTATGACCTTTTTATTACTAAAGCATTACTGCTTCAGTCGATACTGCGCCGGCTTAAATAATGGGTTCTTTTACATATTTTTTTTGTTTTCTTGAAGGACTAAACATTACTAACTTGATGGAAACCAATAAACAAGATGCATGAAGAATACAGGATATGAAATGCTTTATATACTTGGTCTTAATTTGTCAGTCATAACAAAAATAATTATTAACATAATGTAGGGGTTCATTAGGGTATTTATAAACAGCTCAAGGACATATGTTTATATAAGATATTTATGTTCACAGTAAAACATCACTTCTTACTTCTTGAAAAAGGCCCGGTGACTGTTGCTTCGAGAACGGTTGGAGTTCGGCGTATAAGCAATTTTACCATATGAATTATTATCACCGTATATCATAGAATCATTATCTTTTTCCATCAAACTCATGGAGTTAAAATTGTGGAATGGGTCATCTTCCGGCACTTCATCATCTGTGGCAACAGGCTCACCAAACATAACCTTTTCTTGGTCCTCTTGAGATAATAACGATATATCAACTTTACTGTAATCAATACTAGGCTTATCAATGGGTTTATCAGTGGATGTACCATCTTGTGACTTATTTGCTGGTGTATTTTTATTTTTTTTATTTTTTGCAGATGTAGCAGCAAAATCAAATCCATTTTCAGTCAATTTAGGTATCAATGGCGGTTCTTGATTCCTTAAAAATGACCATTGAACCTTTTTGAAAAAAGGATGCCTTTTAATATCAGCAGCACCCATTTTGCATCCTAATCTTTTCGATTCGTTCTTGCACAGCAATTTTTTTATCAAATCCTTACAATGCCTTGAGATGTCATTATTATTTGGGAATGTTATATCGTTTTTCAAAATATTGGAGAATGTCTTATTGGTATCAGCACCCTTAAATGGCGTCATCCCGAATAACATTTCGTAAATTAATATACCTAGTGTCCACCAATCTACTGCAGCCGTATGACCGTTACCACGAATAACCTCAGGTGCAATATATTCTTCAGTACCAACAAAAGAGTTGGTTCTAAAGCCATCAGAAAATATCTTAGTATCTATCATTGCTGATTGGTTATGTCCTGAAGTAATCATTGGTGACTTGATCTTAAAATTTTTGGCATCTTGAGTCTGAATCGAAAGATCAAAATCAGATAACATAATGTGACCAGATTTATGCAATAGAATGTTTTCAGGTTTCAAATCTCTATAGATAAAGCCTAAGAGATGTAAATATTCTAGAGCTGCAGTAACTTCGCTTGCATAAAATCTGGCGTCATCCTCGCAGATACACTTGCTCTTTCTTGTTTGCAATGCTCTGAAGAATTCACCACCCATACAATATTCCATACACAAGTAAAGGTAATCCTCCGATTGGAATGAATGATATAATGTTACAATGAATGGATGGTTACTAGTAGCTAAAATTTCTTGTTCAACAAGCACTCTTTTAACCTTATTTCTCTTTATCATTTGAGATTTGCTAAATACTTTCAAAGCGTACAATCTATTTGTGTTCTTTTGCTTAACAAGGAAAACTTTACCCACATCACCTTGACCCAGCATTCTTACTTTCTCAAACGACTTGGGGCTAACAGTAATGTCTTTAAATTTGTTACTAAAGGATTTTGTCCTTAAACGTTGTGACCTTTTTGGTTCTGCGTCATCAAAAACCTTTGGTGGTGCCTTTGGCTGGAAATCCTTTATAGTAATATCCCTTATATCTTTATTCTTTATTTCAATTTTCTTATCGTCTTTCAAAGGTGACCCCAATTGAGGTGTTCTTAATTCATTACGATGAATATCCTCTCCCTGGGTATCGTCTATTTCTTCATCTGTTAGTCCTACAATAATAGATGGGAATGGTTGTATATTTTCTTGACTGTCATTAGGACTATTTCCTTGAGAGAACCCTTTCAGAGGAGATGCAATCTTTTGAATAAGTCCACTACTTCCTTTACGTAGTGGAGACTTATACTCATTAAATTTGTTAACTTGCTCATCCTCCTTAATATCGTTTAACGATATATTACTCATGTTTCTATTCTGATATGGAGAGGATGTGGAATTTGCCGATGATAATGCCGCTGGTGGAAGATATCCAGAGTTCATTGTAAAAGAATTAGTCGTATCATTATCATTGTTACCAATATCACGAGATTTTGGTAGTACTGGAGCAGATGGTGAACGTTTTCTACTACCATTACCATTATTATTGTTTGCCAAATTTTGTTGTTGATAAACGTAATCCTCATTTAATGGTTCACTCATTGGAGAACGAGGGTTAGATTGCGAAGAAGGTGACGTATAAGGATGATAATGTGCTTCAAGATGCGCATGTGTTGGGGAACGGAGCACAGGAGACTGTGGTTCAGTCCTCACATTTGATGATTTTTTATCTTTGACGTCTACTTGTAAAGCATCCGAGTACTTGCTATTAGATTTAGATGTAGAACTAGTATAATTAGCGGGACTCATATTATTAGTTTGAAATATGCTTTTAAATTTAGAGAATCTGGAACTCATTTCTGTATCAGCTGGAGTCACTATAGTTTCAGGTATTACATTTTTAGAGTCATCCGCTTCTGTTAATTTAACATTTGACTGAGAGGGAGAATCATCATGAGATGATGTAGATCCTTGAGTACTATTAATGGTACCGGAATTACTATTCCATTTCCATGATTTTGAAAGTAGTTTTGAAAAAGAAACACTTCTACTTCTTTCACTGAAGGAAGTTGGTTGCTCCAAAGACTGGTGTTGGTTTTCTGTCATGATAGTTTAAAATATAAAATGTTATGATCTACCAAAAAGTCAATAAAATAGTTATTAAAAGTTCTGGGAAGAAAAGTTATTCTAATAGGCAGGGATAAATAATATATCGGAAAAAAGAGCTTTAAGATGGAAGATTATACCGAATATATCTGTATAAAGATGAATGAATGTATAGGAGGGAGGCTCGAATTATGCACCAAATCTTATAAAAAAGATAGAATGGTTCCAAAAAATAATGTTAATGCAAATAAAAAAGAAGAAAATGTATTTTAATCTTCTAGGATAGATCAAAGAACAAACGTACAAAACTAATAAAAATAATTAGATCTTAACTTGGAACTAGTAGTATATCTTAAATGGATACGTATGTTCTGTGACTAGCTAACTTTTTTTCTTATCCAATCTATCAAAAGAGGCCAATGAATATTGAAAATAAAATGGCAAAAAAAGGAAGTTGAAACTAAACTATAGCACAGTCTAACTTGGGGTAAGGAGGATAACAAATAGTTTATCAGTGGTCTAATAAGTTCTCACTTTCAAAGTTACTGAAATATGAATAATAAAGTATTGGAATGCGTAGAACTCCCTTCAACCCCATAATTTTAATTGAAAACCTAATTTTAACGATTGTTAGAATCGTCTTCCATTTTTCACTTCCCGTAAATTAATCAAACCTTCAAAAACTCCCTCGTACCACGCCCCGAGAGCAAAATAGTGCGAAGCCAGATATATATACAGACGCCAATAACAACAACAACAACAACGTGTGTGAAGGTGGAAACAATTGTACTACGTAGTCATATGCAGTTTACATACCAATATAAAGGATGAAACCCTTTTTTTGGGGGGGGGGTTTGGTGTGGTGACAGTAACATGTATATGTTTTCATGAGTGACTAGTGCATGGTATTGTACATTAAGTGTAGATAAGTCTTATATGCTGATGTTTAAAAATATATATGTAGATATGTATATATATGTAGTCTGAAGATTTGTTAGTTTAGGCCAGATGAGGTGGTAGCAATAGGTTTGGAATACCGTTCTTGATATAATAAGTATGCCCACAATTCTTACATTTCATTTCACCTTCTACTATCGATGTTTTAATCAACAATACGTGCAGATCTCTTAAAATAGCCATATCATCCTCTGTTAGCGCATTGCTATCTTCAAATACAGGTTTATTTGGTGGTAAAGATGTATTTCCTAGATCTGACGCGACTTGTAGTATAGCTGGCCATTCTACTCTATCCAAAACATTTACTAGAAATTCCGGATTAAATTCAATGCTTTCATCTTGTTCCAACTGACATTTAGAACCATCGTATGCCAATGGAAAGTTATCGTTGCTGGTGTCACAGGATTGAACGGAACACTTTAAAAAGTTAGTGGTAAGGAACTTCATATTAGTTATTTTAGTATGTCTTATTCTCTTTATATGTATATGTTTAATTGTCGTCATCCAGTGATGAGCATCTTTCTTTGTCTTTTAATATTGAAAATTTTTTCGCCCTTGCGATTAGTATAATACACCGAAATTTATTTTTTTTACTCTACGCAGCAAAGAGAGGGAAGTCCCTAAATTGAATTGCAGTATATTAATGCAAGTCTACATGCAATGAGAGTGAAACAATGAGCTTCTTGTAAAGTATTAGAATAAATAATTTGGATTTAATTCGGGAGGGAGGGAATATTTATGTATTTATATGTATATAATTGGGTATTCGCTATATTTAAGTTATAGTATCAATGTTTATGATGATATCTGGCTCAACAACTGCAAGACACGGGGATCTTTCCCCAGTTCGTCATACAGTTTAGGATCCTGCCTATTCTTAGAGAGCCACTTTCGATGTGAATAAATTACCTGATCATCGGGACATAATTGGATCCCAATATTACCTTGTTCAGTTAAATATCCATTTTCTTTAATCATATGCACAATACGCAAATATGTGTCATTATAATTTAAGATCTTAGTCCTTTTCTTTTCCTCTTGTAAAGTTAAATATCCTTGAAGAATATTTAAGATTGTCTCTATTTGTACCACAGGAATATTACTTCCTTGGTTTTGTAACATTTGATTATCATCTAATTTTATCTTGTTAAAGAGCATATCCTTACGTGGGTTACATGGATTCAATACAATTGATGCATATTTGACAAACGTTGGTGGATCGTGAATAGAGTCCTTCAACAATTCATTATAAAAAGTTTCTCTTTGAGCCATGACCTTGGGATCATTGGAACGAGGACTTTTGATCATTTTATAATTATCATAATACCACATTCTAATCAATTTCTTAAATTTATTGGATTTTATACTATTATAAAAAGATTTGAAATCATCAATACCACCCATTTTATTTTCATACAACTTATTACAAGAGTCCTTGAGAGGTAAAGGATATTGCGACCAATTTGGTAATGTAAAATTTTCAATTATTTGACCATCTTGAGGTTCTATCTTTTGATATTCGGATCTCCATGTATCATAAAAATTTGTCACAGTAGGTCTGAAAGAAGATGAACCTATCTTGGAAGAGTCAGTTGCCAAGCTATCCTTTTGTTTATTTCGAAAATGTAATAATTCTTCAAACCATGATTTGTGGTGTGTTTTATTGGATTGTGTATCAATTATGATATCTTCATATATTTTAAAAGAGTACATCATATTGAACAATGCTGCTTTAATCTTGGTAGAATTAAAATCCACAACCCTTTTGTTTTTACTGTTTACCTCAATATCATCTACGGTATAAGTTTTCAATGGGGTGCTGGCCTCCATTTCTTCTAGTTCTTTAGTCTTTTCGCTAACTTTTCTTTCTAACATCTCCAAAGTTTTATCTTGAGTTTCTTGTCTGGCAGAAATAGACTCATCAGTTATATCAATAGGTAACTCTGGAACACCCAGGCTACTAGGTGTTAATGTGGTAATCATAGGATACATATGTCTCCTTACATTACTTGGATTAGCTAAAACATAATTATCTGATGAGGATAATTGATGTTCTTGGCCATAATGATTATGATTATTATTTTCTATTTTAGCAGTGTTATGGAGATGACGAATATCAATCAATGTACTAAACGCTACAATACCAGCAAAAGCAAAAATATTAGTAGTCATAAACACTACATTGAATGGAGAATTAAAATATCGCCATAATGTATTACCAAACCCTTTATTCAATGGTGAACTCAATTGGTTTCCATTCCGTAATACTGATACCATCGATGTTGTGTTGCGTTTGAGACTTCTTATGTACTTTCCCTCAGAATCTCTTAGTCTGACTTTCAATTGCTTAAAATAAGAATATCTATTTGTTGTATGAAACCTTTGTAATGAAAGTCTTATCACGGTCCAACTGCCGTTGGTTCTATTTCGCGAAAACATTGTACGTTCAATAACAAACAAATATATGTATAGGTAAGAACCTTGAGTTCAATGGGAATCTTTGTTCAATTCCAAATTTTCTAATAATTCTAAAGTGAAAAACTACTGTTTCTGATGTTCTGCTCTACCTTTACTTTACAGTTTTAACTTCCTTGAAAACTGTCTTACTCTCTCTAATATCTTATTTTATTTTAACTGCTTTCATTTATTTATCCCTTCGAAGACGAACCTCCGAGAAGTATATTCTTCGTGATGTCCGAAAATATGCATAGTGGAAAGAAAAAAAGTGACAACTAATGATTGAAAACCGTTAAATAACGGATATTATAATTGTTTATTATTGAATCTAATAGGATGAATTATAAAATTTTATTAATTTGAGTATAAGGGAGACGTTTGTGATTGCGAAACGAATTACTATTACATATATGGGGGACGAATATACATCACTTTATTTATTTTTCTATTTTATTTTATTAGAAAGGGATAATAAATAACCATGCGATTAAAGCAGTGAAAGAATACCCTAGAATGACTGCATCACCTTCATAGACGCTGACATATTGTGAAGTTTGCACATGAGGTTGAGATGTCGTAGTTTGCTCCACTAATGTTGGAATAGGTGGTGTGGTGAATGAGGTGGTTGACTTAGAAGAATTAGAGGTTGATCTAATATCTGTGCCTTCAGTTGGAACGGTATTGCTGTGAACAGATGATTTATCTTCAGTGACTAACGTTGTCTTACTACAACCTGGACATAGTTCTGTACTAGTTGTAGTTGTAACAGTATTTGTGAGAATTACAGCTGAGTGACTAGTAGTTGTAGTTTCCGTCACAGTCTCTTCTGAATGAGTAGTAATCACTGTACTGCATGAAGTAGTAACGGTACTGATTTGATTTGTCGTTAATGGACTCGAGGTTGATCTCTGGCTGGTTACCAGTGTTGATGATGTGGTCATAACAGATACCGACTCAGTAGACGTCACATTACAAGAAGGACAAACAGTTGAAATTGTAGTTGATAACAATGTAGATTCAGTCGTTTCCACTTTGAAGGATGTCTCTGGGATAGAAGTAGAATATGATGATACTGAAACAATAGTAGTAGTATTCACTAATGGTTGTGGAGAAGAGGTAATTTGAGAAGTAGTAGTAGAAGTTTTTGTCGAAGAAATGATATTCTCAGAAGAAACTTCTGAAGTTATTATGGTTGGAACAGAAACAGGAGAAGATGTAATATCAGTGCTTGCACTAGCAGATACGATACTTGACGATATGATGCTAGAAGATGGGATGCTAGAAGATACGACACTGGAAGATACGACACTGGAAGATACGACACTGGAAGATGGGATGCTAGAAGATGTGATACTAGAAGATGTGGTACTAGAAGATACGACACTGGAAGATACGATGCTCGAAGATGCGATACTAGAAGATGAACATTCATTATCTGAACATGATTCAATTGAAATCGTGACTGTAGAAATCCTTGGCGTGATTACTGAACTTGAAGACGTAACACTTGAAGATTTAACACTTGAAGATGTGATACTTGAAGATGTGACACTTGAGGATGGGGAACTTGAAGATGAACATTCATTATCTGAACATGATTCAATTGAGATTGTAACTGTGGAGGTTCTTGGAGTAATGACTGAACTAGATGATGAAATACTTGAAGATAAAATACTTGAGGAAAGAATAGTAGACGTTTCACAACCAGGACAAACAACAGAAGTAACTGTAGTGGCAGAAGAGGAAGTTGTACTAGGCTCTTCATATGTAACAGTCTTACATGATCTACAAAAAGCAGATGTAACAGAAGAAGTTATTCTTTTAGTTGACAAACTTTGCCCAGAAACAATGGACAAAGTAGCAAATAATACTAAAATTAGATTTGATAATTGCATATTTTTTATTATTGTATATCTTCTTTTTCTTATTAATTTCTTTGTTGTTTATCTTACATCTTAACAGAAAAAAGATAAATAACATAAACAAGATGTTAAGGACAAAATATATATCAATTGATTAAAAATACATCCCATATATATATATATATATATATATATGCATTGTATAGAGTCAAGAAAACTAAGAAAAGAAAATTTTTTATTCTAAAATCATCTTAAGATGTAACATACCATTGAAGCTAGCTAATTTGGAAAAAGTTTCTAATTTCGGTACTATGAAACGACATCTTGTAAATGTACTAATTGGGTAATATACATAAGAATTCACGTACCTCTACCCCCACCAGAAGAACTAATAAACCTTGCATCATTATGAACCAAACCTCTATTTAAATTTACCATTATTCTTGAATGGAAATCTGTTCATTAACTTTTCTTTTTACTAATTATTATTAATGTGGCAGCTTCTTATTTTTACCTCTGTCTGTTAATTGAAGTGAAAGATAGTAAAAAAAAACCCAGTGAAAGAAGATCCGAAGGCGGAAAGAGCCGATGACCTCAAATTTATTTTCTTGG